CCCAAATTCAAACTTGATCTTTGTTTTGTAGTAATAAGCATTGTGTATAAGATTCATAACATTTGGTTGAGGCAAACTTAAGTTAGAGAACAGAAACGAAAAATTCAGCATTTTTTCCATTTGTAAAGGGGCATAACTATAGAAAGGTAAAAATGATGCCACTTAAATTCAAACTTGATCTGTGTTTTGTGGTAATTAGCATTGAGTACAAGTTTCATAACATTTGGTTGAGGTAGACTAAAGTTAGAGAACGGAAGACCAATTTTGGGACGTACGTACAGACGGACAAGGGTAAAACTTAATGCTCCCTCTGCTACGGCGGGGGCATAAAAAACAATTATGTTGTTATTTTGTTTCCTAGATGTACCATAATATCAATATTAAGCTCAATTACCTGTGCTTGTAGGACACTCCCAACTTATTATGTAGCTTGGTTGCTTGCTGTTCTAAGGATCTGCGATTCAATTCAATGATACTAGTCGAGCACTTTTTAAAAAATAAATCACCCCTATTACAAACAGATTAGTACATTTATATACCAACACAAACATATTTCTTGGGTTTCATAGTCATATTTTCTCCCATTTCAGAATAAAATGTAACAAACTTTAAGGTGGTAATATGCCAAGTTTGGCATCACATTTCCCTAGTCTGGGACATGATGATTAGTTGCACACACAAATATCCAGTGATGGCAAACCACCATTGAAGATGCCACTTGTAGGTTCAATGTGTGGTGCTTACTGATTGTTGTAAATTTAGTACTGATTAGCAATCTAATATGGCCACCAGTAGATAATATACAAGTAGTAATTTTTTATTTGAGCTTATTGAACATAGTGAAACCAGGTCCAATGAGTAACTATTTACAACTGGCAGTCCTGGTAACTAATACATATATTTCCAAACTGGCAGTCCTCAGTACCCTATATAACTGCCCTATATACCACAAAGAACAGCTCAAAGTGAGTTAGAGACATCATTTTTACTGTCAATATCAAGCTCTTATATCTTCAGGAAATGGTTTATAACACACCATTAAATGTCAATTAAGTTTGTGGAGCCGTTTAATGACAGACTGTGATATGATAGCTAGCGGGGGTATAAAAGACCTTGATAGTTGATACAGGAGCCTGTGTTCCAATTAAATTAGGACCATCTACTGAATGAACATAAATGGACAATAAAATGAAAACAATCCAGAGTGCAGTGTTAAGAAAATTAGCGATTTTTGTAATGATATAACATCGATATTGCTGCTTTTAGTACTGAATAGTTTTACAAAATGATCAGATCAAAATGTACATTCTAATACCTGCAGGATACTGAGGGGAATTTTTGGGGGTACAATTTCTGTTTCTTGGGAATTTGTTGAACAAAAAAACCCACCTAGACATCTCCTTTATTCAAAGCTCACCTGGCCCTGGGGACAGGTAAGCTATTCTTACCACTTGGCATTCTTTCACACTTACAAAGCTCTCCTCTTCTGAAATTCTGGGCTAATTGAAACTCAACTTGACCACAATCATTGTTGGGGCATTCAGTTTAAAAATTATGTCTGATGATCACACCTATTAATTAACATCAATCAATCAAGGCTAAAAATAGGAAACTAGTATAATTATCAAAGCATATAATCATGACAAGATCTACAAATAAGTTAACATGTCAGTTGTCTCTTTATAGGAGTTATTGCCCTTGAGGTATGATTTTTAAAAATAAATGTGGATAGTGTCCACATGTGGACACAGATGATGCCCCCGCTTGCATATCATATAGTTATAAAGAGACATAACTGAAGAACGGTAAAAGTGACGCTACCCAAATTTGAACTTGATCTGAGTTTTGTGGTAATAAGCATTGTGTGAAAGTCTCATAACATTTGGTTGAGGCTAACTTAAGTAGAGAACAGAAACAAAAAATTTAGCAATTTTTCTATTTGTAAACACGCATAACTCTAGAACGGTTGTGTATAAGTTTTATACCATTTGGTTGAGACAAACTAAAAAATTCAGCAATTTTTATGTTTATAAAGGGACATAACTCAAGAATGGTAAAAGTGTTGCCACCAAATTTCGTACTTAATCTGTATTATGTAGTAATAAGCATTTGTGTAGAAGTTTCATAACATTTGGTTGAGGCAAACTAAAGTTAGAAAACAGAAACAAAAAATTTCTACTTGATCATAGTTTTGTGGTAATGAATTTTGTGTAAAGGTTTCATAATGTTTGGTTGGGGCCAACTTAAGTTACAGAATGGAAACTAAAAATTTTGCAATCTTTCGATTTATAAAGGGCACAACTCAATAATGGTTAAAGTGACACTACCCAAATTCAACTTGATCTGTGTTTTATCAGTGGAAGTCAAAATTAAACATTGCATTGTATAAAGCATTGATTGTAGTTGATTCAACTATAATCATGGACAAAGGAAGATAACTCAAATTTTAAGAATTACTTGATATTTAGAAGAAAATAAAAATTTTGCAATTTTTCTATTTATAAAGGGGCATAACTCTAGAACGGTTAAAGTGATGCCACTAAAATTCAAACTTGAACTGTGTTTTGTGGTAATAAGCATTTAGTATAAGTTTCATAACATTTGGTTGAGGCAAACTTAACGGAAACTAAAAATTTTAAATTCTTCCATTTATAAAGGGGCATAACTTTAGAACGGTTAACGTGACGCCACCAAAATTCAAACTTGACCTGTGTTTTGTGATAATAAGCATTGTGTATAAGTTTGATAACATTTGGTTGAGGCAAACTCAAGTTATAGAACGGAAACTAAAAATTTTGCAATTTTTCCATTTACAAAGGGGCATAACTCTAGAATGGTTAAAGTGACGCCACTAAAATTCAAACTTGATCTGTATTTTGTGGTAATAAGCCCTCTTTCCCTCAAGATATGGTCATCATCTCAATTCAAATTTCCCATGGAGTTTGCAACCATAATAACCCATTTAAATACATCATAAAAGTCTTAAAATAGAAAATGACATACATAATCATGGCTAAAATTAATATACCTTAATCAGCATTTTTAAAATTATTAAAATAGTAACTTCTAAAAATAAATTGACAAGCTAATCACCTCAAGACAATACAACATTTCTTTATACATAATTTAAAAGCAGTGTAAGGAAGGTAATTCAAACACAACATTGTACTTAAGTAATTGTCCATTAACCAGGACACCCTTGTTTTTTCTCACTTGCTTGCCCCTAATTCCTAAACGGTTTGAGCCATAACACCCCAAAGCCAATCCTAACCAGCCCTTTGTGGTATGGAAACTTGTGGTATAATTTCAGAGAGATCCATACACCGTTCCACAACTTATTGTCTGGAAACTAGAAAAATGCTTATTTGGGCCCCTTTTTGGCCCCTAATTCCGAAACTGTTGGGACCATAACCCCCAAAATCAATCCCAATCTTCCTTTTGTGGTTATAAACCTTGTGTTCAAATTTCATAGATTTCTATTTATTAATACTAAAGTTATTAGATATAAGAAGATGTGGTATGAGTGCCAATGAGACAACTCTCCATCCAAGTCAAAATTTATAAAAGTAAACCATAAAGTTATTGTCCGGAAACCAAATGTCTTCGGACGACGAAGTGATACCAATATAAGACCCCAAATTATTTTGCAGTCGTATAAAAAGAAGTAAAAAAAATTATGATAAATTGATTATATTTGAATGCAAGCAGACCCTCATCAAAGATCTTTCGGAACGTGTTTCATTCCGCAAGTGATTTCATAATTTGTAGTGACTGACCTTTGTAAATACTTTTGTATTGGTTTTATTTGTGAATGTATTGTATCTGTTCTTGTGGATTAGTTATTATGAGGGACTAAAAAAATATGGAGATTGAATACACAATCATAGAGTGTCATATCAAAATAAACAATTCACCAAAGTTTTATGCAAATTGGTTAAAGCATTTTTGAGTTAATGTCCGACATGTTGACGACGGACAACGGTATACCATAATACGTCCCGTAAACGGGCGTATAAAAAGCACACTGTTCAAAATATCTAGTTTACACAAATCTTGTACCGTATTTAATGCATTAAAAATTTATAAAGACACACCCGACCTCGGATGAGTCGAACCTCAGATAGGTTGAATACTTTTGTCCGGTCCCTTCGACTTCGACATAATAAGGTTTGACTGTAGTATGATTGCGAATGAGACAACTGTCCACCAGAGTTCAAACGACATGGATCAACAATGAGAAAAAATCCCATACCATGTAGTCAGCTCTAAAGGCCACAACTTGAAAAATGTGGAACAATTTAAACTGGAAAACTAACAGCCTAATCTAAAACAATACAACAAACAAAAAACAAATATGACAGACATAAAGCAAACACAACCACTGACCCATTACCCATTTTTTGCATTTTTGTCAGATACTTTTCTTATTGCAAAAATGCCAGGTGAGTATTACAACCTCTTATGATCCTCTAGTTATTTCTGTATCAGTGGCTGATTATTTGGCATGATACAATGTACTAGGTTGTAAACTTTAGGAGAGACTGACAGACAATCCCTGTATCCTATTTGGAAATTGCCCCCCCCCCCCCCCCCCTAAAAAAAAATTAGAAAAAGAAAATAGGATGAAGTTCAAGAACAAGCTATATAGTGAATATTTGAAGAAAATAATATTCCTTCCTCCATGCAACCCTATAGAACATGAACAAATGTTCTAAAAATTGAAAAAAAGGAAAAGGTTCTATATTATAATATGGGTCCTGACTTTACTTCACAGCATAAAATATGTTGAACAAGATGACTGAGGCAAAAATATGTATCCGATTTTGCAATCTAAATGCTTTTGCTAAAAATAGTTTATTCTAAGGAAAAGGGGAATTTTTGGCCCTTCTGCTTGACATATTCTATCACAAATGGTAATAATTCTTCTGCTGTTTCTGCCCATAAAAAAGCAATATCTATGTCTTACTTTCTGTAAACTTTGGCCTGACAAAACAACAACATTTTACTATAGTTTTTGATGAACATGACTTTATGAAAATGGTCCAAAAATTGGATGTTTTATGAGGTCTGTACAAAATCTTTACAGATGGTGTTAAAACATAATATATCTTTTTCACAATATCTCATAACATAATCAATCAAACAATTCAGTCTGTTAAAATAAATTAAATAATTAACAATTGGATCACTTTTTACTCTTCTTGGATGAACTTGATCTGAAATTAGTTAAGGAGAAATAAACGAATCAATCAGAAATAATCAATTATTCAGTGTTCCCTATAAATTCTTCTATACCAACTATCTAATTGTTTTTATAATCACCTCCATGTGGTAATACAAACAAGATTGCACATGTTGTCGCGTAAGCATGTCCCCCCCCCCCCCATTTTTATTCAAAGTATTGGAAAACAGAAACTAGGTATCAGACAGATACTATAAGTGCACAGAGGTTACAACTGATAATCTTTGAGCTGCTGACCAAATGTGAAGTCATTCTGTAGAGTTGTATTGAAGATAAGTTTGACAAAAAGTTTCCAGTTCATTAATCATGTCGTAGGTTTCTGTCAGTGTGTAAGTGTAATGTTGACTAGAAAAGTGATTCCATTTAGCAGTAAGATACAGAATTAAAAAAAAAATCAAACTTTTTCTTTAGATGCTTTTGCATGGTCTTGAAGATCAGCTTCTGTCCAAGCTTCATAACTATCCATGAAGGTTTACAAATTTATCATGTCAAAAAAATTTAAACCCGGACTGTTTGTAAATGTTAACTGTAAAAAACTTAGTCCATCTATCAGAAAAATACTGAAAATGAAAAAAATATATTTTCAAAGTTTGCTTCAGATATACTATTAATCATAAAGTTTCATAATATTCTATGAAGGTTTGACAAAGCAACTGATGTCTAAAATAAACTGTTAACACAGAGATATGTCTCGCCTATTTGTTATTTTGACAATGCAAATGTTGAAATTAAAGTAGCAATACTTTATCATGTAAATTATGCAAATATTCAAAGTCAACTAGACATCATTGAGATGGGAGCCATCTCTGTGCACCCCGCTGACCTTGAACTTTGACCTAGGAAGTTGTACAAACATTATGACACACCCTCTGGTGTTGGTTAACATACACGTCAAGTATAAAGTATGAAATCATAACGGTTCTCTAGATATAGATATAGATATCTAGACACAATTTGTTCACTATAGGGCGACTCGTAATTAACCATGACTGAAGGTACAGGGTTAAAACATCTGCATGAAAATAAGATGTGCCAATGCTGATACAACTGCATACCAAATACCATTTCATTGACTAATCACATGTCATTCCCTTTCAACAAACCTAAACACATACATTAACTTGTAAACTATGCAATAATTTCAAAGTCAATGAATGAGGGGGTGGGTCTATATAATCTCCATGGAAATGAAACTTGCAAATGCCAATACATTTGCATACCAAATATCATTGACTTAATATAAGTGGTTCATCTTAAACTGATCTAATCACAAACTAATACATGTAAACTAAGCAAAAGTTTTAAAGTCAATAGACCATGACTGAGGGGTAAGGACCAAATATTCTCCATGGAAATGAGATGTGCTAATGCTTAAAAAACTGCATACCAATTATCATTGATCTACCACTAGTGGTTCCCCATGAACTGAGCTTATCACAAACCAATACATTTAAACTAAGCAAAAGTTTCAAAGTCAAGACCATGACTGAGGTAGCGGGGCCGAATAATCTCCAGGGAAATGAGATGTGCCAATGTTAATACAACTGCATACCAAATATCATTGACCTACCACTAGTGATTCACCATAAACAAAACCTAATCACAAACTAATACATTATTGATGCTGATGCTGGAAACAGCATACCTATGTCTCGCTTTTTGACTCCATCAAGCTTTTAGGTGTAATACCACCAAATCATAGTACGTCACATCCGGTTGCATACGAAAATAGGTCGAAAAAAAATATTCCCTTGAATTTGACAGTTGTAGGTAATTGATCCTACATTTCATTGCAGTAAAACATTTCTGAGTCATAAACATATATCTTGGGTATTTCAAAGCACCATTATTTCTTTATTTGGGGTTTCTATAGAATATTTTGGAAACTTGAGGTTACATGGTTACTAAAGCTTGTACACAGGTTAAAAAAGGGGGAAAATTTGATTGGTTAACTTCCAGTGATGGTTATTTTCTTATATGCAATGAAATGTTGTGTGAAATTTTTTCTATAGTACTGGACAGGATAAAACTTTACTCATGCCAAGCATTTGTTTATTTGAAACAAAGATAAATTCTGCACAATTTTTTGAAAAGTGCAAATTTAACAAAGACTAATAGGGGAAAATCAATGGTGGTATTACACCTAATATGGGAAGCTGTACATGCACCTTTGACCTTGTGAGTACTCTCATGTGTTAAAATTTCTTGCTATTTAAGTGAAATATTACAAATAATGAAATATTCTGAGTGGATTGAGTCTCCAAAATACATTTTATGAGAAAATTTCCTTGAAATAGGACTTTACCATGAATATTAGTTGACAGAACAAGCCATACTTAGAGTCTTGGGGAGCTTTTTCTCCTTATTTCTTATATTCTGCTATACTAGAAAATATTTCCTAAGAAATACTTTAATAAATATATAGTTTTAAGTAAATGAAATTATTTTTAAAGCAGTAACAACAAATTATTCACCAAAAGAGAAGTTTTTTATGTCCTTCTCTGGAACGCGGCGTAAATTTAAGTTTTACGTAAGGACTTATTGAAACCTCCTTGGAGACAGTAAACTTTTATACGGATAGTTCATTCAGCTTGAATACTTCAATTAATCATTTATAATAACATTTCTATCATAAATGAGTGAAAGTTACCCCAAAATTTTTATTTATTGGCCTAAAAAGTAGAAATTTTGAGGAAATGAGAGGTATAAATGGACCAAAAGAGACCTTATAAGGAAGACAAAGAGGTCCATTAGTAGTATTTATCATCCTAAAGTCATCTTTTGTATCATATTCAACTGTTTGTAGGCAGATGAGATAAATATTTGATCATTTATTGGTCCACACTATATTCTATCATGATGCAGCTTGGTTTGAATTTTTCGACGAAATTTTGCTCGAATCGCTGTAGATGTTGTCTTACATTATACTAGATTTTTCTCAAACTGTTGAACTGATTATGACAAAACTTGACAGGAATGCTTGAAACAACCAGTATTACAAAGGAAAAAAGTCACATTCAGTTTATTTAACAAAAAAGTCTTCTTTAGGTGTAATACCACCAAATCATAGTACGTCACATCCGGTTGCATACGAAAATAGGTCGAAAAAAAATATTCCCTTGAATTTGACAGTTGTAGGTAATTGATCCTACATTTCATTGCAGTAAAACATTTCTGAGTCATAAACATATATCTTGGGTATTTCAAAGCACCATTATTTCTTTATTTGGGGTTTCTATAGAATATTTTGGAAACTTGAGGTTACATGGTTACTAAAGCTTGTACACAGGTTAAAAAAGGGGGAAAATTTGATTGGTTAACTTCCAGTGATGGTTATTTTCTTATATGCAATGAAATGTTGTGTGAAATTTTTTCTATAGTACTGGACAGGATAAAACTTTACTCATGCCAAGTATTTGTTTATTTGAAACAAAGATAAATTCTGCACAATTTTTTGAAAAGTGCAAATTTAACAAAGACTAATAGGGGAAAATCAATGGTGGTATTACACCTTTAGGCGAGACAAAAACTAAAACCACAGACTTGAACCTCAACGTTTACGACGCCGACAGAATCTAGGATCGCTATGTATCTCTTTCTGTCAAGGTGATTATATACACTTAAAACAATAAACACTTACAAAAATATAACAATAGCAAAAAAATATTAAATCCAATTGTTAACTACCAGACAATGTATTGCCTGAAAAACAATCAGAGGTTAACAGTTAACACTGCTACCAAAAATTTTATAAACAATACTGCAAATTTCTGCTAGATGAAAACTGTTTGCTATTATCTTTCTGAGGAATTTTAGTAGTAAATTTTTCACAGCAAAAACTGGACTTAAGTTATCTAGAAAATAACATAACGAAACATTACAATTAGATCTTCACTATCTGGTGTAAAGTGTTTCTTTACAAAAGACTCTACTAACGATTTGCCTTCATATATCCAGAAAATATATGTCTTTTAATACATAAAACATAGGCTGTACTAAAAAAGATACGATTTATCCCGACTTCTTTCTTTGTCACTCTTCTTTGATTTTTCTTTTGTCTTAACTCTAGTGGGAGATTCTTCTACACTATCTCTGTCCTACAAATACATCTCACATTTTAATATATCTTATAACAACCATGAAACTATATTGTAGACTTAATCTCTTTCAGTTTTTTTATACTATATAAGCACAAATCCACTCCAAAATAAACAACCTATTTCAAAAATCAGAGTTTAAAATCATTTTTGAAGATTCATAAAACTCAAACAGACGGCACAACATAAATCATTCATATATCAACTAGTCAATTGAATTTAAATTCAATCAGGAGCCAATCAAAATTTGTTAATAATTGAAATCAATCAATACTGTTCATGTGAAACACCTTGATTCTGGAAATTTGATCTTGGATTTATCTCAGTTCCACTTGTGAAATTGTTTTGATTTTAATGTTTGACAATACAGTCAAACTTCTAAAAACCATGGAAAAACGCCGATTTGCGTGGATGGACGGTTTGTTGAAAATTAAAATCAACAAGTAATGATTGTAACAGGATGCTGTTACGAAGTCTCCCAAACGAAGCTTCCATAATTTGTAATTCCCAGGGTCGCCTGACATTGGGCAAAGTCCAGTGAAAATTGGTTTGGTCCAGTAAAGTTATATGCATTAGTGATGCCTGGGGACTAACCCTGTATATCATTCAAATCATCTTGGAATGACAAACCAGAATATATATGGTTTAGGGGTGGGGATCTCGACCATTTACAAGATACTAGAACATTGGGGGTGGGGGAAACCCCTGGGGACTGACCCTATACGTCATTCAAATGTTTGAGACATGACGAACAGGAATATATATGGTTTAAGGGTGGGGATCTCGACCATTTACAAAATATTAGAACATTGGGGTGGGGGGGAAACCCTGGGGACTGACCGTATACATCAATCAAATGTTCGAGACATGACAAACAGGAATATATATGGTTTAGGGGTGGGGATCTCGACTATTTACAAGATATTAGAACTTTCTCAAATGGCAGGGGGTCAGGATGACCCCTGGGGACTAACCCTGTATATCATTCAAACCATCTTAGCATGACAAATCAGAAAATATATGGTTTAGGGGTGTGGATCTCGACCATTTACAAGATATTAGACTTTTTCAAATGGCAGGGGGTCGGTATGACCCCTGGGGACTAACCCTGTATTTCATTTAATGGGTTTTATCATTTAGAACATTTTCAATTAAAAAGATTGTGTCTATCACAAAGGGTTTTCAATTTATAATCATTTGAAAATTTAAAAAAATAAAATCCCATAGGGTTCTATAGTAAAACCCTCTTTTCTTTTTGCCCCTCAAAGTACCCCTTTATAAACCCCATAGCACAAACAAAACCCTGATTGCACCACTAGACATGTTAGTCTAACATATTGTGAAACCCTAAGTTAATCTGACAAGCGGTTTTGGAGAATGGATGCGGACAAGTTCAAATTTAAAAGCGGCGGAAGAGGAAGAGGAAGAGGAAGAGGAAGAAGAATAATAATAATAATAATAATAACTGAGCAAAAACAATAAGTCTTCCCAAACTTCGTTTGGGAGACTTAACAAGAGTTACTTCCCTTCAATATGTGTGTGTTTGAGTATATATGAAAATGTATTTTACTTTAGAGCTATTTTCCTAATGCTTGTGGTTTTAACTTTAAAGGTTTCTTTGGCTTGCTTGCTTTGTTTGCATTAATGTTTGTTCAAGCATTGTAACTAAGATTGACATCTGCAATCAATAGATAGGCGGGGCTTCAGCTTGTAAATTGGCCAGGACTTCTTGATCTGGCTGGTATGAGGGGAGAACCGGTATTCAGAGGGCATGGTTTAGAGAAGTTTCACTATATTTGAAACAGCTCTTCATATAAATAATATTGAAATGATCCCCGCAGAAAAAAAAGCAAGAGGCTCTAAAGCTCATCTATGTGCATCACACTGCATTGTGAATAATTTTAAAGATAAAGTGTGATTTAAACTGCAAAAATTAATATGGGACAAAGACAAAGTCAACAAATCAAAAATTTTATTGGTTAAAGAAATATCGTTTTATCTAGCTTAAACAAGAAAGTTGCTATTAGGTCTGATATTTCTCCTATTGCATAATGAATAATATTCGAACCTTTTTCACTTTGACAACTTTGCTCTCCTGGGTTGACCTTGATTTTGACCTTGGAGGTGAATCATCTGTAGCTTCATGTGGTTCCTGTAAATATAATAACCCACTCTATAACTTAAAAACATTGACCAAAATTGTAAACCATTGTTTCAAACCAGCATGAATAATATTGAACTCAACAGGTAAAAATGATCTTAACACATGTATGTCATCAGCAATGAACTTAAAATTCTCTGTACATTACTGTCACTTTGTCTTTCGTTTAATGTATAATTGCTGGAAGCAGACTGTCAGTTGTTTCCATATAGGTTCCATAGCCTTTCTGATAGGGCTTATAATCCAAGGTCAAACAATGACCCTGTCTGTTCTCTTCTTTATTGCATTTTTCTTGCAGGGTTTCTGTCTGATTTATAAGTTTGCCAGCCATTCCTTCTTTAAATTTTGATTTGAATTGTTGTAAATGACATCCTACCTATCCATCTTCTTTGTCACCGGTGGGACATAAGGCCATAATGTAATGACATACTTGTCTCAAATTTCAGACAAAAAACTTGAGTCTATACAATATATCGAGTTTTAAATCCACTAGGATTTATAAAAGTTGTGAATTAATTCAACATGACCATCAAAGACCTATCATCATCACCAAATCCCTAAAAGACATATAGCATTGAAAGATTAGTTTAGCTTCCAGCACCTTGCATGCAACATTCTAAATATTGCCTTAATACATTAATTGCAGTGAACTAGCAAGTTTATCAACCATGCAAAAAGCTATTATATTATGAATGTTTGTTGGTAAAATGTTGCTTCTCTATTCACCAAGTATAAATACAATCAACTCTTTGTTTGTTTAATACAAAAGACAGTACAAAAACTATTTAGTATGGTCATTTCGGTCTTATATAAACAAAAATACTGATTCTTAATAAAAGAAAGAACTATTTCATGATATCTAATCATTGTTTTAAATATGATACATGTAATGAAAATTTGAAATTTAGCTAGAAAAAGGGGTCATATTGAGGCTTATCAAAATTACTTCACTGATTTTTTGAATTTTTTTGTAACTTGAATCATTCAATTGCAAAAGGAAAAGGTCAGAGTGACCTAAATCTGTTACTATAAAATGTACAATCTTGAGAATTTCTTATGAATTTTACAGATATATTTTATTACAAGAGTTGATTGTAATAATTTACTTTGTCATGTGTCATTGTGTCATTGTGTTATGATGAGGTAAATGAAACAATTGTTTGTTCTATCTAAATCAGAAGTAAGTGCTTGATTCTCCTTCAAATAAGTGCATTAAAGGGTAGTTTGGATATTCAGGAATATATTCAGTGCAAAACACCTGCAAAGGACTGATATTATAATACCAACAGAGTGTAGTTTACTGACCCTCTGAAGTTAAGCAATATAATAAATCAACATGTATACATTTCTGTCCGACTTGGATGGAATGACTGCCATGTGCTTTCATCAAGTGCGGGAGATCATTTGTTCAATCGCTGGTCTGGTTAAATTTGGAAATTGGTTTTGCTGCATCTCTGCGAATCACACTGCATTCTGAAGAAGTTCAGCTCCGAGTCGGAAAAATGTGTGTGAATAGGGTGGGTGACATGTCATCTTGTGTCAGTCTAGCACAAAGCAGGGATCATTTTTAAATCTCATCAACATGTTCTCGTCAATATATGCTTGAAATACTTTCCACTGAACATTAAATACTAATCCATTATCATGATGGAATGAAATGTTATTTCCATCTTTGAATAAACATGTGTGTTGTACGTTGACCAAACTAACCTTTTTTATTTTAACAACTTGACATTCAGACTTGAACTTTCTTGTTGGGGATTCATCAGCTGAGTCGACTGGTTCCTATAAGAAACAATAAGGATATTCCCTTCCATTTTATAAACATGTCTATTTCCATTGACTTTCTTAGCCTTCTCTAAAGAATACGTACACACTTCTATCTTTCAACTGATGTTTTTTTTTTCTTTTTCCATTCCTTTATTGCTCTACAAATATTTGTGTGTGAGGTAATCACTTGCATGATTACTGAGGAAAGGACATTAAAGTGAACTGTAATTTATGGAAATTTGTTGACAGCTATGTTTCATGACAAAAGCTGGTACCTAAAGACTTTATCTATGGAGTATAATTATAAATATTACTGGTTTATTTTTTTTAGTTAAACAGCTCATTGTACTGTAAAAGGTAATGTACCATTAATTTTCAAAGGACTACCAAATTCAGTCGTGTATTGTCAGCTGTTTTTTTCTCCAAATTTAATATTGCCAGGCAGGGGTGTGGATTATAGAGAATTATAAACATGAAATAGGAGAAAAGCTTGTTTTTGCGATATTTGTTTACGTCCACCATGTTTTTTTTGTTGAAATTGTAAGCTATTATTTCACCTAATCCTTATGAATATGCAATTTTATTTAACCGTTTTGGTGTTTCATACTGCTGAATGTGTTTTGTTTTTACAGCTAAAGGTCCTTCAAACATTAATGTTATTAATAAATATCTGACAGTATTTCACTAACAGATGGAACTGTTTTAGTTTCAAAGTCATATTCTTAAGTGATATCTATTAAAAACGGATTTTCCTCGCACTCTCATCCTATTTGTTTGTGATTTACACGTTCTATTCCAATATCCTGTTCATGTTAAAACAACTTTTACAATTGTTTTTTCTTGTGATTTTGGCTTATCTAAACACTCGAGAAGTGTTCTAGAATCATTTACAAACTTCTACTTAATGATGGAAACCAGGGTTTTCCATGAAAATATCGCATACGACCATGCACGCTTTGAAATTACCCGAGTTCCCCTAGACGTTCATTTCAACAAGTGATTAAAAATTCTTTTTCCTAAATTTCCCATTGTGAAAAGGGGGATGCGGACAATGTACCAGTGCAGACGTTACAAGGCCGATTACGGTAATGGATTCTGGGCCTGATGAAAATCAAACAAATTATCTGAAGATATTTAATTACTAGTTCTGCTTGTAAAATTAATTTTTGCAGTCAAGTTTTTTTTGCTGTTATCAGGTTAATTTCAGAATGTTCTTATTTTGGATCCTTCAATTTAGTTTTTGATGAAATGATCTGATGCGTGCTATATAAACTAATTCTAAAGCATGCAACTATATTACCAACCCATGACCATGTGACATATTCCTACCTTCTTAACCAGATGAACCTCAGATTTAGAGTCACTCTCTCTTCTCTTTAGATGTTTTTCTGTATCACCATTTATTTTACTGTGACTAGAACGACCTGTAATAGAAGCCAAGAAGCTATGTTTTGTTACTGATTTTTTTCATTGATAACATAGGACACCTAGTTAGTACTTGTTTTATTTTGTCAGATAGTTATGTATGTATATATATATATATATATATATATATATATATAAGTGCCTATAAATAGCAGCACATGACATACAAATCTATGGGAGTGTGGATTAATCAGTACAGAGATTAATTCAATTACACAAATAAAATTATAGATTGCCTAACAATGTAATTTTAACACACTATTTAGTATGTAAATATAAGAATGTTTAAAATATTTACAAAATGATGAAAATAAACACAATATTTTGCTAGACTGACTAGCTTTATCAAGCGTGCATCTATCCAGGTGAAATCGGATGTAGATGATAAGAAACTGTTGCAGCTCAATGTATATGTTGCACTTGAATTTAGCTGCCTTGAAAATAATACATAATTTGGATGAAGTTCAAGATTTTTACAAAATTGGTAGTTGAAGTTAGCAACGTCCATTGGCCAATATTACAGGATAAAAAGGACGATGCTGTGTACCAAATTATTCTTTATCTTTCCTGTATCTTTTCTCATCTTTTTCGTTAAGACCATCAGGTTCTAAAGTGTGGAGTTGGTGGATCCAAAAATTTTCTCTTCTCCTTCTCGCCGTGGTGTCCCACTCGGTGTTGACTTCTATGATTTGTAAATTAACATTATCAAAAGAATGTTTCGTTGAATGAAGATGTCTTGTGAGAGGACAGTTTTTGTTGGTTTTGTACCATGAACCATGGTTATTGAGCCAAATATTAAATTTGTCCATTGTTTCTCCCACATACTGAATGCCACAAGTGTCACATGTTAATATATAAATTGAGTTGTCCGTTTTACAGTTGGAATTTGAGTAGATGGTATAATTTTGTTTAGTAATGGAGCTAAAACGGTTGCTACAAACAATGTGGTCGAAGGAACTGCTTGTGTTGTAAAGCTGCCAATACAAGCAGTTCTTTCATCAGCTCCGTTACTAAACAAAATTATTATATTCTTATATTTACATACTAAATAGTGTGTTAAAATTACATTGTTAGGCAATCTATATATATATATGTATATATATATATATATAGTGAAGAATCTATGTGCATAATTGTTCTCTGCTACTTAACTGAACCTCTAGGTGATTTTGGATATATTAATATGGTCAACACAGCATCTCCTGTCTGGCATTAGTGTTAGTCAAACTAAGCAACTAAAATTATCTACCTTGAATATGCATATTGTTCCCGGATTTAGAGGGTATGAAAGCAAGAGTGCCAATTGAAATTATAAAGGGGAAAAAATGATAACAAGAATATGTGTCTAGAGGAAACCATCCCCAACTTACACTATCAGATTACCATGTTTAGTGAACCATGAATTCTTTATCAAAACCCTGATTTGGCATATATTTTAAAATGTTCACATTATATTGAACATTTGTACTAAGTATCAAGTACCTCATGATATACTACCTTAAACCAAATCTTTAACCTGATCAGTGAACCATGAAATCTGGTAAAAAACCCTAATTTGGCATATATTTGTAAGAACATATGTACATGTGAGCCAAGACCGTACTTTGACCTATATTGGTTTACTTTTATAAATTTTGACTTGGATGGAGAATTGTCTTATTGGCACTCATACCACATCTTCTTATATCTATATGTGACCACAACTTCATGGTAAACTACCTTTAACCTGATATAGAACAGACAAATAGACAAACTGGAAAACATAATGCTCCTTTCTACTGTAAGCAGGGTTTAAAAGTAAAAAATCTACAAAACAGTCACTTTTTTCTTTAACTGAAGAATGGGGTCCAACTCCAATAAACTTCAAAATCTTCTACTACATATTGCTCTGTACTGGGGAACTACTTACTTGATGATGGTTCAAGACTTTTTCTTTTCTTTACCTCCTCATGATTAACATCATCTTCCCAATCCTGCTATAAAAATAAAATAGGAGTTATAGAAATACTTTGATTATAATGCCTGTACTGGAAATTCAGAAATTATTGAATACATTTATTAATGATAATGTTATTCACTTATTCGATAATAAAATTGAGAATGGAAATGGGGAATGTGTCAAAGAGACAACAACCCGACCATAGAGCAGACAACAGCATACAAATATGAAAGAATAATTCATGAGAGTTCAGAAATAACTGTAGACAAATAATGGAGATTGAATTTAAAATGGGAGATTTTATTCAATCGGTTCTTATCCTATATACCAATTAAATCATTTGCAGAAAATTCTCAATGTTCAGTATGCTCTAAGGTTTCATTTATCTTTGAAATCAGGATACTTTTTTTCATGAAAATGGCACTTCTAGGCACAATAGTGACTGACACCAGATGGCAGAGGAACACATAAAATTGTCTAAGGGCAAATGTAACATTTCATTGCTATGACAGTTATATATGTATGTTACCGATATTGTCTGTAAGTTTTTTAAAACTCACTGGAAATATTGTTTCTAAGATAAAAAATTTGTAGACAAAATTGAGCGGATGATGATGAAATTGGTGTTTTACATCTATGGGTAAATATTACAGGCAAATTAGAACAATAACATGTTAATGTGATTTGAATATGAATCCTGCTAAGAACTAGACCATTAAGCTGAGTTGAATTGTTGATATGCTTGCTCAAAATGTAACAGTCCACAGGAAGACTAAATCACTCTATCTGGACACATTATTCGTATTCTGGGCTGACCAGTGTTTGTTCTTACTCCTAAATGCTGCATGCGAAGCAAAGAAGCAGCAAATACCAATTTTTAAGTCTTTGACTCAGCAAGGGATTGATGACCTATGACCTCTTGCCCTCAAGCTGGCACTCTACCAAAGGACCGTCGTGGTGGTTAAAATTGAGTGGAAATTCCTGACTTGATATTTAAGGCAGTATAGTACAATTGAAAAAATGTAAACATGATAGTAATAATATTTTGCTTAACTGATTAATTATGACAAAAACATGTCTGTTTGCTTCAAGGCATCAATTTAAAAGTGATGTCTAGTAGGTGAAATAGCAATATAAAAAAAAACCCTCAAAAACTGAAATTACTGACTCTTTTTCTGTCTTTTCTTTCTTTATCACGTTCTCTGTGTCTGTCAACTTCTGGAACTGGTGATGGAGTCTAAAATTGTAAACATATCTTTAAATACTTTTATACCAGGAGCTTTGTTGATTAGAATGTGAACGAGAGCCTGTTTTGCACACCTGGATCTATGTGAACTTTCAACAATGGTCTCTCTTTCAAAATTAAAATCTAAGAGTATAATTCATAAATTCGATCACATTTTTGTTACTACTGTTTTGATGAACTTTTTTTTCTGTTTTCTGTATCTCTCTATCTACTTTAGCTTTTGCCAAATATACAAAATGGGTAAAAATCATGATTCAAAGGCAGAAACTTTTAGAAGAAGTGGACTTACAATTTTGGCTTTGTTGACCTATTTGTAGTTCTTGTTTTGCTGATCATTTTTGCTGGTTATCTTTTGGGTCATGTGTGCTAATAAATGGAGATGTTGAGTATACAACAATGATACAGCAACCCAAGATAAAGTTTTCAATAATAAATAGGGTATCTATACTATATATCAAGATCTTAATAGTCCTTTGTTTGAAAAGGGTTACTACAAAATGTTTAACTACTTTTTTCTTCTTAATTCATTATGTGAGTTCAATGAATATATATATATCTCATCATTTTTTCATAATAGATATTAAAGGGCAATAACTTCAATAAGGAGTCGACTAATGATTTCCTTAATGCAGACTTTTTTGTAGATCTTGTCTTGCTGATCATTTTGCTATATAAAGTTTCTATCTATTATAGTTTTCAAGATAATAGGCAAAATGCAAAAAAATGGGAAAAATCTTCATATACTGTGGATTCATTTAATTTCGTGGGTACCAATTTTCGTGGATTAAGGAAAACTTACATGTTCGTGGATATTTAATTTCGTGGTTTTTGACAATGTTTGCATACAAGCCTATAGTAAATTTGCCATTCGTTGAACTTTTAATTTCGTGGTTAACATATAACCACGAAATCCACGAAAATTGGTGTCCAACGAATAATAATGAATCCACAGTAAAAGGGCAATAATTTTAATTAGGTTTTGACTTAGGATTTCAATCATGTTGACTTATTTGTAGGTCTTATCTTTCAGATCACTTTTGCTATTTAAAGTTTCTGTCTTTCTATTACAATTTTCAAGATAATGAGCAAAAATGTATAAAATTGGTAAAATTCGTCATTTAAAGTCAATAACTCAAATAAGATGTCGTCGGACAGTTTTCATGTCAACTGACATTATGTAGATCTCATCATTGTGTAAATATTTTTGCTCCCTTATCAGATTTTCTCTATCTATAGCTGTTTTCAAGATAATAGACAAAAGTTGCATTTTGCCCTTATGTTCTATTTTTAGCCATGTCGGCCATGTTTGTCAGCAGGCGGGGTCATCAGACCCAGTTTTTTTAACTAGATACCCCATTGATGATCATGGCCAAGTTTGGTTAAATTTGGCCCGGTAGTTTCAGAGGAGATGATCTTTGTATAAGTTAATGGGCGACAACGACAGAGGCCAAGAGATAGCAAAGGACAACAATCCATACAAAGTTCTAAACAACAATAAACCATTGATCATGACAACAACTAACCATCATAAATAGAATCACGCTGAAAACCCACAATGGAAAAAATCCCTTCTTAACAATATGATAATTAAAGAACCTTTGTGGGCATGCTCACATACCCCACACCCCACATTGTCACTGGGCAAACAAAATATCACCAGATACATAATGTTAAAAGACTCATAACTGCTACAAAAGTCAACTGATAAAAATTTCTTGTAGATATGCACATCTACATTGTATGTCCTAACTATCTACAAAGTTTCATGAAATTCTGTTGTGTGGATTCAGAGGAGTTGCAATGACAAACTGTTGCAATAGTACACAAAGGCCAAAATTCTAGGTTCAAAGGGGCATAACTCCTAGAAAAAAAATTGAATCATAATTTCCTGTCGACATGCACATCTGCATAGTATGTCCTTGTTATCTACAAAGTTTTGTGAAATTCTGTTGTGTGGTTTCAGAGGAGTTGTGATGACAAGAACAGGACTGACGGACGGATGGGTCAAAAACATTATACCCTACAAAACTTTGTTCCGTGGGGTATAATAAATTGCTGACAACTCTGTAGGACTATCTGTGCCAAAATGATAGGAATGGGCATACCAAATACAGTGTAATACATGTAAGAGAATAAAGACAAAAATAAAACTTATCTCAAGGTTAGACTGTAAAAGTGTATTTGTTTGCAGGAGTATAATTACCAAATGATGGGAGGTAGTTCCAATATATATTATAAATGAATGTGAAAGCTGTCAATAACATTGCTAAAACAAAACATATCAATGAATGATATTTACAATCATTTAATCCTCAAATGCTGTGAAAAAAAAATTTCAGAAACCAATTTAGATAAAGTGCTCAGGACATAATCAATAATCAATATGCAGGTCAACCATACTGAAATGTATATATAATCTCTAACAAATAATCACAATGGAAAAAGTACAGAAAAATAATTTCTATGCACTTAAAAATTTTATTGGCTAAAAAAAATCAAAAAAGGTCAACCGAGACAAATGATATGCGATCTGTAATTTTCACATCTTTTAATCATAACCATATACTTGTTTCATCATAAATGATGTTATCAATTAACAAGAGGCTCTTGGGAGCCTGAATCACTCACCTGGTAAAAAATATGCCAGTTTGATATTTTTTTCCCTTTATTGCAATCAGTTATGTTAGCTTATTTGTAGATCTTATTAAGTGACATTTTTGTTGCATATAATGATGATCATTTTAACTGTTTAAAGTGTATACCTATCTATAAAGTTTTTGAGATAAAAACTTCATTTAATGGCAATTAATCCTATAAATAGTGTGACAATTTGGCCATATTGACTTTACTTACAAATCTTATTTTACTGATATTTTTTGCTTTTTAAAATTTCTCTGTAACTCCTATTGTTTTTTTGACAAAAATGGATAAAAATCATCATTCAGGGGAAATAACTTCTATCAGGAGTCTATAGATCTTATTGTGCTGAACAGTTTTGCTTTTTTCTGCTCTCACTATCTATTATAGTTTGTGCAAAAACTGCACAAATGGAAAAAAATCATCGTTCAAGGGCAATGACTCCTAAAAGGAGCCAGTTGGAAATTTTGGCCATGTTGACTTGTTTGTAGATTGTATTGTGCTGAACATGTTGGTGTTTACAATTTCTCCCTATCTATAATGATTCCTGAAAAAAAAATGGATAAAAACCATCTTTCAAGGGCAATAACTCCTATAAGTTGACAACTTTGGTTAAGTTAACTTTTTTGTAGATCTATTTTTGCTGAACACTTTTGCTTTCTAAATTTCTATCTATCATGACATATAACGGTAAAAAATCTTGCTAAATGACGTAATGGTAATTTTTGGTGCATGACGATTGTTTTTTTTACTGATTTTGACGAATCATGTTAAATTCTTTCCAAAAATACAGTAACGGATTATTTGAGACCTTTGACGAATCTGATAAGGATATTTTGACTAATCACAATAAAATTTTAACCCATTTGACGCTAACGGTAGCCGAAAATGACTGTTTGACGCCTGACGGTAAAGGTCATTCCTACCCTCTATTATAGTTTCTGCAAAAAATGAATAAAAATTAATCTTTTAAAGGGCAATAACACCTATAATGGGTTAATTGATGATTTGTCCATGTTGACCTAATTGAAGATCTTATTTTGCAAAAACATGACATTTCAGGGGGGAATTACTCAAAAATGGGTAATCTGATTTTTCTGAAAATATTGCAGGAGATAGACCTTACCTTTTCGTCCATTCTACCCCATGTCAGATTTGCTCTAACTGCATTTGTTATGGAGATATAAGCCAAAAATTTTGAAATTTACATTTCAGGGAGTATAACTGCAATACAGGTTGTCTTGTTTTTTCTGCTGATCATTCTTACTCTATGCCAGATTTGCTCTAACTGCTTTGATTTTTGGATAAAAGCCAAAATCTGCATTTTACCATTATGTTCTATATTTAGAAACAGTGGCAATGTTTGTTGATGAATCAAATCCCTGGATACAATTTCTAAACTAGATTGATTGATTGGAGATTGCTTTATGCCGCATCAGCACAGAAAGGCTATATCGCGACGACTATAAACTAGAAACCTTTAGGAACATATAAGTTTGGAAAATTTGGACAGGTAAGTTCAGAGAAGATCTTTTTTAAAGTTCACGAATACAGACAAAGAGGACGGAAATCAAGTGATGGCAAAAGCTAACATGGCCCTTCAGGCAAAAAACGAGCAAAAAATCATTTCCCATCATGAAAATGGTTTCAATTATACCAAAAGTGGGTCAACCAATATAAAACTCATTCTTCATCTGTTACTTCTATATTTCCAACATTTGCACAAGGAACATACTTAAGAATTTCAATAACTTTATTAAGAACTTTAAAAGTGTTACTAAATATTGTCTTTTTTTTTTTGGCAGTAAAGACTTGCGGAACAATCTGCACGTTTTCTACATTTAAACATATTCCTCTTAAAGGCGCTTTTTTGATTGGATGGAGCCAGCTACAATTGTGGCCAATCGAAATCATAATCTCATGAATCCAAATTTCTGACTTAAATCAGCCAAGGGTGAAGAGGGGTCTGGATCCTAACCCTTGGCTATCGAGGAGTGATTTCAACTGGTTGAGTAATCTTTGTGAAGAACTATTCTTTGAAAATCAGACAAATTGGCCCCCTTTTTGGCCCCTTTAAAATATTGGATCTTTCAACAAGACAAAAGTAACCCCTTTGGTACATTTGAAGTAACATGTCTACAACTCTGCATCAATTGTTTTATTTCACATTCATAGATCTTTGAAAATGTATGAATTTTGACCTGAGTAGGCAGCAAATGACATACAAGTTAAATCCATCTAGAACTTAAAGTGGGGTGTGAGCATTTGCTCCGTGCTGAAGGAAATACTTTCTGAGATGAAAATCAGCAAAAAAAAATGATTATCAGTTGCATTAGGTTTTGTTAAGAGCTTTTAGTATTTTTTTTCATGAATTAACAAGAATGCACAAGTTGACATACTAAGCATACCTCTATTTAATTCAAACTATCAGAAAACAGGAAGAAGGTGTCTAACAGATTGGAAAGGCACTAACACTTTTTAGCTCATCATTTCCAACTGCTAATCAAATATAAAGTCATCTGTTCAATAGAACTGTTGAAATGTATGACAATTTTTTTTAAGTTCAGTCAACATATTGATAAATTTGGCAATCAGAAAGTAGGTGTGTGAAAGATAAGAAGAGTTCTCACAAGTTACAACTCATCACTTTCAAGCTGCTGGTTTGATATGAATTCATATTGTTCAGTAGTACCTTAGAAAAGTAGGACAGAAATAGTTGTTGGACAAAAAGAATAGATAGAAAGATGAACAGACAGACAGATGGACAGAGAAGGCAAATGAAATATATGTTTTTATATCTTGTATTGTAATTTTCTTTGCTTTGTTATCCACTCTCCAATAGACGGCTAATAAATAGTGTATCATTACCTTCAACTTCTTGCGGTAATTCTTGTTTTATCATAGTGGATGTCAATTATTAAAATATTTATTGTGTTTTGTGTTACAAAATTTCTACTACATTTTCCTTGTTAACTCTGTCCAGTCCAACTTTTTTAAGAATTAATAACAAAACTCCTTCAGGATCTTAAAAGCAACCTTCATACCCCAGGGATTCAATCTGTCAGTTATCAACAGCCCATTCTTCAAACTTCAACCTTGATGGTCTTGGGTGCATGATTGTGATGTCATTGTTTTATAACTTGTAAGAAATACTGTATATATTGGGTTTGAGACTTGGGCCACCAGCTCAATTGTTCTCTGTTCACAGTCGTGTACAATGTATTTCAATGTACTGTGAAAATGGCAATGGTTTTATTTCTCTCAATATCATTGCTTTAGTTGAATTGCATTGGAGACTTAGTCATTTGAAAGTAAAAAAGAATAGTCATGATTTTTTTTCCCATTGCCAAGAACTTAGTTGAAATTAATAGCTGATCTAGACATTAAGTCCAGTTAGTTAAAAGTTAAAAGAGCTTTGATGGTATCTCCTGAATGTAATTGTACCTACCCTTTTATGTGTGTCTCTAGACTGGCTTCTCCTCCTCTCCTATAGTAATGGACAAAACATTCAAACTATCTGTGATCAGGGTATTTTGATGACTTTTACACAAACAAATAATATATGACCAAAAATGAAAATTAACTTCTAGAATAGAATCTTACTTCTGAACTTTTTTCAATATTTATAAAATATTTATTTCTAATACAAATTTTAATAAAAAAAAAATACTCTACTGATGTATCCCTGATTTACAGTCATCAAAATGCTCTACCAATTATAATAACAAAAAAAAACCATAAAATAACAACAAAACATTATCTTAATCATTACTAAATAACATGACATAATAAGTATCATTCAACATATTAATAATGAAGCAATTATTTGTACACATTTTCTTTGACACCTGAACATATTTTACTATAATAGCATCAGTTATGTATATGCCAGGTTGATAATGTTAATGAGATGACTCTACCGATCATTATTACATATGTTAGCTCTTAATACATGTATATCCCTGCATATGTGCATGCATCTACATCTGTAGAGTTATGGATCAACTTATACCTTATTTAGTTTACAAGTGTTCAACTCATTGGTGAAGGCCTTGCAGTTATTTTTATAGAAAGAACACTATAATTTCTGTGTGTAAATAAGCCTTTCGCATTTAGAGCTTGACCGATTGTGATAGACAGCTGTCTATTGTTGGACCTCTAAGTGTCTGTTTTTAAGTTGCTGAGCACATGTATTTCATTTTCAATGTACATGTATTTATTTCTAAATAGCTCCATGTATATATATATATTACTAAAAAACTTCACTTTTTATTACATCTTCGTATAAACTGTTGACTCAGAGATATGTCTCATCTTTTTGTTATTTTTATAGTATAATACAAATGTAGAAATTTCAATTTCAATATTTAAACAGGTAAGCTATTCAAAATATTCAAAGTCTATGAACCATGACTGAGGGTACAGGGTCAAATTACTGTCCCTATATACAGATCCTGACTTTACATGAACATAAGTAATTAGTCCTCAACCAAACTAATGTTGTCTGTAGATGAGATTAGTAAACATTTTGTTTACAGAGCTCAGAAGTAGCTTCAATTACTTTAATCCTTAATCTATATGAATTAAAAATGATGGGTAAATGTAAATGAGACAGCGACCTAAAAAATCCTAGAGGTCCATATACAGGTTTTAACAATTGAAAGCTGTCTATTATAACGTTTTAAGCTCTAACTCGTCCTTTGTTGTGAATCAATTTAAAGTTCTCATGATTAAAGATATTCAAAGAATATAAATAGTTTTCCAACATGTTTTACATCAAAAATATTTACTTATGCACCAATAACTTCTACATTGCATTGTGCATTGGTCTATTTACTAATTTTACAATTAAACTATATCTACTTACTTCAAATTAAAAAAAATATTAGGTAATGAGGAATGCTTTTAACACTGACAACACATTTAGAATTCAGAACTTTTCGCAAACTCACATTTAAACATTTAGTCAATTGATCACTAAACTGTTGAAACAGAGATGTCTCTCCATTATGCAATTTTGACAGAATAATGAAAATGTAGAATTCAAGTGGCAACACTTGAACATATACTTAGTTACTAAGTAAAACTTCAAATTCAATGAAAAAAGTTCGGGGCCAAACAACCTCCATGGATATGAGAAATGCCATAATGTCATAAGTGGTTCCCATTAAACTGACCTAAACACAAACTTAAACATTTAAACTATGCCAATGCTGTAGTATCAGGGCCAAATAACTTCTGAGATATAAGATGGTAGTAAAACTGCATACCAAATATTATTGTCCTACCACTAGTTGTTCCCTAAAACTAATCTAATCACAAACAAAGACATATAAATTAAGCAGATTCAAAGTCAATAGACCATGACTGAGGGGGTGGGGGCCAAAAATCACCATGGAAACGAGATGTACTGATACAACTAGTGGTACCCCTTAAACTGACCTAATCACAAACTAAGTCTCGATTAAAAGTGACGTCTATATTCTAAAATATTAATTACTTCTTTATCACATTTTCAATATATAAAAAAAAAACGTATATTATTTTTCTTTCTTCTGATGTAACATTGCACCACTATAGTATATAGCCTTAGGTACTCAAAAATAATTCAAAAAGGTAACTAATTTCATTAATGGTTGATTTTTTTTCTATCTGAACCCATTTCTGGAATCCAGTGTCCAATCTAAGTGGTTGCATGACTTAGCTGATGGAAAATCATTGTGTACATGCACATGACATTTTAATACATGGAAAATATAGACACTTGTTATTTAATCCTTATTGAATTGGGGAGGTGACAGACACTCATTAGGTCAACTACATTTTATATCAATAAATCTATATAATTATAGGCACATCAGCCCTACGGCTTTTATTAAAACATGTTTATGTTATGGTCTTGTTTAAAACCCAGCTGAAACAATACATATGATATTGTGCAAGTTCTCTTGTTTGACAAAGATAATGTGAATTAAAAACCAATTGTTCAGAGAACAATTGAAGGTCTTTCCACCAGTAAGGATCTATTTTGATATGAAAAATATTAAAATTAGGTTTTAAATGTCAATTCCAGCGTCAAATGACAGCTTAATGTACGCTTATTCCCAAAATATATGGTTTCTATACAAAAAAAAGATAAATAAGGGAGATAATTTTTGACTTCCGGTTTAAAAAATGTCACTTCCGGTATTGTTTGATAATTTACTTGACACTAATTCCAAAAATATATAGTTCTATATACTTTTACATTAATTTAGTACAATAAATAGCTACTTCCGGTTTACAAAAGGTCACTTCCGGTTGGCTTTTTCAAGGTCAAATAGCTTGCAACCTAATGCAATAAGTCCCATGGCTTTATCATGTATATATATGAGGTAAAAGCAAAGGTCAATATATAGAACGTCGAATCAACCTTTGACCTTGACCCCAATTTCAAGGTCATGAAACAAGGGCTTCAAATCAAAATACCTTAGGTCTCAATTATATATGATGAATGAGTTATATCACCATATGTGTAATTTTGAATATGATAGGGGAGAAAACTCCCATTAAATGTCTCCGTACCCTTTCAACTGAAATTTACGTGTTACAACATGTCGCAACTAACAATTCTGTAAAAAAAATTGTTGATATCTTATAAGATTTCTGAAAATTAGTGATAACAAGCAAAAAACAAAATGTTTTACATGACCTTGACCTTTAACCTTGACCTCATTTTCATTTTTATGGACCAAAGACCTCATATCAAAAGACCCTAGGCCTCTATCACTTATGGTTTTCCAGTTACAAATACATTTCACATATATCAAATACAAAAGGGGAAATAACTCTCATATGGAGTCTTCGTAAAGCTTCGGTCTAAATAAAACCTAACATCCTGAGGATATAACGAGCAATTTGGAAAAATAAATTTGTCGCTTTCTTTTACGGTTGCGGAGGAGATCTCATAACAAGAAAAACAGTGTTTGGGGAGATAATTCTTACAAAGAAAAGTGTTCGGTTAAACAGGGTCAGTTTCAAAAGCATATAGACTGTATGATATCATATACCAAAAAACTAAGCGACATCTTTTGAAACAAAAATACACCGCAAGAAAAAAATTAGGCGGAAAAAAAAAAAAAAAAAAATAGAACATCAAATTAAACTTTGACCTTGACCCCAATTTAAAGGTCATGAAACAAGGGCCTCAAATCAAAAGACCCTAGGTCTCAATTATATAAGATGAATGAGTTATATCACCATACATGTTATTTTGAATATAAAAGGGGAGAAAACTCCCATGAAATGTCTCCGTACCCTTTCAACTCAAATTTACGTGTTACGACATGTCGCAACTAACAATTCTGTAGAAGTATTTTGTCGATATCTTATAAGATTTCTGAAAATTAGTGATAACAAGCCAAAATCAAAATTTTTAACATGACCTTGACCTTTGACCTTGACCTCATTTTCATTTTTATGGACCAAGGACCTCAAATCAAAAGACCCTAGGCCTCTATCACTTATGGTTTTCCAGTTACAAATACATTTCACATATATCAAATACAAAAGGGGAAATAACTCTCATATGGAGTCTTCGTAAAGCTTCGGTCCAAATAAAACCTAACATCCTGAGGATATAACGAGCAATTTGGAAAAAAAAATTTGTCGCTTTCTTTTACGGTTGTGGAGGAGATCTCATAACAAGAAAAACAGTGTTTGGGGAGATAACTCTTACAAAGAAAAATGTTCGGTTAAACAGGGTCAGTTTCAAAAGCGTATAGACTGTATGATATCATATACCAAAAAACTAAGCGACAACTTTTGAAACAAAAATACACCGCAAGAAAAAAATTAGGCGGAAGAAAAAACAAAATAATCAGAAGAAAACCAATAAGTCTTTCCACGGAAAGGTGGAAAGACCTAATTAATTGCTCTAGATAAAGTGCTTATTTTCTTGATGCAATGGCCTGAGACACACTCTTTATTATAGTCATCAACTAGTTACATGTTTTCCTTGTATTTAATCAAGTGATCAATCAACAAATCATACCACTAAAGCATTATTGTTTCTCAACATTAGTTTTGGTTTGACATTAAAATAAGGAGGCTTAAATCCACATATCTATTGGGAGGAATATAACGTACTAATGATATTTGAACTTATTTCCATCACGATATTTAGCATCAGAATTGCACTTATTTAACAGTCAAAAATAATGTTTTTTTCAAGTCATGTGTCACATGAAAACTTAAATTGCTAGAGAAAAATCACAGATAATGTTTAGCATGTGTTTTTATAATTAAAATTAAAATTCTAATAACCACATTTTTTTCAGATTTAAATTTTAAATTAATTCCCAATACTTTTAAAAACACAAGTATTAACAAAATAAAATATTTACATCTGATATACTGAATAATACATTAGAGACCTTTCACTTTTAATCTCCTTCCTTTTTCTGCTTCATCTCAAGCAAATAATTATCTCCATTCTCAAAACGGTGATGATATTTCCACATTCTCCACATCTTTCTTAATACAGAAATCTTCAGTGATCGCATTTTTAGAAGATCTTTCCAACAAATTAATGCACAGCGTATCTCAACGACATGATACCATTTGAGTGAAATAGTAGCTGTTGCCTTCTTAAAGATTATTTCCAACTGAAAACGGTTCCTTTCTAATCTGTTACGAACATGATCCAATCAAACCTAATTTTTCCACAGCTGTTATGACAGTGATATCTATCCAAAAAAACAGTAGCCGTAATTCCCATCATCAATACACTTGAAGCAAATATTTCAAAATTAAAAAAATAGAAAAAGAAAACCAAACACAAAAAATTTCTTTTATTAAAAACTTTAACTGAATTGTAAATTTCATGTAAAAATAACACAATGTAAAATGTCCAAAACAAAAATAATATAAAATAAAAATATAAAAAAATCGAAAATATCTATCTCAATCTCTCTGATTTTGAAATTCATCTTAAAATTGTTATGGAAGCTCGGAGTCTAAACAAGTTACATTTCTGGACTGAAACTGTTTCAAAATATCTTAACCATTCAAAAGTTAAGAAATCCAATAAGCAATTAGTAAAATCCTCTTGAATGGACTGGCTTCAGAAAGTAGTATACATCTCCATTATCCCCTTGGCTGTACCCTCTATAGCATTAACAACATAAGAAAGTTCTATGGCTTTGGGTGAAACATCTTTCTCCTGTGACCTTCACTAACATGAGATCTGGTTATTCCTGAGGAAACTTTGTGATATATGAGACCTGGTAATTCCATTTCTATATATAAACTTCAAACGTCATTGAAAAATGAGAGGAGGGACTTTTTATAGCACTAAATGGCACCATCAGAAAATGACAAAAGTTCTTCTGAACTTCTATCATCAGTTCTTTTAATATGCGTAAACTTTAAAAACTGGATTTCCCCTTTAATACAAACAGTTCTCAATATTGCGATATAAAAATGGCATAATATATAGCACCTCAAGTCTTTTCAACTTCTGGATAAACATGAAAATAGGAAAGAAAAGCAGCTAACTCCTTCATTTTGACATACAAGAACCAAGACTTTGCCAGAAAGCAGCTTTTTTGAAAACATATTTTTATACATATTATAATTTCGCCTTTTTCCTTATATTCTCATTTTTTTAACAGGCTTTTCTTTAACTTCCTTTGAATTTCTGCCTTTTCCTTAACTTCCAATTTTCTTTAAAAAAGCAAACTTTCTCTGCATATATTTAATAACAGTGGTGGTCTTTTCCATGAAATTTCTGTTGCTGGACTCCATTTCTTGAACTTTATCTTCTTCTTTTAACTTCTGATAAGACTTCACAAAATAACCCTGTAACTTAAAAAGATGGATTAAATACCAAAGGGACTGGTAATGTGTCCCTTGATGCCCTCTGACTGGTCAACCATTTACCATTTCCAACATACTAACCTTTGACCCAGTTGGAGAATCCAGTTTGCGTCTTTTTACATCTACAAAGATATCAGATACAAATCTTAAAATTCTTTTAATTAATTTTCCTATAAACTTTTAACTAGATTCAGTAACATTTGTAGTAAGTAAGTAGATTTTGCATAAATTCATGATTTTAAAATACATAAACTCTTTTGAATATCCTGAGAGTTTTGAAAATCTATAACTCTGAATATTGCGAGTTCTAAATAGCAGCATCTATATTTTTTTTTTGTACTTTTCTCAGTTTATTGTGAGAATTAAAGTATATCATGATAATTTTCTGGACCATATGAGTACAAGGAACTGGTCATGAATATATATGCATAAGGTCCAAGAGAAGCAGGACTCAAATTTAATATCGAATGATCAATCTCTCAACCATATTCAGTAATGAAATTGTGCTAATATGATATAAATCTAAAACCAACATTCACTTGTACACTGAGCCAAATTTTTAAAGTACTAGCACAAAAGGTTACTGTTTCAAGATGCAGTGTAATTAGCATCTACATAAATTTTAACTATATTGTGTGGTCCATGACCAAAATTTCAAATTAGTTTGTAAAAACATTTTAAAAATTCAACTGTGATGTTTTGTAAAAATGTTTACCTCTTTCATCAGAATGACATTTGCTTATCTCTGGACTATGATGTGTATGGCTTGATGACTTCTCCACCCTGTGTACTTCCTTCTCCCTTCCTTCTGGCTCCTTGTGATCATGGTCTGGTGTGTAGGATCTCTTTAAAGTCTTGTCATGTTTTTCTTGGCGCTCCTTCTCTCTTCTATCTTTATGGTCTTCTTTTGCCTTAGTTTCTCTTGGAGAATCATGTCTCTCTTCTTTTACAACTGTATCTGATACATCTTTGTGCTTACTTTCCTTTGCTCTTTTATCTTCCTTACTGGACTTATCTTTCTTGTCCTCTTTGTTCTTTTTCTCTTCTTTGTCTCTATTCTTTTCTTTCTTTTCTTCCTTATTTTTCTCTTTTTTCTCCTCTTTAAGTTTTTCTTTCTTTTCTACTTTCTCTTTGCTGCTATCTTTTTCCTTGGATGTTCTAAAAAAAAAAATACCAGCTAAATTCCATATCTAAAATGACTTTGAACTAAGTGAGTTTCATAAATTCTATGAAGGTTTGTTAAAGGTATTAATGTCTAGATAAGGCTATGTGTCCATATGACACCTTTAACATTAACAACTTTAACATTCAAACTATGCCAATGCTGAAGTAACATGGCCAAGTAACTTCTGAGGTAAAAGTGCAAATAAAACTGCATACCAAATATTATTGTCCTACCACTAGTTGTTCTCTTAAACTGATCTAACCACAATCTGACATATAAATTAAGCAAAGTTTTAAAGTCAATAGACCATGACTGAGGGGATGGGGCCAAAAAATCACCATGGAAATGAGATGTGCCAATGCTGATACCACTAGTGGTACCCCTTAAACTGACCTAATCACAAACTAAGTCTTGCTTTTTCAACTTCGTAGAGGCGAGATTAAAGTGACATCTATATCCTAAAATATTAATAACTTCTTTATCACATTTTTAATACATAAAAAACCCATTGTATATTATTTTTCTTTCTTCTGATATAACAATGTGAGATCTTCAAATTTGCGTTTGAAAATTTTTATTCTTCCCTCAGCGGTATTCGAACCCTTGCCCTTGCGCGCTAGACCACTTGACTACCTAGGCTACATGAAATATAGCTTTCGGTGGGAAATGTAATGCCTTTCCTTGTCAGCTTTATCTAGGGTTGTAACACAGTACATGATGTATAGTGGCAAGTAGATGGTGTACCTTTCAGATCAGCTATTTTGTCTGTCGTAAAGGATGATAATATTAATTACCATGCAGCCACATCAAATTTAAATTATATATATATATATTCCCTTCAAAATACCTGAAACCCCAACTTTGACCTGATATAGGAGTAACTAACAGACACAAAATGGAAAACATATCGCTACTGTACAATGGTAGGGCACACATAAAACTTTCACCACAGACAGGATCATAATGCTAAAGAAAAAAAAGAAGGAATGTAGGATTGCTATGTCTAACTTAGTTGTTAAAACCTTTCATCGCACATAAGAAAATTACTGAAACTTACCCAAGCAAGTGTAAGTAAACCAAATATCAATATGCCCCATGACATTCCTCACAGGCAAGATAATTACTATAATGTACCCAAGGTTGTGTATGTAAACCAAATATCAATATGCCCTATGACATTCCTCACAGGCAAGACAGAAATATAAACAGCTACTAACCCGTTAACTAGTTCCTTCTTGTCATCATTCTTTTTCTCTGTTTTAACTTTTACATCAGTCTTCACCTCCTTTTTCTCATTCACTTTTTTTTCCTTTGGATCTTTAGAATCTTTGTTATCTTTTAACTTGACTGTAAAAACAAACAAGTTCTTTTACTGCAATGTTCGACAATATATCAAAGGTTTAATAACAGTTCGACTTGAAACAGTCCAATTTTCATATCTGTGTTATAAAGCCATAGGTTTCACAAGTTGATAGTGTCTGGTGTTAAAACCTTCTTATGTCATATTTCTTTAACTGTTCAAATCAAACTGGAAACACAGCCTTTCTCACTTTTCCTGGTCTGCTAGATTTGCTTATGTGTCAAGTATATGATCTGCTGTTTTACATGACTTGTTTATATCAGGGTAACTAAATTATTTATAGAACAGAGCTTATTTCACCCATAAATAGAAAATTAATATATGATTTGAAATTTTTCCTGATAATCAAATAGCTGAAGTGAACAGCTACTGACTGATGATGGGTGTTTTATTTCCAGCAACAAATAGTATAGCCAAGATTATAACATGCTAATATTGTATGATTATATAATGCTATGTACTAGACCAAATGGTGCAGTCAACTTTTTATGAGCTAGCTTACAAGGCATCGTTCCACTAAGCTATGAGCTGACCATTTTTTTTTCGTCCTTCTAAATACTGAGTGCATACCATACATGCAGCAAAATCCAATTTAAGTAATTGGTTTGACTCATTCTGGCATCAAACCCCATGAAACAACTGACAGATCAATATACTTTGATAGTACCCATCACAAGAACTAAAAATAATGAATACCTTCATTTTGTTTGCCTGATTTAGCCTCATCCCCTGCTTTCCTGGTAGGTGTAGCCATCCCACCTTTAGCTGCCTGAACTTTGGCTTGAGCTTTATTCTACAAATTAACAATTCCATCCTTTACTATCATTAATTTTAAATTATTTCTAAATAAATGGGGAATGTGTCCATGGGACACAGATGGTGCCCCCGCTTGCATATCATATAAAGTTATAAAGGGACATAACTGAAGAACAGTAAAAGTGACGCTACCCAAATTTGTACTTGATCTGAGTTTTGTGGTAATAAGTATTGTGTATAAGTTTCATAAAATTTGGTTGAGGCAAACTTAAGTTAGAGAACGGAAACAAAAAATTCAACAATTTTTCCATTTGTTTAAGGGCATAACTCTAGAACAATAAAAGTGACACACCGCCAAAATTCAAACTTGATCTGTATTTTGTGGTAATAAGCATTGTGTATAAGTTTCATAGCATTTGGTTGAGGCAAACTAAAGTTAGAGAACGGAAACGAAAATTTCATCAATTTTTCCATTTGTAAAGGTATAGAACCACTAATTCAGGCCCGGTCGGAAAGAACATACAAGAAAGTAGTACATATTTTAAACAAAATAGTTCCTACGCATAGCTGTATCTTTGTCAAGAGTGGGAATATTTGGGTAGTTTTAGTATCAAATGAAAGCTTGGGGACTTGGGATCACTGTAGAACCCTTGTTGAAAGTTTTATTTGAATAATAAAGAAGTATATGAAATTTTAATAGGAGGGCTCATTTGGCCTGTTGTTCAGATCAGAAGTTCCTGTTTTTGTACTATCAAACTTCCGGGAAACAGTACGCTCTAATATGCAATTAAAGGTATGTTGATTTTTTCAGCACAAGTCAGCATAAGGTACAGTTTTGACATGAAATAACTGCCACTTTATTTGAACTTCAGACAAAGTAGCCATTTATGCTTGAAATTGCAGAATTTAACATAGAAAGCAATGGGGCTATGAATTAGTGGTTTTATACCTATTACTAACAGGCATGTGAAATTCTATTTTTAGAAATCATACCCTTTACAGTGAAAATTGGTCACATTTGTTGTCAGAAATCATGTTACATTATTTTTTTTATGTAACAATTATGTTAGTGTCAAATTACAGCCCTCAAATTGCTACAATAAGGTAGTTTAGCCTTTTTTGGTCATTTAGCATGCACACAGTTAAGATTTTACCTGAAATTTAAATTTTTGGATTATCTAACACTGAAACCAATGAAACTTGTATATTATGACTAGTTTATAGTATAAATATTGTTTTTGGTCAAATTATCTAGTGAGTGTTCAAGTTTTATTGTGTTTCTTGGTGAATTATTTATTTCAAGGAAAATTGGTGTATACTTATATAGGAATTCCAAAATCTCTCTTGAAATGCATTTTATAACCATTTTAGCAAGTTGTCTAGCTTGGAGATACATAAATTGCTCTTGTTGATCCATGTTTATACATAAAAGTATGATTTTTTTACCAAATCACTCTCCTTTTCCAACATGTAGAAAAAAGGGGGGACAAAATTATCAATTATATTTTATGTTTGGACCACTGTATTTATATTCAAGGAAGAATTTCTGATAAAATTAAGACATATAGGTAAGAACACTGTTATTCGAGTAGATATTAACAAATCAGAACTGGTAAAAATTGAAAAAGTGTCATATCTGTCACTATTGGTATCCATATGTAGTTTTCTTTGTTTAACGCATATGTTACTACCAGTCCAATTTGAGCTTGAATTCAGTGATATAGTGTTTTGACAAAAGCTTTATGTGTTTTTCTATGCTAGAAATAGATCATAGAAGGAAATTAAGTCAAGCAGAAGTCAATATAACAAGTTTGGTGCTGTTATAGGTATAGAACCACTAATTCAGGCCCGGTCGGAAAGAACATACAAGAAAGTAGTACATATTTTAAACAAAATAGTTCCTACGCATAGCTGTATCTTTGTCAATAGTGGGAATATTTGGGTAGTTTTAGTATCAAATGAAAGCTTGGGGACTTGGGATCACTGTAGAACCCTTGTTGAAAGTTTTATTTGAATAATAAAGAAGTATATGAAATTTTAATAGGAGGGCTCATTTGGCCTGTTGTTCAGATCAGAAGTTCCTGTTTTTGTACTATCAAACTTCCGGGAACCAGTACGCTCTAATATGCAATTAAAGGTATGTTGATTTTTTCAGCACAAGTCAGCATAAGGTACAGTTTTGACATGAAATAACTGCCACTTTATTTGAACTTCAGACAAAGTAGCCATTTATGCTTGAAATTGCAGAATTTAACATAGAAAGCAATGGGGCTATGAATTAGTGGTTTTATACCTAAAGGGGCATACATTCTAGAACAGTTGAAGTGACGCCACCAAAATTCAAACTTGATTTGACCTGTTGATACTATTTGTAATGCTTTTTTGTTATTTAATGTTAACATGGATCTTGTCTATATACCAGCTTTAATTATTTGGAATTACTACAAATTTTCACTTCTTCGTACTATAAACATCAAAATTATTTCATTTCTCCTTAAATACTGTTCTTGCAACTGTACAGGAAGTTTTATCTAGCACCAATTGTATAGTTTTATTGTTGATTTTCACCCCATGTGTACCAAGTGTTAGATTAGTTTTTTTGATATTAAAGAAATTTCTTGGTATTCCTAAATGGAAGATTTTATACACACAGAAGAAGAAATATAGTTAACTACAAAATTATTTTCATTTACCTGTGTATAATATGACGCAGGTTTTTTCAAAAGTGATGATTTTCTAAAAATTGATTAACATTTCACAGTGGTATCATATTTTAACTTTGTTTAAATCTGTTTATTTACTTTTGACCTTAATTATTTATCCCTTATAATTTTTATTAACTATGTATTTGCATTCAGGTATCACAGATCAAATTTATTCGTTCATTGTGTGTTAATTTACGTTTTTTGATTGAGTTAAGCCTTCCAATTGATATTTTATAGTGTGTCTTTCTATGTTGTGATGTTATACTATTGTTTCAGAAAAGAGAGAAGGTTTGGTACCATTAAAACGTTTAATCCCACTGCAAATATTTGCACCTACAAGTCAGGAATCTGATGTACAGTAGTTGTTGGCTGTTTATGTAGTTCATACGTGTTTCTCGTTTCTCGTTTTTGTATAGATTGGACCGTTGGTTTTCCCTTTTGAATGGTTTTACACTAGTAATTTTGCGGGCCCTTTATAGCTTGCTGTTCGGTGTGAGCCAATGCTCCGTGTTGAAGGTAGTACCTTGACCTATAATGGTTTACTTTTATAAATTGTTACTTGGATGGAGAGTTCATACCACATCTTCCTATATCTATTGATCTGTATTTTGTGGTAATAAGCATTGTGTATAAGTATAACATTTGGTTCAGGCAAACTAAAGTTAGAGAACGGAAACAAAAAATTCAGCCATTTTTATGTTTATAAAGGTGCATAACTCATGAACAGTAAAAGTGACGCCACCAAATTTCGAACTTGATCTGTGTTTTGTGGTAATAAGTATTGTGTATAAGTTTTATAACATTTAGTTGAGGCAAACTAAAGTTAGAGAATGGAAACCAATTTTGGGGATGTACACGACGGATGGGACAGACAGATGGGATGGACAAGGGTAAAACTTCATGCCCCCTCTACTACGGTAGGGGCATAAAAATGTCCACAAAATTTGTCTTTTCTTTCCAGTACAACAGCATTTACTTCCTAGTCAATGTTATCTTTTTTTAGAATAGCACCTGTAACTGGTTAAACACAAATCAAATTGATATCAAACTAACTGACATAAAAAGCAGTAGTAATTTTGCAAGCACTCGTAATTTTCACCATTTACAGAACGATTTTCGAAATGACGAAAATATTTCTGATCAATTTCGTCACTTAAATTTGTAAAAGTAAAATAAAAAATTTCACCTGGTGACAAGTTTATGACAAGTTTACAACCCCTAGCTATTAAATTGATACAACAGATATCATAACTTATTGTTACAGGTAATTCGCTTATCCGATGGGTCATTAATGATCATCAAAATTAATTCATACAAATAGAATCAGTCAGTCAGCATTTGGTCATTTCGTATGAAATTGTTCATACCACACATTTACTGTACTTTCATGATGAAAATGTAATTGACAAAAAGACAAAGAACTTATTCAAAAACATCATTTTTCTTGAATTCCGTTAAAACGTTAAATTCAGACGTATTTGGTCTTTGATTACTGTCAACTAGATAGTGAATAACAAAACAGGCAGCCGTTAATTGAATGTGATTCTTCTGTTTATAATACTCTGAAGAGTAGGAGCATACTCAAATACAAGAAAGATAAATCATTATAGTTTTCCTAGTATTGAAATAACTACTCATGATCAGTTTACATACTTCTGACTTATAGGTTTAGGAGGTCTTTTGAGTTATGGTGCACATAAGGGGGTTGGGCAGGGGGAATTGGGTCATTATTTTCTGTATTTCTTTTTTTTAATACAAATTTTCTCTGTTCTGTATATTAAAGCACCAATTATTCAATTATTCTCTCTTCTTCATTTTTTGCCCATTTTACTTTTCTTTATATTTAATATTAACACATTTTCTCTATTCTGTAGCATATGTAGACCATAAGCAAATCAAAAGGACAGGAACATTGACCAATAGATTTATTATATCTAATAGTCCAATTAGTCCGTGTTATGAGACATGTATACAAATCAAAACAAAAACATACAACATGTATCTTTTGAAGAAATACAGCTGTTTTTTGTGTTTTAATCTAAATTGTTATATTTTATGTATACATGTATACTAATGAAATACTGAAAAAGAAAATATTCATGGTTTTGTTCATGTATTAAGCCCTATGCAATAAATACTCAAGAAGGTAGATTTTCTTATCACACAAAAGTGACTAAAGCCCTCAAAATCCTAGCTTAAACCCTGAAAAGCGGGATATAGGAATCAATGGACAGTTTACTTACATCTTTTTGATGAAACTCATTTTCTGCCACCCATGTTGTTTTCTTTCCTTTCAACAGACCTGAATACCTAGAAAATAATACCTATGTTAGTTAATAATTGTTCACTTTAATCATAAAATGGAAAGAAGTAACATTTGTTAATTTTACTCAGCCATATTTAGAGCTTAAAATAGTATAGACACCTGTCTATGTTGAAAGATCTCTAGATGTCTATGTTTTGATAAAATAAAATATGTACTAAAACTGTGCAAACATCATATTCTTGGCTACAACTTATTCATATAGGAAAATATCAGTCAGAAACCCCCCTCACTCTATTTTTTTAGTTTCAAAGACTTTTGAGAATGCTTTAATTGTCTTAACTTGTAAATTTTTGTTAAAGTGTAATATTGATAAATCTTTTTACAATCATTAGTATTTACTAAAACTGTATATAAAACTTTTTGGTAATGATTAGTATATGTATGTACTAAAACTGTTATATAAAACTGACTTATTACTATGATTTTAACAAAACTAATATAACTTTTGGTATAGTATTTTATGAGTAAATACAGTTCAATCCTCTGTATTGTCTTTGTATTGACCAATTTCTTTTTCCAATAACTATTGTTCATATGTTTGTTGAGGACCTCAGGGAAGATCAGTAATTGTAACTAACTGTGTTTACCCTCTTTAAATAAAGAATTTATTATTATTATTATTATTATTATTATTATTATGACATTACACCTCTAACATGTCTATGACACTTACCCAATAGCTAGGGCACATTACACCTCTAACATGTCTATGACACTTATCCCATAGCTAGGGCACATTACACCACCAACATGTATATGACACTTATCCCATAGCTAGGGCACATTACACCACTAACATGTCTATGACACTTATCCCATAGCTAGGGCACATTACACCACTAACATGTCTATGACACTTATCCCATAGCTAGGGCACATTACACCACCAACATGTCTATGACACTTATCCCATAGCTAGGGCACATTACACCTCTAACATGTCTATGACACTTACCCCATAGCTAGGGCACATTACACCTCTATCATGTCTATGACACTTATCCCATAGCTAGGGCACATTACACCTCTAACATGTCTATGACACTTACCTCATAGCTAGGGCACATTACACCTCTAACATGTCTATGACACTTACCCCATAGCTAAGGCATAGATATCAGGTCTTTTCTCTTTCTCATCTTGTCTTAGTCTATCTACCCTCCTTTCCAAAGCCTGACCAAACTGTGTGATCTTAGGATAATTTGGTAATATCTTGGTGAGTACTATCAATGCATTGCGTATTTGTATATAGTTCCCACTTTCAAGACATGCTACCATAGCTTTTGTAATTCTGAAATGCCATTTGTGACAAACATGGCGATAATTTTCAAAGTCTAACTGATCAGCTTTATTTACACTGTCAGCCCCTTTTCTGAACACTGTTACAAATCCTGGGTAACTGGCACACTCCTAAAACATAACAAACATTATTTTCATTGAATAAATACCAAAAGGATTTTTTTTCATCATGGCCCTAAAATCAATGTAATAAGATATATTACAATGAATAACCTATTTCGAAGAAAAAAAATCATTACCGAACTACTCAAACAATTCACTCATCCACTATGTGCATTCATGCATTGATGTGTTGTTCAGTCATAAATATTTTCCAAAGTTCAATTTCTTGGATAAGTTTTAACATAATTATTTATTTCCTTTAAACACATTTATAAATTTGAACAGTTTCATTTCATACTTTTATGGCGGAGAAAACATTATAAATATAAATTTCATACAAGAGATAAAATAAAACCTTATTAGTTGTTTTACAGTAATCTTTTAAACATGTGGAAAGTATCTGTCATTTTAAGAACATTTTGTGAAAGGGGTCTATCTTCATAAAGATAGTTTCCAACATGGTTGGCTGAGAGACCAATTTGACCCTTTTCTAAGAGTCTGCTTATTAATTACTGAGACCATAGACTTCCCATATTTTCAACACATGTCATTAATTTAACTTTTAACATCATCTTAGAAGAGTGTAGCCATAATACTAAACTTCAAATGATTTTACAATTTATGAGAAGTAAAACAAATTGTCAGTCTAAGTTCACTGATAGAAACAAAAGTGCACACGCTGAAATGTCTCACCTGCTTCACTGAACATTGATTTTATGTTGAAAGTCTTAAAGATAAAGGTTTTACTAAAAGCATTACAGAAACTTAACATTTTAAATAAATGGGGAATGTGTCCATGGGACACAGATGATGCCCCGCTTGCATAAAACATTATAAAGGGCCCTTTATAGCTAACTATTCTGTGTGAGCCAAGGCTCCATGTTGTAGGCTGTACTTTGACCTATAACGGTTTACTTTTACAAATTGTGACTTGGAAGGAGAGTTGTCTCATTGGCACTCATACCACATCTTCTTATATCTAATAACTCAAGAACGGTAAAAGTGACGCTACCAAAATTCTAATTTGATCTGTGTTTTGAGGTAATAAACATTGTGTATAAGATTCATAACATTTAGGTGAGGCAAACTAAAGTTAGAGAACAGAAACGAAAAATTCAGCAATTTTTCAATTTGTACAGGGGCATAACTCTAGAATGGTAACAGTGACATCACCAAAATTCAAACTTGATCTGTTTTGTGGTAATAAGCATTTGGTTACGGCAAACTTAAGTAAGAGAAAGGAAACTAAAAATTCTACATTTTTTTCCATTTGTAGAGGGGCACAACTCTAGAATGGTAAAAATGACGCCACCAAAATTCAAATTTGATTTGTGTTTTGTGGTAATAAGCATTGTGTATAAGTTTCATAACATTTGGTTGAGGCAAACTAAAGTTAAAAATTCAGCAATTTTCCCATTTGTAAAGGGGCATAACTCTAGAATGGTAAAACTGATGCCACCAAAATTCAAACTTGATCTGTGTTTTGTGGTAATAAGCATTGTGTATAAGTTTCAACATATTTGGTTGAGGCAAACTAAGGCAAACTAAAATTAGAGAAGGGAAACTTAAAATTAAGCAATTTTTCCATTTGTAAAGGGGCATAACTCTAGAATGGTAAAAGTGACACCAACAAAATTCAACCTCCATCTGTGTTTTGTGGTAATAAGCATTGTGTATAAGTTTTATAACAATAGGTTGAGGCAAACTAAAGTTAGAGTACGGAAACCATTTTGGGGACGTATGTACGGACATACAGACGGACAAGGGTAAAACTTAATGCCCCCTCTGCAACAGCGGGGGCAAAAAAATCTATGACAATGAGGTCAAGGTCAGATAAATTGTGTCGTCAGACAGACATATACACCATACAATTTTTTTATACACCAAATATAGTTGACCTATTGTGTATGCTAATTGAAAAAGACCAAAACACAAAAACTTAACATTGACCAATGAACCATAAATATGAGGTCAAGGTCAGATGATACCTGCCAGACAGACATGTACACCTCACAATTATTCCATACACCAAATATAACTAACCTAATGCTATTAGTTTTTGAAAAACAGACCAAAACACAATAAATTGCTTCGCCGTGTGCAGCTGGATACGACCGCAGAGGTCCAACCCTGAACAGTTGGGGCAAAAATGGACACAATATTCGCGTTTGATACAGGTCTGAATTTGGATTATAATTAAATATTTGACACATAATAGGTTTCTGACACAGAATAACTGTAGTCGAAGAACTTAGAATTGGTTATATGATTTGAATTTATATTCAATTTTTTGCTTTTGTGCAATACACTTTGCTGTTGCGAATTGACCCCCCCTCCCCCACATAAAAAAAAAAATGTACCCCCCCCCTTTTTTTTTTGCTTATGAGCAATACACTATGCTGTTGCGTATTGACACCCCCCTTTCCCTCAAGATATGGTCATAATCTCAATTCAAATTTCCAATGGAGTTTGCAACCATAATTTAAAAACATCATAAAAGTCTTAAAATAGAAAATGACATACATAATCATGGCTAAAATTAATATTCCTTAATAGTAACTTCTAAAAATAAATTGACAGCTAATCATCTCAAGACAATACAACATTTCTTAATACATAATTTAAAAGCAGTGTAAGGGAGGTAATCAAAACATTGTTTGGATTACCTCCCTTACACTGCTTTTAAATTGTCTTAAGTAATTGTCCATTAACCAGAAAACCCTTGTTTTCCCCCCTTTTTTGCCCCCAATTCCTAAACGGTTTGAGCCATAACCCCCCCAAAGCAAATCCTAACCATCCCTTTGTGGTATGGAAACTTGTGGTATAATTTCAGAGAGATCCATACACCGTTCCACAAATTATTTTCTGGAAACTAGAAAAATGCTTATTCAGGCCCCTTTTTGGGCCTTAATTCCTAAACTGTTAGGACCATAACCCCCAAAATCAATCCCAATCTTCCTTTTGTGGTTATAAACCATGTGTATAAATTTCATAGATTTCTATCTAATTATACTAAAGTAATTGTCTGGAAACCAACTGTCTTCGGACGACGATGACGACGATGACGTGATACCAGTTTACGACCACAAAATATTTTGTGGTCGTATAAAATAAAAACTTAACATTGACCATTGAACCATAAAAATTAGGTCAAGGTCAGATGATACCTTCCAGACAGACATGTATACCTTACAATCATTCCATACACCAAATACTTACTGCTTATAGGATTTGAGAAATGGAACTAATCACGTAACTTTAACCTTGATCACTGATACATTAAATGAGGTTGAGGTCAGGTGAACTCTGTCTAACGGACATGTAAACGTTGTAAGGAACCATATACCAAATACAGTTATCCTATTACTCATAATAAGTGAGAAATTCACATGACAAAAAACTGTAATTTTTTTTCAAGCAGTCGCTGAACCATGAAAATGCGGTCAAGGACAATGGACATGCGATTGACAGAAACTTTGTAACATAAGGTATCTGCATACAAGATATGAAGCATCCAGGTCTTCTACCTTCTGAAATATAAAGCTTTATACAAATAGTTTACGCTGCCGCCGCCTCCGGATAGTAATACCTATGTCTCGCATACTGCAACAAAAGTTGCAGGCGAGACAAAAATTCTGTAAATACATTATTCAAAGTGCAGTACTTCACTGGTTTTATTATTGTTTGGTTGCTGTCTCATTCACATTCTTTTATTCATACTGGTATACTTTTACCTTTTCATAAATTTTCCTTTCACTATGCCATCTCATTATTGTGTCTAATGCAGCACACAGAAATCTACCATACCGATGAGCTTCATTCTCAGTACAGCTTGTCACAGTAAAAGTAATATCACAGAATATCTAGAATACATACATATATCTAGATTAATACCTGGTTTACTATTACCAACTAGTCTTAACAGCATTAAGTCTAATAAATATTTGTTTTAATTCTTAGAAAAAATGATTTTTTATAGAAAGTACAATATGTTTTACTTTACAACATATGGTCTAGATAGGCAATGGAGGAGGTTTCTGTGTACATTATACAACATATGGTCTAGATAGGCAATGGAGGAGGTTTCTGTGTACATTATACAACATATGGTCTAGAAAGGCAATGGAGGAGGTTTCTGTGTACATTATACAACATATGGTCTAGATAGGCAATGGAGGAGGTTTCTGTGTACATTATACCACATATGGTCTAGATAGGCAATGGAGGAGGTTTCTGTGTACATTATACAACATATGGTCTAGATAGGCAATGGAGGAGGTTTCTGTGTACATTATACAACATATGGTCTAGATAGGCAATGGAGGAGGTTTCTGTGTACATTATACAACATATGGTCTAGAAAGGCAATGGAGGAGGTTTCTGTGTACATTATACAACATATGGTCTAGATAGGCAATGGAGGAGGTTTCTGTGTACATTATACCACATATGGTCTAGATAGGCAATGGAGGAGGTTTCTGTGTACATTATACAACATATGGTCTAGATAGGCAATGGAGGAGGTTTCTGTGTACATTATACAACATATGGTCTAGATAGGCAATGGAGGAGGTTTCTGTGTACATTATACAACATATGGTCTAGATAGGCAATGGAGGAGGTTACTGTGTACATTATACAACATATGGTCTAGATAGGCAATGGGGGAGGTTTCTGTGTACATTAAAAACATATGGTCTAAATAGGCAATGGGGGAGGTGGCAATGGAGGAGGTTTCTGTGTACATTATACAACATATGGTCTAGATAGGCAATGGGGGAGGTTTCTGTATATAATGTACAACATATGGTCTAGATAGGCAATGGAGGAGGTTTCTGTGTACATTATACAACATATGGTCTAGATAGGCAATGGAGGAGGTTTCTGTGTACATTATACAACATATGGTCTAGATAGGCAATGGAAGAGGTTTCTGTGTACATTATATAACATATGGTCTAGATAGGCAATGGAGGAGGTTTCTGTGTACATTATACAACATATGGTCTAGATAGGCAATGGAGGAGGTTTCTGTGTACATTATACAACATATGGTCTAGATAGGCAATGGAGGAGGTTTCTGTGTACATTATACAACATATGGTCTAGATAGGCAATGGGGGAGGTTTCTGTATACATTATACAACATATGGTCTAGATAGGCAATGGAGGAGGTTTCTGTGTACATTATATAACATATGGTCTAGATAGGCAATGGAGGAGGTTTCTGTGTACATTATACAACATATGGTCTAGATAGGCAATGGAGGAGGTTTCTGTGTACATTATACAACATATGGTCTAGATAGGCAATGGAGGAGGTTTCTGTGTACATTATACAACATATGGTCTAGATAGGCAATGGAGGAGGTTTCTGTGTACATTATATAACATATGGTCTAGATAGGCAATGGAGGAGGTTTCTGTGTACATTATACAACATATGGTCTAGATAGGCAATGGAGGAGGTTTCTGTGTACATTATACAACATATGGTCTAGATAGGCAATGGGGGAGGTTTCTGTGTACATTATACAACATATGGTCTAGATAGGCAATAGGGGAGGTTTCTGTGTACATTGTACAATATATGGTCTAGATAGGCAATGGAGGAGGTTTCTGTGTACATTATACAACATATGGTCTAGATAGGCAATGGAGGAGGTTACTGTGTACATTATACAACATATGGTCTAGATAGGCAATGGGGGAGGTTTCTGTGTACATTATACAACATATGGTCTAGATAGGCAATGTGGGAGGTTTCTGTGTACATTAAAAACATATGGTCTAGATAGGCAATGGGGGAGGTGGCAATGGAGGAGGTTTCTGTGTACATTATACAACATATGGTCTAGATAGGCAATAGGGGAGGTTTCTGTGTACATTGTACAATATATGGTCTAGATAGGCAATGGAGGAGGTTTCTGTGTACATTATACAACATATGGTCTAGATAGGCAATGGAGGAGGTTTCTGTGTACATTATACAACATATGGTCTAGATAGGCAATGGAGGAGGTTTCTGTGTACATTATACAACATATGGTCTAGATAGGCAATGGAGGAGGTTTCTGTGTACATTATACAACATATGGTCTAGATAGGCAATGGAGGAGGTTTCTGTGTACATTATACAACATATGGTCTAGATAGGCAATGGAGGAGGTTTCTGTGTACATTATACAACATATGGTCTAGATAGGCAATGGAGGAGGTTACTGTGTACATTATACAACATATGGTCTAGATAGGCAATGGGGGAGGTTTCTGTGTACATTATACAACATATGGTCTAGATAGGCAATGGGGGAGGTTTCTGTGTACATTAAAAACATATGGTCTAGATAGGCAATGGGGGAGGTGGCAATGGAGGAGGTTTCTGTGTACATTATACAACATATGGTCTAGATAGGCAATGGGGGAGGTTTCTGTATATAATGTACAACATATGGTCTAGATAGGCAATGGAGGAGGTTTCTGTGTACATTATACAACATATGGTCTAGATAGGCAATGGAGGAGGTTTCTGTGTACATTATACAACATATGGTCTAGATAGGCAATGGAGGAGGTTTCTGTGTACATTATATAACATATGGTCTAGATAGGCAATGGAGGAGGTTTCTGTATTCATTATACAACATATGGTCTAGATAGGCAATGGAGGAGGTTTCTGTGTACATTATACAACATATGGTCTAGATAGGCAATGGAGGAGGTTTCTGTGTACATTATACAACATATGGTCTAGATAGGCAATGGAGGAGGTTTCTGTGTACATTATACAACATATGGTCTAGATAGGCAATGGGGGAGGTTTCTGTATACATTATACAACATATGGTCTAGATAGGCAATGGAGGAGGTTTCTGTGTACATTATACAACATATGGTCTAGATAGGCAATGGGGGAGGTGTCTGTATATAATGTACAACATATGGTCTAGATAGGCAATGGAAGAGGTTTCTGTGTACATTATACAACATATGGTCTAGATAGGCAATGGAGGAGGTTTCTGTGTACATTATACAACATATGGTCTAGATAGGCAATGGGATAGGTTTCTGAATATATCTGTAGGATAAGATTGGTTTGACACCACAACAATTTGTCTGCATCAACCAAGCCAGACTATCTGGACTGTGTTGCTCGTCTTGTGTATGTTTACATTCTCTGAGTAGGGTGTTGGTGTAGTCTGTTGTACTGTGTATGTTTATGTTCTGGGAGGAGTCAGGTGTTGGTAAAGTCTGTTGTACTGTGTATGTTTATGTTCTGGGAGGAGTCAGGTGTTGGTGTAGTCTGTTGTACTGTGTATGTTTACGTTCTGGGAGGAGTCAGGTGTTGGTGAAGTCTATTGTACTGTGTATGTTTATGTTCTGGGAGGAGTCAGGTAATGGTGTAGTCTGTTGTACTGTGTATGTTTATGTTCTGGGAGGAGTCAGGTGTTGGTGTAGTCTGTTGTACTGTGTATGTTTATGTTCTGGGAGGAGTCAGGTGTTGGTGTAGTCTGTTGTACTGTGTATGTTTATGTTCTGGGAGGAGTCAGGTGTTGGTGTAGTCTGTTGTACTGTGTATGTTTATGTTCTGGGAGGAGTCAGGTAATGGTGTAGTCTGTTGTACTGTGTATGTTTATGTTCTGGGAGGAGTCAGGTAATGGTGTAGTCTGTTGTACTGTGTATGTTTATGTTCTGGGAGGAGTCAGGTGTTGGTGTAGTCTGTTGTACTGTGTATGTTTATGTTCTGGGGAGAGTCAGGTGTTGGTGTAGTCTGTTGTACTGTGTATGTTTATGTTCTGGGAGGAGTCAGGTGTTGGTGTAGTCTGTTGTACTGTGTATGTTAATGTTCTGGGAGGAGTCAGGTGTTGGTGTAGTCTGTTGTACTGTGTATGTTTATGTTCTGGGAGGAGTCAGGTGTTGGTGTAGTCTGTTGTACTGTGTATGTTTATGTTCTGGGAGGAGTCAGGTGTTGGTGTAGTCTGTTGTACTGTGTATGTTTATGTTCTGGGAGGTGTCAGTTAATGGTGTAGTCTGTTGTACTGTGTATGTTAATGTTATGGGAGGAGTCAGGTGTTGGTGTAGTCTGTTGTACTGTGTATGTTTATGTTCTGGGAGGAGTCAGGTGTTGGTGTAGTCTGTTGTATTGTGTATGTTTATGTTCTGGGAGGTGTCAGTTAATGGTGTAGTCTGTTGTACTGTGTATGTTAATGTTCTTGGAGGAGTCAGGTGTTGGTGTAGTCTGTTGTACTGTGTATGTTAATGTTCTGGGAGGAGTCAGTTGATGGTGTAGTCTGTTGTACTGTGTATGTTAATGTTCTGGGAGGAGTCAGTTGATGGTGTAGTCTGTTGTACTGTGTATGTTAATGTTCTGGGAGGAGTCAGTTGATGGTGTAGTCTGTTGTACTGTGTATGTTAATGTTCTGGGAGGAGTCAGTTGATGGTGTAGTCTGTTGTACTGTGTATGTTAATGTTCTGGGAGGAGTCAGGTGTTGGTGTAGTCTGTTGTACTGTGTATGTTAATGTTCTGGGAGGAGTCAGGTGTTGGTGTAGTCTGTTGTACTGTGTATGTTTATGTTCTGGGAGGAGTCAGGTGTTGGTGTAGTCTGTTGTACTGTGTATGTTTATGTTCTGGGAGGAGTCAGGTGATGGTGTAGTCTGTTGTACTCTGCAATATTTTTGGTAATTTCTGTTCTCATTTTTTATGTATAATGCATAAATACAAATTATTCAAGAAAAATCAGAGGACTGGGAGATAAACATTTATGAAGGATCAGTAAAATTTAATTTAGTCCAGTAAATGCTAATATTTTAATCAGACTAAATGAATTTCACACAAATTATAAACAATTTTTTCAATAATGTTTCATATATGAATTAAAACAAAGCTTACTGTTTTACAATTGCTGTAAAATCTTACCCTATCATAACAGATGAGTGTAGAAAAGTTTGGAGTCTTTAAATCATGTAATATATGTATGAACTTGGCGCAGTATACTGCATCACTGGCAGTAAAACAACAGCGTGGAAAAATACATAGCTGTAGAAACTGAGTAATCGTCTCATTCTTTGTGGAACCTTCAACAGAAATGATAACCAACTTCCGTATTTGTGACTAAAAACTGAACACTTGTCTTCATTATAACTTTTCCAACTATTCCTTATCTTCAGGATAGAATGATGTAAAAAAGGAATTAAAAGTTTTTATAAAACAGTTATGAATATATCTTGCTTTATATCAAAATGATTAATAAGATGCATATTGTCATAGTATAATGATTCTCTGATTGTGAAACACTTCTATCTAATATGATAACAAGCACAAAGGTATAACATAGGATTATTTATAATAGACTGTAAAGTACATAATTTGTTCATTTCTGCTTAATGTCAATCAGCAAATATTTCATGTTAATTAATGACTTAAACAGCTAACAATAAATTATAACTGAAGGTCCCTGCATGTAGATCTTTAAAAATATAATTTCCCTTCCTTTAAAACAAACAATTTTTACATAGATTGTAACTGACGGTCACTGCAAGTACATATTTCACAAGAACTTTATTTAAAGAACATGATGTGGTGCCCTTTCAAACCAGTATTACAAAACAGTGCTGTTTTTATAAGACACTGCAAACTTTTTCCAAAATACTTCATGATGAAATCTTAATTTAACTTACCAAATGCTAGATCAATTTGAACAATATATTTAAATATTTCTTTTAATAAAACTTTCTACCTAAATCTTCACACATTTGAATAGTTTTTTAAAACTACTGCTTTCATTTGTTACTTATATTCAGAATCATTGAAAACATCAAAGAAATATATTGAATATGGGCAACAAATCGTAGCATATATAAAACTTAAAAGCTGTTATAAATATCATTTAAATCTATTACCAATAAATCTTAAATTTGATTAAACAAAAAGTTGATTCATACCAAATATATAATTGACAGGTTCCTTATTTAATGGGTTACAATATCAATAAAAAAAAAGCTGCGCCATGAGAGCATGATACACCCATCACCCTTTTAGCTCCTGTTTATGCTTTAAATGAATTTATATGATCAACTAGAAATACTGTGAACACTGCTCAAATTGACCCCCCACCAAAAAAAAAAAGACATGCACACATAGCAGTACCCACTGACACAAAACATGAATAATTTGGCACTATTAAGGCTACCTCAAGTTGAACTAAGTTTGAGGCTTTGATTTTTGAAAAGAATGTTATTCTATAACCGTGTAAAGTGTGAAAAATGGGAGCTTATTTCAACAGATATAAACAAATCACTGAGTTTCAAGAAAACTGCTGAAAGGTCTTTTTTAGTTATTGTCCAAATACTGGAAAATCCCCCCTTTTTATGAATAAAGTCCCAATAATCCTAAATGTACAATCAGAAATTTTTAAAAATTGAAAGGCAACTTATGTCAATATATATAAACAATTCACCAGTTTCATGAAAATTGGTGAAAGTGTTTTTTGAGTTATTGTTTGAAGTGTTGACGACGGACAGACCGACAACAGTATACAATAATACTTCCTGTAAATGGGCATATAATAAAAACTAAATGCTGAATTTGTCTACATGTACATAATGAACAAAAGGGGTCACGAAAAAAATTTGAAATATGCCAGACATAAAGAGATTTTAAATTAAAAGGCATCTATAGATCATAATTCTTTCTGAGCTTTTTAAAAAATATACATCTTATTTTTACATTAAATGAACCGTAATGTGAGCTTAAATACATACGTGATATAAACCATTGTTCTTTCTGAGCCTTTAATCTGGAATGAACTCTCTGAACATGCTCAGACTGTTTCTTTTCTTCATCTTTTAATTTCTCCAATAAAGTTGTACACCTTTCCTTTTCTTTTTTCTTTTTACTTTGTGGCTGAAAATTAACATATTTAAAAGGTAAGTATATCGATTCAATACATTGAAAGAAAGACAATGTCAACTACTTTTTGTGAATTTTGTACCATTCATGAATACATAAAACTTCCTCACATAAACAGCTAAATTCAAGCTCAGATCATATCATAATTTAGGATTAATTATTGTTAAATTCATATATGATTTATTATAAAACAACATGTCAGGTAAGTTGATATCCCCCATCATTCCTCAATGCGATGATATAAAATGACTAACCAGATCTTTGTTATCTTCAATAGTGTTGATTTGTGAGTCCAGGCTGTTCTTCTGTTTCTCATACACACTGGTAGGTACAGCTAAGTCATACACTGATAAAGACCAGAATGTCACAAAGAAGTAAGGGCTGTGAAAAAAAAGATAGAAACAATGTTTATCAGATGGTTAATCATTTTTGGTATTGATCACCAGCTAGTACAGTGAAGGGAAGGACAATTAAATAAGTCATACAAAAGTATCAAACATACAAGAAAGCAAAATGAAAAGTCTGTCCTATGGAAGAAATAGTCTATAAAATGTCATTGAATTTTTTCAGTGGACTTTAATACAGCATAGAAACTATTATCATTAAAGAATTCACTGAGCCCTGTGTCCCGCATGCGATTGCTTTTTTCAGTGTAACAGTGTGTTGATTTATTGATAAACCCACAAAAAAAAAAATTTTTTGCAGATGCTATTTCTTGAATTTGAAGATGAGCTTCTGTGCAAGTTTTATAACAATCCATAAAGTTATTGATGTCTTAAAAAACTTTAACCACGACTGAACCTAAATGTTGACATGGTCAATGCTAAATGTAAGATCTCTCAAGTCTCACTTCTGCGACTTAAATATCTCAGGCTCAGTAATAGCTCGGTTTAGTTTTGGTTTGCTGGTTCATTGACACATACCCCAAGTATCCTTTTATTGGTGTATAACATCCTAACAAATATGTGACATAAACTAACCTGAGATCATCCCATACTTTAGCATTATAGACAGGACGTATTGAGTTTATCACAGGTTCTATGTGTGTTACTAAAACTAACCTGAGATCATCCAATACTTTAGCATTATATACAGGACATATTGAGTTTATCACAGGTTCTATGTGTTTTACTAAAACTAACCTGAGATCATCCCATACTTTAGCATTATATACAGGACGTATTGAGTTTATCACAGGTTCCATGTGTTTTACTAAAACTAACCTGAGATCATCCCATACTTTAGCATTATATACAGGACGTATTGAGTTTATCACAGGTTCCATGTGTGTTACTAAAACTAACCTGAGATCATCCCATACTTTATCACAGGTTCTATGCGTTTTACTAAAACTAACCTGAGATCATCCCATACTTTAGCATTATAGACAGGACAGGACGTATTGAGTTTATCACAGGTTCTATGTGTTTTACTAAAACTAACCTGAGATCATCCCATACTTTAGCATTATATACAAGACGTATTGAGTTTATCACAGGTTCCATGTGTTTTACTAAAACTAACCTGAGATCATCCCATACTTTAGCATTATATACAGGACGTATTGAGTTTATCACAGGTTCTATGTGTTTTACTAAAACTAACCTGAGATCATCCCATACTTTAGCATTATATACAGGACGTATTGAGTTTATCACAGGTTCCATGTGTTTTACTAAAACTAACCTGAGATCATCCCATACTTTAGCATTATATACAGGACGTATTGAGTTGATCACTGGTTCCATAACACCTTCTGATGCTTCTATATACCGCTGTGTCTGTAATCAACAAAGTTTCTTTTGTAATGTTTAATTTAGGCAACATTTTAAGCAGAGTGCCTGATAAGGGTTACATAATATGCCTATTCAAGTTTAAAAACAAAATATCATGATTCATTTAGATTTAATACATTTCTTGAATTTAAACAAAACTATAATATATACCCACTACAACCATGACAAGACACAGAGAGACACAAGAGACAGTCTGATTATTCCACTAAGCATTTAGTTCTGCTGTTTTCATAATATTCCAGAAAATCCCAACAATTAAGTCTATCAAATGTCTACAAGACACCATGGCCCACAACTTATAAACTGATATGGAAGAAACAGACTAAAAACATACTATCACATACTATTGTAAAAAAATACCTATCGAAGCTAGAATAAAACTTAATTTCATATAGGGTATTGTAAAAGCCTAACCAATGGAAAATCAACTATTAATGGTTTACCCCTTAGTGCTCTACATTCCTCTTTAATATAAGTGGCTAAATCATTTTCATAATACTTGTATTTAAAGTTTCACATCAAGACACAAAAGTCACAACTGCAATTACAAAATGTCTGTTTTTTAAATAACAAAGCATATATAACCTTGAAACATCTGTTTAATGCACATATATATATAATACCTTTTGCTGACTGGAGGTCTGTTTGTTAGCTTTGTCAATCTTCCTCAGTTCATCATACTTCAACTGAAAATATATGCAAAGTTAATGTGTTTACCATGATCTCTTTGTTCAATATTCACAAATTTAATGGGAATTTTGTTATCTAAATCAAACTGCTATAAATAAAAAAAAATCATCTTGTGTAATATTCTTTTACAATTATTCTAAAATTAAATCCCATTTTGTCATTTTGGGGTTCTCACATATTTGCTGAACTATAAAAGTATCTTTTTTGTTTTGCATGTTATACTTGCAAGGTAATAAAAAATAAATGGAGAGTGTGTCCATGGTGTCCCCATGGACACAGATGATGCCCCCACTTGCATACAACATTATAAAGGGGCATAACTCAAGAACAATTAAAAGTGACGCTACCCAAATTTGTACTTGATCTGAGTTTTGTAGTAATAAGTATTGTGTAAAGGTTCCATAATGTTTGGTTGGGGCAAACTTCAGTTACAGAACGGAAACTAAAAATTTTGCAATTTTTCGATTTATAAAGGGGCATAACTCGATAATGATTAAAGTGACGCCATCAAAATTCAAACTTGATCTGTATTTTGTGGTAATAAGCATTGTGTATAAGTTTCATAACAATTGGTTGAGGCAAACTTAAGTTAGAGAAAGGAAACTGAAAATTTTGTAATTTTTCCATTGATAAAGGGGGCATAACTCTAGAACATTTTGAGTGACCCTACCAAAATTCAAACTTGACCTGTATTTTGTGGTAATAAGCATTGTTATAAGTTTCATAACATTTGGTTGAGGCAAACTCAAGTTAAAGAACAGAAACCAATTTTGGGACGTACGTACGTACAAACGGACAAGAGTAAAACTTAATTTTTGAAGATTTCTTGCTATTGTGCAATACTGTGCAATTGAAAATTTCTTGCTATTGCACAATACTTATTATATAATAATTTACACATCCTGTTTGGTGTGTATCTCCTACCATATCATTATTATTTGCTTTTAAATATAAATCAGAAATAAGCAACTTAAAATGGAAAATATGCAAGTGTTCAGTAAACAGGAAGTTGTTGAGTGATGAATCTGAAAATGCATCACACGGTATAGCTGACTTATATAAACCCTGAAACCAAATTTCAGAAATCCTTATGATGTAGTTCCTGAGAAAGATGTGATGAAAAATATTCATGGGACGGATGGACGCACTGACCGATGGATGGACTGACGGATGGACGGACGGACAGACCGAGGTAAAACAGTATACCCCCACTTTTTTGGTATAATTATTGTTTTATTAGTGCCTGAACTTAAAATGTATACAAACTTATACATGTGTCCTTACATTTATTGCATAAGCATACTGTGTTCTACAAAGAAAGAATGCTGCATCAGCTGGCACATTGTAACTCATGATCAGTGTATCTACACTTGGAAGGCGTTTAACAAATTCTTCTGTGCTCAGCTGCATGGACAGGAAGCTACCGAACTGTACCAATGTGTCCTGACACTGCAACAAACAAATCATTTTTTATTGTTTCTATCAACAATACAGCATCAAATCATTTTATCAGTTGGAATAGGGGTTGATGCTTCCTTGACAGCGTCAAATAAAAATATTTTCAAAAACACTGCTAGATACATTTAGGCAGCAAGATTCAAATCATGTTCATATCTCAAACAAAGTCATGTGAGAGAAGAAATAACTATACACATTCCAAACCACAACACTGTAGATAAATCTGCCTTCAAAACATCCACAAAAGTTGATGGAGAGTTAAAATACCTGAGAGCTCAATTGTTATACTGTTTATTAAACAATTTGTTACAATTATCATGTCATGACTTAGCAAAAAGAAATCTAGGGAAACTCAAATATGTAAATACAAAATGTAGGTTATTGTAACCCAAGTTTTACATGACTTTTCAATTGGCAAGACATGTCCAATGACACTAAGACTTGTAGTTAATAAATTTTGACTAAACTGTAAAAATTAATCATGCATGTATGTCAAGTTGACCAACTACAGTGTTTAAAGGACAAGTAAAGTTTTGCAAACTTCCAAACCTTTGGGCAATATGAATTCTAAGAAATGATGTATACTGATGTATATTACATCAAGCTGAGCCAGATATAAGAGACATAAATGCTGACCTGATCATAGAGTTTTCCCACAAGTTTAAGATGACCAGCAGCACTCTCATGGAATATAACACCATCACGTTGTTGTGCCATCAACAGACAAAGTGACAAGGCCAGATCATGCTCCAGTAAAGTATCCTTTAACCGAGTAGAAGATTTCTTTGTATTTCTAACTTGAGTAAAGTAACCTCCCTAGAAAATATAATAAAATACAAATAAATGTTATGTTTTGTACTCAAATCATTCCTTTAAAATTCTCCACTAATCAGCTAACTACTTGTCCATCAGAAGTGGTTTCGACCCAGTGCTAGAAAATAAAAACACCAACACTTCAAAAATTTGGTGTATCCAAAACACATTTCTGGATTAACTTTCATCATATAAAAGTCACATCTCTGACCACTGTAAAAGAATAAAATGGACCAAAGACTCAAATGGCAGAGTTGAACAGAATGTTTCTTAAATAATGGAAAATGGTCTATAATGAACATGTAAGCTTTCTGTGAACAAAGTGAAGGTTCAAAAGACTTTTGAAAATTTTGCTAAAAAACAGACAAAGTACCCAAATGTGGAAAAATGAAAAAAAAAATCTCAAGTAAATCTATAATAGCAGGTGCAAAACTTCAATATGGTATTGGTCTTAGTCGTTGTCATCTGTGATATGAATCTAATATCTATAACATGTGATGAATTTCTGAGAAAAGAATTCCAATTGCCAAATGTATGGAATCTTAATTTGTTTCAACTAAAACACAATACTCAGATTTTCTATTTGGTAATTCTTTCTAAATAAATATGTCACTGAATTTTTTCTTCAAATTTTTACTTTCAGTTTTAAAATTCCATTTCCTGATTTTCCAAATGCAATTTTTCCAAACAGTAAAAATTGCCAAAATAATAAGATCTGGAGAGTAAACATTGCCTAAATAATAAGATCTGGAGAGTAAACATTGCCTAAATAATAAGATCTGGAGAGTAAACATTGCCTAAATAATAAGATCTGGAGAGTAAACATTGCCTAAATAATAAGATCTGGAGGCAAAAGGGCATGCATATTATGGACAAAATTTAATGTGGACTTTTAAACAGTTTGTTTTAGTTATATACACCATTTCAACTTTTCTGTACTAGAGTGCCTATAAATTCACTTATTGATACACACCTCTTGTCTTAACAATTCTCCTCCTGACATTGCCTCTAGTTGATCATTAGTTATTTCCTCAGACATCTCCACACCTGCCATCTTTTGTACAATTTCCCTCAATATCAGTAGGTCAAAACTAGTAAATATATCAAACATGAAGATCAAACCAAGGATTTGAAAAATACATAAATACTATTAAACATATGATTATGGGGCAATGTTTTGATATCATCTTTCTATGAGACATAGTCTGATGTGTCTTGCAAGTCCATTTGTTATCAATGATATACATGTAGATATGTGAACAAATAGATATTAAAACAAAAATAATTAACAAGAAACAAGCATGAATGTGCATCAAATGGACTATTCCATTCAGTATATTTATAACGAAAATAAACAATGGCATATGCTGTTACTAAAGGAGAAGATCCGGTAAGGGCTAACTTTGGCCTTAAATTTGAAGTACATCTGATGAAAGATTTTTGAAAGTTTATAAACACTTAAGGTTCTACTTCAGTCATTCAATTAGGTTTTGTAAAATATTTCAACTGATTTGGTCTTTAAAGACATTCAAATACAAGGTTAGATATGAAAAATCTATCAAATATGCAACAAAACGTCACTTTTCAGATGGTTTTTGTCTAATGGAAGTGGCCGCATTTGTGTTCAGTCTCAATCTTTATATATGTTATGTATTATCATCAAATACAACTTATATTTAAATATTAAGACTGAACACAAGTGTGTCAAACTACCATTTTACACAAAAACCGTCTTAAAATTAGCACAAATTCTAAAATTGTGAAGATTTTAGTATTTTTGTATGAATTAATGATGCTAGTACCTGATGCATGTGTATTGTATTGTCAAAAACAGCCCATATTTATGTTACAAAAGTACATTACTTTCCATTAAATAGCTATAAGTTTTCATTTTAAATAAATTTTTAAAATGATATATTTTGGGGCCAAAAAGGGATCTTACCGGGCCTACTCCTTTGCATAAAGCATACTATAAATGCAGTATTCTGAAGTTATATTATTTGTAGATAATAAGTATCTTTAAATTTCATAGTTTATTTAAACCCCAAAACATAAAAAACATATGAGACCTAAGGAAGGCACTTCAAAACCTTAACAAGAGGTGGGTGTCAAATTCTTTCTTGTATAGTGTAAGTGTTCTATTCTAATATTGCCTCTAAAGGGGGTTATCCCTTTTTCAAAGTGCCTTCCCTAGTTACCATATATGTTTTAATGAAAGAGCCCTAATTTCTTCTGCTACAGTAAGAATTTTCATTTATTCAATTGCTCAACTCAATGTTTGAATTCCTAAACTCATAAGCAAAGATTTTTTTCATGAGCCAAGAAAGCTAAAAAAGTACCACAAAACAAAACAAACTTTTTTGTGTTTATCATCACATCATTTAGACTCTGGTGAAAAGTTATCTTATTTGCAATCATACCACATCTTCTTATCTTTTATATAACACCTTGCGACTTACCTTTTACCAGCTTTTAGTTGATTTGCTACATACTGCATAAGTCCAGCTAATTCTACTGTGTACTTCCTACATATAGAACCAGCAAAGTTGGCAAGACCTGTGCAGAAAAAATACAAAATAATTCAATCAAAATATGAACTAAGAGGGCAAATTTCATTCCCCACGATTACGTATCAATGTATGAAAAATGTTTTTGTCTGCAAAAAATAGCTAACAATGATGCAAATATTAGAGATTCATTTAATCTCATGTGATTTTTTATGCTATCCCTTTCAGGATCAAATGTAAATTTCTTTGTAACAATTGATCTGTTTGTCTAATCACACTTCTTTTAATTCATTTGGATTGTATGACACTTACTTTGTAACCATAGAGATACATTTGTAGAGTCATGTTTCATTTTCTATTGTATGTCACTTACTTTGTAACCATAGAGATACATTTGTAGATAGATATAAAAAGATGTGGTATGAGTGCCAATGAGACAACTCTCCATCCAAGTCACAATTTATAAAAGTAAACCATTACAGGTCAAAGTACGGTCTTCAACACGGAGCCTTGGCTCACACCGCACAGTAAGCTATAAAGGGCCCCAAAAATTACTAGTGTAAAACCATTCAAACCGGAAAACCAACAGTCTAATTTATATAATAAAATGCTCCGCTAGGCGCTGCTTGATACGACCGCAGAGGTTGAACCCTGAACTGTTGGGGCAAGTATGGACACAACATTCAAGCTTGATACAGCACTGAATTTGGATTGTGATTAAATATTTGACACAGCATAGGTTTCTGACACAGAATGAATGTGGTCTAAGAACTTAAAATTTTTTTAATTTACCTATTCAAACCATATCATTATTATTTGCTTTTATATATAAATCAGAAATAACCAATTTGAAATGGAAAATTTTAAAGATAAAAAGGAAAAAAAAAAAAATCCCCCCTCAAATTTTTTGAACCCCCTTATGATTCATCACCCCCAAACTCAATCCCAGCCTTCCCTTTGTGTTACAATGTATGGTGCCTTGCAGTACAATTTCAGAGAGATCCGTACACTTGAACACAAGTCATTGTCTGGAAACTAGAAAAATGCTTGTTTTTTTGCCCCTTTTTGGCCCCAAATTCCTAAACGTTTAGGGCAATTACCCCCAAACTCTAACCCAGCTTTCCCTTTGTAATATGGAACCTTGTAGTACAATTTCATAAAGATACATACACTTACACACAAGTTATTGTCTGGAAACTAGAAAAATGCTTATTTTTGGCCCCCTTTTGGCCCCTTATTCCTAAACATTTTGGGCAATTACCCCCAAACTCAATTCCAGCTTTCCCTTTGTGATATGGAACCTTGTAGTACAATTTCAGAAAGATCCAAACACTTACACACAAGTTATTGTCCTGAAACTAGAAAAATGCTTGTTTTTTGCCCCTTTTTGGTCCCAATTACCCCCAAAATCAATCCCGGCATTCCTTTTGTGATATGGAACCTTGTGGTACAATGTCAAAGAGATCCATACACTAACACACAAGTTATGTCTGGAAGTTACAAACAAGCTTATTTTTGGCCCCTAATTCCTTAACTGTTGGTACCATAACCCTCAAAATCAATCCCAACCTTCCTTTTGTGGTATTGAACCTTGTGGTAAAATTTCATAGAGATCCATTCACTTAAACTAATGTTAGAGTGTGAAAACCAATGTGTCTTCGGATGACGACGACGACGACGCCAACGTCATACCAATATACGACCACAAATTTTTTTTTGCGGTTGTATAAAAATCCAGAAAAGAGAAACACTTATGAACCACATCAACAAACGACAACTACTGAACATCAGATTCCTGACTTAGGACAGGTGCAAACAATTGCAGCGGATTTAAACGTTTTAATGGTACCAAACCTTCACCTTTATCTGAAACAATAGTGTAACATCACAACATAGAAAGACACACTATAAAATATCAATTGAAATGGCTTAACTCAATCAAAAGACATATTAACACAAGTGAACATACACTGAACGAATAAATTTGATCTATGATACAATGTAAATACAAAATCAATAAAATAAGGGATGAATAATTAAAGTAACGGTATTATGCTGCTGTGAAATGTTAAACAATTTCAGAAAATCAATAATAACCTTAAACAAAAATTTGCCACTTACAATAATATTGTACACAGGTAAATGAAAATAATTTTGTTGTTAGGTATACAGTTTAAAAGGAGAAAGGAAATATTTTGACAAAATAAATAATTTTGATGTTCATAGTTCGAAGAAGCGAAAATTTATAGTAATACCAAACACTTATCAAAGTTGGTATATAGACCAGATATAACCCTGAACAAGTAAACATTAAATAACAAACAAGAGTGCACACGCTGAAATGTCTCGCCTTCTTTACTAATCATTGATATTATGTTGATAGTCCTAAATATAAAGCTTTATTACAACTGTCACATAAACTTAACATTAACCAAGTAAACTAAACATTGACCAATGAACCATGAAAATGAGGTCAAGGTCAGATGAACCATGCTAGGCAGGCATGTACAGCTAACAATTCTTCCATACAACAAATATAGTTGACCTATTGCTTATAGTTTAAGAAAAACAGACGAAAACACAAAAACTTAACACTGAGCAATGAACCTTGAAAATGAGGTCAAGGTCAAATAAAACCTGCGTGACTGACATATAGATCATAAAATATTTCCATACACCAAATATAGTTGAACTATTGCATATAGTATTAGAAAAAAAGACCAAAACTCAAAAACTTAACTTTGACCACTGAACCATGAAAATGAGGTCAAGGTAAGATGACACCTGCCAGCTAGACATGTACACCTTACAATCATTCCATACACCAAATATAGCTGACCTATTGCATGCAGTATTAGAAAAAAAGACCAAAACTCAAAAACTTAACTTTGACCACTGAACCATGAAAATGAGGTCAAGGTCAGATGACACCTGCCAGCTAGACATGTACACCTTACAATCATTCCATACACCAAATATAGTAGACCTATTGCATACAGTATAAGAAAAACAGACCAAAACACAAAAACTTAACTATAACCACTGAACCATGAAAATGAGGTCAAGGTCAGATGACACCTGCCAGTTGGACATGTACACCTTACAGTCCTTCCATACACCGAATATACTAGACCTATTGCTTATAGTATCTGAGATATGGACTTGACCACGAAAACTTAACCTTGTTCACTGATCCATGAAATGAGGTCGAGGTCAAGTGAAAACTGTCTGACGGGCATGAGGACCTTGCAAGGTACGCACATACCAAATATAGTTATCCTATTACTTATAATAAGAGAGAATTTAACATTACAAAAAATCTGAACTTTTTTTTCAAGTAGTCACTGAACCATGAAAATGAGGTCAAGGACATTGGACATGTGACTGACTGAAACTTCGTAACATGAGGCATCCATATACAAAGTATGAAGCATCCATCTTCTAAAATATAAAGCTTTTAAGAAGTTAGCTAACGCCGCCGCCGCCGGATCGCTATCCCTATGTCGAGCTTTCTGCGACAAAAGTCGCAGGCTTGACAAAAAGTATTACAAATAGTATCAATAAGTCAAATTAACAAGAAAGTACGATTTGAGAGTACTCGCAGATACTGACAGTTAGTTAAAAGCCAAAAACAATTAATAATAAAAAATCATGCATCAGAGACTAAAATCAAACAAAACACATCCCAGGTATTTAGTATTTTAACGTCATGGACAGTCAAAGAAGACATAACTTGTGCAATGCCAAAAATAAATGTATTGACAGGCAGTAGGATAGTTAGGAGTTAACCTCTTAATAGATAATAAAATGCTCCGCTGGGCGCAGCTTAATACGACTGCAGAGGTCGAACCCTGAACAGTTGGGGCAAGTATGGACACAACATTCAAGCTTGATACAGCACTGAATTTGAGTTGTGATTAAATATTTGACACAGCACAGGTTTCTGACACAGAATGAATGTGGTCTAAGAACTTAAAAAATTTTAATTTACCTTTTCAAACCATATCATTATTATTTGCTTTTATATATAAATCAGAAATAACCAATTTAAAATGGAAAATTTTAAAGAAAAAAAATCCCCCCCCCCCCAAATTTTTTGAACCCCCTTATGATTCATCACCCCCAAACTCAATCCCAGTCTTCCCTTTGTGGTATGGTACCTGCAGTACAATTTCAGAGAGATCCATACACTTGAGCACAAGTTATCAGTGTTCTAGGATTTTTATACATATGCAACTTTCCATGCCTTGAAGGGATAGTTGGTATCAAAAATTCACTTTCCCAAAAGTTTAACGAACTTTCCCTGAATTTTATACCATTTTAAAAATGTTTTCATAATTTTAATATTCCTTTTATCGCATGTTTATACATGTAATTTTGATTTGAAATTATGAACTCTGTTATTTCCTTTGAAATTAATTAGTTTGTCTAACTAGCTTGTGATTGTGTTGATAATTCAATGTCATGTTCATCTAGATATACAAAATAAGTGATAGTTCATATAAATGTGACATTACATCAGTAATTCAAATGTATTGGCACAAAAAAGGGATAATATCTTCAAACATTACACGCAAAAAATCATGAGTTTGAGATCCTGATATTAAATCTTTTACCGTTTGCGTTGTGGTTATTAGGTTTTTGCATCTAGATCCGATAGATACTTGACATCACGGATTTTCCTTGCTTAGCTGGCAAGCGTATTTATGATGGTGATCGCAAAACACATGCGCACCTTTTTCTCCCCTAGACTTTAGAACCCCTGCATGATTTACACCAACAACAACGATCTCTCTTTGAGATTTTGATTGAAATAAAAGAATACAAACGGTTACATCAATCGTTTGATCTGTATAAATAGGAAATTTCTGTAATTTAATTTTACTTGCCCACGGACAACAAAGGTTTGAATTTCCACTTTCCCGTGACCTAAATCAACTTGCCACTGGTGACGGGAAAGGGGAATTCTAGAACACTGGTTATTGTCTGGAAACTAGAAAAATGCTTGTTTTTTTACCCCAAATTCCTAAACGTTTAGGGCAATTACCCCCAAACTCAAACCAAGCTTTCCCTTTGTGCTATGGAACCTTGTAGTACAATTTCATAAAGATCCATACACTTACACACAAGTTATTGTCCTGAAATTAGAAAAATGCTTGTTTTTTGTCCCTTTTTTTGCCCCTAATTCCTAAAATTTTGAAGCAATTACCCCCAAAATCAATCCCAGCCTTCCCTTTGTGGTATGGTACCTTGCAGTACAATTTCAGAGAAATCCATACACTTGAACACAAGTTATTGTCTGGAAACTAAAAAAATGCTTATTTTTGGCCCCTTATTCCTATACGTTTTGGGCAATTACCCCCAAACTCAATTCCAGCCTTCCCTTTGTGATATGGAACCTTGTAGTACAATTTCAGAAAGATCCATACACTTACACACAAGTTATTGTCATGAAACTAGAAAAATGCTTGTTGTTTGCCCCTTTTTTGGCCCCTAATTCCTAAAATTTTGAAGCAATTACCCCCAAAATCAATCCCAGCATTCCCTGTGTGATATGGAACCTTGTGGTACAATGTCAGAGAGATCCATACACTAACACACAAGTTATGTCTGGAAGTTACAAAAATGTTTTTTTTTGGCCCCTAATTCCTTAACTGTTGGTACCATAACCCCCAAAATCAATCCCAACCTTCCTTTTGTGGTATTGAACCTTATGGTAAAATTTCATAGAGATCCATTCACTTAAACTTAAGTTAGAGTGCGAAAACATATGTGTCTTCGGATGACGACGCCGCCACAACGTCATACCAATATACGACCGCAAAAATTTTGCCGCCGTATAAAAATGAATGTGGGTGTGTCTTGATACATCCCGTTTGAAAAGAATACAAATTTAGTTATGTTTTAATTTGCTGATGACAAAATCGATATTAGTGCCAATGTAAACTATATTCAAAGATCTAATTACAACATTGGCAAGATAACCTTTACTAATAAGTTTGTTTAAAGGTTCGATGAGTTTACACGGATCACATAGTGATTTCCAAGCTTTTAGTACAATATTACTGTAAAATTCAGGATGTGAAATACTGTTTTTAATAAGTTTTCTACATGTACAGCCAAATTTACTAATCAAATCTTTGTATCTATGAAAGAATTTAGTAAAAGTTTTAAGTAATTTATGGTAACGAAATCCATGACTTAGTCATGTTTCATTTTCTATTGTATGTCACTTTCTTTGTAACCATAGAGATACATTTGCAGAGTCATGTTTCATTTTCTATTATATGTCACTTACTTTGTAACCATAGCGATATGTTTGTGTCATCGTGCTTCATCCTATCCCTGTCTGGGTTTGCTACAGCTTCAATGATACAATCTGGTTATAATTAAGGCAGAATAATTACCTTCAACATATAAATCAGTTGTATCTATAATTAACCCTTGAACCCACAAACATCCAAACTTGAGTCTGACTTGTATTTTGCCATTAATGATAATTTTGCAAACCTCTTATCTATTATCATGACCCTGAAAATATGAAAATGTCATACGGAAATCTATCAATAATCACTATCATTTTGAAATTACTGTTTAATAAGCAGATCTGTATCCCAAATCTTTATTGGAAATTAATTAAAATTTGTGAGCTTTTCAGAAACATGAAAAGTAAGGGTTGATGACTTTGTGCTTGATTGAATTTTTTCAGGGAACATAAATAGATAAATAAACGAGTTTTATTTGAGGCATTTGTCTAAGTATTTCAGTTTTAAAGGATTACCAGTGATGTTAAAATATGAAGGGGACCCGAATAATTCCATCCCTCACCATTATCGATCTCTCCTTCTAGTGAGGGCCTGAATTCCTAACACACTAAAAACTCTTCATGAATCCTGGATTTTGATTGGTGCCCTGTAGGAGAGGTGACCAATCAGGCTGAGTCAGCAGTCAGCTTAAATCAGAATGGGTATATCCCAAAGATTATTCTGAATGCTTGATTGATGATTTTTCATGTCTATGCATTCAGGCATTACTGTAGCCACATAGATGAGTGGAACATAAAGACTGAATTATTTGGGTTAATATGAAGATGAGAGTTAGGTACATTTTGTAAATGGATTCTTAGAAATTACTTAAAATGAATTCATTAATGTTACAATAGCAATGGTAACAAGAAATGATTGTAACAGGATGCTGTTACGAAGTCTCCCAAACGAAGCTCCCATAATTCGTAATTCCCAGGGTCACCTGACATTGGGCAACGTCCAGTGAAAATTGGTTTGGTCCAGTAAAGTTATATGCATTAGTGATGCCTGGGGACTAACCTTGTATATCATTCAAATCATCTTGGCATGACAAACCAGAATATATATGGTTTAGGGGTGGGGATCTCAACCATTTACAAGATACTAGAATATTGGGGGTGGGGAGGAACCCCTGGGGACTGGCCCTATACGTCTTTCAAATGTTCATTACATGACGAACAGGAATATATATGGTTTAGGGGTGGCGATCTCAACCATTTACAAGATATTACAAAATTGGGGGTGGGGGGAACCCCTGGGGACTGACCGTATACATCATTCAAATGTTCGAGACATGACAAATAGGAATATATATGGTTTAGGGGTGGGGATCTCAACCATTTACAAGATATTAGAACTTTCTCAAATGGCAGGGGGTCGGGATGACCCCTGGGGACTAACCCTGTCTATCATTCAAACCATCTTCGCATGACAAACCAGAATATATATGGTTTAGGGGTGGAGATCTTGACCACTTAGAAGATATTAGAACTTTCTTAAATGGCAGGGGGTGGGGGTGACCCCTGGAGACTAACCCTGTATTTCATTTGATGTGCTTTATCATGACAAACCAGAATATATATGGTTTAGGGGTGGGGATCTCGACCATTTACAAGATATTAGAACTTTCTCAAATGGCAAGGGGTGGGGGTGACCGCTGGGGACTAACCCTGTATAACATTTGATGTGCTTTATCATGACAAACCAGAATATATATGGTTTAGGGGTGTGGATCTCGACCATTTACAAGATATTAGAACTTTCTCAAATGGCAGGGGGTCGGATGACCCCTGGGGACTTACCCTGTATATCATTCAAACCATCTCAGCATGACAAACCAGAATATATATGGTTTAGGGGTAGGGATCTTGACCATTTACAAGATATTAGAACTTTCTCAAATGGCAAGGGGTGGGGGTGACCGCTGGGGACTGACCCTGTATAATATTTGATGTGCTTTATCATGACAAACCAGAATATATATGGTTTAGGGGTGGGGATCTCGACCATTTACAAGATATTAGAACTTTCTCAAATGGCATGGGGTCAGGATGACCCCTGGGGACTTACCCTGTATATCATTCAAACCATCTCAGCATGACAAACCAGAATATATATGGTTTAGGGGTGGGGATCTCGACCACTTAGAAGATATTAGAACTTTCTTAAATGGCAGGGGGTGGGGGTGACCCCTGGGGACTTACCCTGTATATCATTCAAACCATCTTAGCATAACAAACCAGAATATATATGGTTTAGGGGTGGATCTTGACCACTTTCAAGATATTAGAACTTTTTCAAATGGCAGGGGGTGGGGGTAACCCCTGGGGACTAACCCTGTATTTCATTTGATGTGCTTTATCATGACAAACCAGAATATATATGGTTTAGGGGTGGGGGATCTTGACCACTTACAAGATATTAGAACTTTCTCAAATGGCAGGGGATAGGGATGACCCCTGGGGACTAACCCTGTATATCATTCAAACCATCTTAGCATGACAAACCAGAATATATATGGTTTAGGTTTGGGGATCTTGACAACTTAGAAGATATAAAAACTTTCTTAAATGGCAGGGGGTGGGGGTGACCCCTGGGGACTAACCCTGTATTACATTTGATGTGCTTTATCATGACAAACCAGAATATATATGGTTTATGGGTGGGGATCTCGACCATTTACAAGATATTAGAACTTTCTCAAATGACAGGGGGTGGGGATGACCCCTGGGGACTAACCCTGTATATCATTCAAACCATCTTAGCATGACAAACCAGAATATATATGGTTTAGGGGTGGGGATCTTGACCACTTACAAGGTATTAGAACTTTCTTAAATGGCAGGGGGTGGGGGTGACCCCTGGGGACTAACCCTGTATTTCATTTAATGGGCTTTATCATTTAGAACATTTTCAATTAAAAAGTTTGTGTCTATCACGAACGGTTTTCAATTTATAATCATTTGAAAATTTTAAAAAATAAAATCCCATAGGGTTCTATAGTAAAACCCTCTTTTCTTTTTGCCCCTCAAAGTACCCCTTTATAAACCCCATTGCAAAAACAAAACCCTGATTGCACCACTAGACATGTTAGTCTAACATATTGTGAAACCCTAAGTTAATCCGACAAGCGGTTTTGGAGAACGGGTGCGGACAAGTTCAAATTTAAAAGCGGCAGAAGAAGAAGAAGAAGAAGAAGAAGAAGAAGAAGAAGAAGAAGAAGAAGAAGAAGAAGAAGAAGAAGAAGAAGAATAATAATAATAATAAGAACTGAGCAAAAACAATAAGTCTTCCCAAACTTCGTTTGGGAGACTTAATAACCATGTAACCAACAATTTGTTTTATAAGGATACAAGCTAACACATCATATGATAGTGATGTGAGGTACTTCAGTGAGTCAACAACAGGTCCAATAAAGTTGTCATATCTTTGGATCTGTGATAATACCTGTAAAAACATATCAACATTTATAATTGATGTATCTTTTGCATACTTCCCATAACCTTCACATAACCTTCCCATAACCTTCACATAACCTTCACATAACCTTCATGGCTATTTACAAACACTATATAACACTTAAACTATGAAGATGATGTTGGACAAAATGGTGAAGCAGCTTGCTTATGAGCAGAGCTCCAGATAAGCTGCGTATTTGCGTGATCACGCAATAAAAATAATTAAAAACCCAATGCAATTGCCCATTGCAGGGTTCAATAACCCAATTAATTCAAAGGAAAACCCAATTATATGCCAAAAACATGGGTTCTTAACGCTTTTATTCGCTATCGTTTGCGTTATTTACCCTTACTTGATTACAGTCGTCGCGTAAATCTATTTTTATAATATTTATAATTGGAAATGTCCTTTCGTTCTAAAAATAGAACCCTGCATCAAGTAGTTGTAATGGGTCCCTGTTGGAATTTTCCGTTGCTCAAAAGGTAGTACACGTGTTTATGAAAACATTTCGATCTTCTCGGCGTTTATCCAATTAGAGTGTTACATGCTGTCATATTTTTTCGAATTGCTCGGTTATCATAACATACAATGAATTAAAACGAAAGTAAATGTCCGGTAAAAATATTGAATAGAAGCATGTTTTCGGCTTCTTTTTGATAGCTGAGGGAAAGTTATGATGATAACAAGACTCAGCTAGTGATTTTAGGAAGCGGCCATTGAACGCACGGGCGTGTTTGCGTACCATAACGAGAACATTGCTAGAGCGATAAACACGGGGTTCCGTCAAAAACGAAATCAGTTGGAAAAAGTGAAAGGCCAAATCAATTATGACATGATATTAGTTTGAAAGCATCGGAAACCAAAAGTTCTGATAAGGGACAATTTAACCCAGATTTATGTAAATTGAATTAAACGAAAACAGTTTATATATTATTTATCTCATTTTAGTTGATGAGTGAATACACATATCCGTTTTTTACGTCAATGCAGCTTGACACTTTCTTTGTTTTGGTCTAATTGTTCTAGATGCTTAAGATAGTTGTCTTATTTGCAAGTGCAGTATAACATTGTCATTTATTTACTTGATGTTGCAGAATTATTTGTAAATTTAAGTTGAATGTGGTCTCCGTCATTATAAACCACCCTATAAACCTCAAGGTTTTGGGGTATATCTTAAATCTGGAAACTACTTTTTATTTTTATTAAAAAGTAGATCTGGCAAATAGGTGAAAGGACTGGCAAAACTTTCTTACAGCACCTAAATTTCACATATATTACAAAAAAATCTAAACACTTAGCCACACCTACCCCAACTATAATTAAACTGTAGGGTGATCATATGGGATCTAGAAAGGCAATTAGTTCCTGTCCAACTAGTGACACCAGCTGCAGTTTACATAAGTTTTGAGAAAATACAAAACTGACAGAACGTTTAAAACGGGACACAAATTAAATGTACAATTGCTCGTCAGTGGATAAACCAAATAAAACAGCTAGCACATATTCTACAAAGAAAGAAACACATTTAAGATGGAAACACATCTGGGGTTGATATAATGTGATTATAACATGCCTAAATATTCAATATTGTGTTGATGAAAAAACCCAATACATTAAGGAGCTTGGTGGTGAAAAACCCAATTTGATATTTGCTTGAGGGGTGAATTGGAATTGATAATGCAATTAAAAAACTTTAAAACCCAATTACATAAAAAAATGGTGGGTAAAAACCCCAATTTGTGAATTCTTATCTGGAGCTCTGTTATGAGTTTTTTAATTCAATTCTAATTGAACATGTACACTTATGCTAATTGAGAAACACTATTTATTAACTTAATGTTATCTCACACCACTTAGTGGTGTGCACAACTGATCCTGTAGCCACAATATAGTTCATCTTTTTTCTAAATCTACATGTATAAGGGAAGCATTCAGTATCTTGCTGACAGTTTTCTTGTTGCCCAATTTTACATTTCTTTGACTTCTATGATATATTCACAATCATAATGAAGTGTCTCAAAATTTTATTCAACATAGTGGGAGTTGTTTTCACCATGAATATTAAAAAAGATGTGGGTTAAATGTCTATGAGACACAAACACAGAACAATCATAAAAAAAAAAACAATTCAACTTGTTTATAGACTTTTATTATTTGTTCAAATTTTTAGATTTTTAATGCTTCAATGAATTTCAAGTCCAAATGTTACCCCAGTCAGTGTATACTACTACTATGTTTTAGTCCAAAAATCACTGATCTATTTACTTACATATTCAAACAATACACCAGGATTACTGTGACTCAGTTTCCCAAGCTGTCGTCCAGAGGGTTTCACATTCTCCTTAGACAAACGTCTACAAAAATATTACATGAATTTAGTGCATTCCTGGTATTTATTCAGTTTATAGTCGTCAGAATATTTTTTCACCATTTGCATATGTAAATTATTTCTCAGAAAAATTAACCACTATTGAAATAACTTTCAGTGATACAAAGAAATTAACTAGATTCAACATAGGCTACACTAGAGAAAATATTTTGCAATCCTTTATCTTACTCCTTAATACTGCGTGCTTAGCAGAAAAACTGGAAATATCAATTTTAAAGTCTTTGGATTGACCCATCCAGGGTTCCAACCCACGACCTCCTGCACTTGAGGCAAACATGCTACCACCACAACACCAAGAAGGTCTGCTGACAAGAAAATCACATATATGAATTGATAAAATATAGGTGATTTTTTTTTTATAACCAGCATTTATTCATTTGGTTTATTAATCAGCAATCCATTTTGTAAGTATGTAATTTTGTGAAAATGTAAATGTTTTAGGTCTGATATCAATATTTAAGAGAAGTAATTAAATGACCTTTATATTTTATTTAGGACTTACTTCATGATGTATTTAGCTTTCTCCAGACAATCAGCTCGGATACAGATCAACTTAGAATGCTGACTGTATGTATCATTCTTCCAGTTCCCATACAATCTATACCTGTAGAAACAGTAAAAATCACATATATATATGATAAATAAGGTAAACATTTTCTTTCTATATAATCAATTATCACATGATACAATACTGCTTGTGAATAGGCTTCCCTTACACAAGTTTTGACTATACATTGTATGGCCTTTTAGATAAAATGTTCCCCATGTATTCATAAATGATTCTTAGAGTTTCTCATAAAGGTTAAAACAGAAAAGTACTCTTCTTAGAAAATTGAAAGCTCAACTTGAACATGTTAAAATACAACATTTTCAGGAATAAGCAAAAGAGATTTTTAATACACTAATTGTAAACAGTGGTAAGTTACCTGAGTTCATATGGATATAATTTGAGAAATGACCATAACTCCTCGGACAAACAACAATTATTGGCCAGCACGGACATACTAGGTAGGAGTACTTCATCCAACATGTTGAGGAAGCCATAGTAAGCTATATCATCTTCTGGTGTAATGCCTCCATCCTGCCTCTGTAACAAAATAACAAGGATATTATAAATAAGTCAAGTGAACCAACACATTCTGGTGTAACGCCTCCATCCTGTCTCTGTAACAAAATAGCATAGTTATTATAAATAAGTCAAGTCAACCAACACCTTCTGGTGTAATGCCTCCATACTGCTTCTGTAACAAAATAACAAAGTTATTATAAATAAGTCAAGTGAACCAACACCTTCTGGTGTAACGCCTCCATCCTGTCTCTGTAACAAAATAACAAAGTCAAGTGAACCAACACCTTCTCGTGTAATGCCCCCATCTTGCCTCTGTAACAAAATAACAAAGATATCATAAATAAGTCAAGTGAACCGACATCTTCTGGTGTAATGCCCCCATCCTGTCTCTGTAACAAAATAACATAGTTATTATAAATAAGTCAAGTGAACCAACATCTTCTGGTGTAATGCCCCCATCCTGCCTCTGTAACAAAAAAACAAGGATATCATTGAGATGGGAACCATCTCTGTGGGCCCCGCTGTGAATAATGTGTGGTAAAAAAATTGTATCTTTATCATTGGACATGGGGTTGTTAACTGAAACCGAAGTTTATGACCTTGATCTTTGACCTAGGAAGTTGTACATAAATTATGACACACCCTCTGGTGTTGATTTATATACATGTCAAGTATAAACTTTGAAATCATATCGGTTCTCAAGATATAGAGCGTACATAATCTTTACCATAGGACATGGGGTTGTCAACTAAAACCAAAGTTTTTGACCTTGACCTAGGAAGTTGTACATAAATTATGACACACCCTCTGGTGTTGGTTTATATACATGTCAAGTATAAACATTGAAATCATAACGATTCTCAAGATATAGAGCGGACATAATCTTTACCATAGGACATGGGGTTGTCAACTAAAACCAAAGTTTTTGACCTTGACCTTTGACCTAGGAAGTTGTACATACATTATGACACACCCTCTGGTGTTGGTTTATATACATGTCAAGTATAAACTTTGAAATCATAACGGTTCTCAAGATATAGAGTGGACACGATCTTTACCATAGGACATGGGGTTGTCAACTAAAACCAAAGTTTTTGACCTTGACCTTTGACCTAGGAAGTTGGCGGGGCCCTAATAAGTCAAGTGAACCAACACCTTCTGGTGTAATGCCTCCATCCTGTCTCTGTAACAAAATAACATAGTTATTATAAATAAGTCAAGTGAACCAACATCTTCTGGTGTAATGCCCCCATCCTGTCTCTGTAACAAAATAATAAAGATATTATAAATAAGTCAAGTGAACCAACATCTTCTGGTGTAATGCCTCCATCCTGTCTCTGTAACAAAATAATAAAGATATTATAAATAAGTCAAGTGAACCAACATCTTCTGGTGTAATGCCTCCATCCTGCTTCTGTAACAAAATAACAAAGTTTTCATAAATCTTAAAGAAATTTTTCATTAACTCTAATATGCATTATTCTTTTTTAATCTCGACAATGTAGAATTTCTAACTATGATGAGGAACAGTGGTGATTTCTATTTTTTCCTACATCTTGAGCTGATTTCAAATTACCACTTTTCAATATAGAACATCTTACCTTGGACATAAATGTTTTTCCAAGTCTTATTATCTTGGCAATAAGAACTGGATCATATGCTGTGTATGGGCCCAGATAACGTAAAATAGAAAACACTTGTAGGTGCAACTCTCGGTAAGAATTCACTTGTGGAACCTTCTTGTCTTGTTTTATCTTCCCTTTTAATATCTTCTTAGGAATGCCACAATTCCTGAAAAGAAAACAAAACCATTATTTGCCAATATGAAAAATATATCCATTAAACAATCAGATTATTTCTGACAATACAAATAAGACATTTTCTAATTTGTATCTCATATATTACAAATTCATGTTCATTTGATAAAACTGAATGTAAGCAACAACATCTACTATTAAAATCAATACTGCAGTACAAGATGAGATAAACCCACAATAACAATCTACACATGTAAATCAATACAACTTGCAACTCACTGCAAAATACAAATGCCATTTTTTACTTATATATCAGGATAGGCTTATAAATAGTACATGTATTTTAATTGGTTCTTTTATTGTGCTGTTTGTCATGTCTAATTTGTAAATCTTGCATAAATTTTAACAACTAGGAAATTGTGATAAGTTCAATTTACCTTTACCCCATCATTTATATTTAACTGAATTATTTGATTGACTGATGGTTGCTTAACCTCGAGCTACAAAAAAGGGGATTGACCTGTGGCGTCGACCTTGAAGGTAATCACCCTACCAATAAACAAAAAATGCATTTAAATAACTAGAGGCTCTAAAGAGTATGTGTCGCTCACCTTGGTCTATGTGCATATTCAACAAAGGACACTCGCCAAAATTATAGACAAGAATAGAATTCATGACAAAAATCTGTTTTGTTGATCCATATCGTCTTAATTGTAGATCTTGTCTTGCTGATCATTTTTGCTTATCTAAGTTTCTATCTATCTATTATAATTTTTAAGATATAAGGCAAAAACGAAAAAAATTGGTAATAATCGTCATCAAAGGGCAATAACTCTTATAAGGAGTCAACTGATGATTTCAACCATGCCTTGTAGAACTTGTCTTGCTGATCATTTTTGCAATGAAAAGTTTCTCTCTTATCTATTATAGTTTTCAAGATAAAAGGCAAAAATGAAAAAAAATGGTAAAACTTATCATTTAAGGGCAATAACTCCTATAAGAAGTCGTCTGACAGTTTTGATGTATAAAAACTATTGGTAAAGCTCAATGTTCTGAACATTTTTGCTCTTGTCAAATTTTCTCTACCGTAGAAAGGCTTGTATAGTCCGCGGTTTTATTCTCCAAAATTGGACCTTCCAGACGGGGTGCGGACTATAGAGTACAATAAGCAAGAAATAAGAGAAAAATTTCAATTTCGCGGGCGAAGTGGTTTGTTTACGTTCCGCCATCTTTGTTATTTATATTGTAGAGGGCGCTCTTATCATTTTTCAAACTAATAATTTTAACTCATCCATATTAATAAGTTATTTCTATTCAATATCAAATTAATACTGATAAATATAAAAACTAAACCTTTCATTACAAATCTCTCGTTTCTTTTCAATGCATTAGTTGAAATAAACTGGTATCTGCTTGATTGAAACGATACAAACATAGTGAAAAAGACAACCGTAAACCAGCTTAGAATTTGTAAACTACAAAACGTAATCGGTTATTGTTCGTTCCGTTTTGGTGTTTCATCCTGACTAATATGGTTTGTATTAGCTTAAGACCCTTCAAACATTAATGTGATAGATATATTAAAGACTGTTTTACAAAAGGATGGAACTGTTTTACTTTCAAAGTCATATTATAGTGATATCTGTTATGTACGGATTTCGACTCTCACCGGTTAATTTCTTCTTTTACACGTGCTTTTTAAACTTCCTGTTTAAACATACACAAGTTTCTAAATTGTTTTTTAAGTGAATTAAACTTATTTTAACAATCATGAAGCATTCTAGAATCATTTACAAGCAGTTTCAGCTTCTGTTTGATGATGGAAAACAGGTTTTTCCAAGAAAATACCGCAAACGACCGCACAGGATTTGAAATTACTGGAGTTTCATTAGACCTTTTCTAACAGTTACAAAAAGTTTTTTTACCTAAAATTTCGTGGGGAGAAGGGGGTGCGGACTATGTACCAGTGCGAACTATACAAGCCTTTCTACGGTATTTATAACAGTTTCAAAATGGTTTCAAAATAATAGACAAAACTTGCATTTTACCCCATTGTTCTATTTTTAGCTATGTCGGCCATCTTGGTTAGCAGACAGGGTCAATGGAGATATTCTTTAAACTAGATACCTCAATGATGATTTTGGTTGCGTTTGGTTAAATTTGGCCCTATAGTTTCAGAGGAGATGATTTTTGTAAAAGTTAACAGACAATGGAAAATCATCATTAAAGGGCAGTAACTCCAATAAGGAGTTGTTGGACAATTTCCTCCATTCTTTCTTAATTGAGATCTTGTCTTGCTGATCATTTTTGCTAATTTAAGTTTCTATCTATCTATTATAATTTTTATGATATAAGACAAAAACGCAAAAAAGTGGCAAACATCGTCATCATAGGGCAATAACTCTAATAAAAAGTTGACTGATGACTTTCTGATTATTTTTGCAATTTAAAGTTTCTCTTTATCTATATATTAGTTTTCAAAATAGTAGACAAAATTTTTTAGAAAATGATAAAATTTGTCATTTAAGGGAAATAACTCCTATAAGAAGTCGTCTGATAGTTTTGACGTATATGAACAACTGGTAGAGCTCAACATTCTAAACATTTTTGCTCTCGTCAGATTTTCTCTACTTATTATGGTTTCAAAATAATAGACAAAACTTGCATTTTACCCCTATGTTCTATTATTAGCCATGTCGGCCATCTTGGTAGGCAGGCGGGTCATTGGACACATTTTTTTAACTAGATACCCCAATGATGATTGTGGCCAAGTTCAGTTAGATTTGGCCCAGTAGTTTCGGAGGAGAAGATTTTTGTAAAAGTTAATGACGACGGACATCAAGTGATGAGAAAAGCTCACAAGGCCCTTCCGACCAGGTGAGATATAAATGGAAGGAGCAAAGTAAATGTAATACTGATGAAGTATTTAAAGCATGGTAACATACTCCCTATAAAAAGATTCCATCATCTTATGGACAGTTTCACACAGCTTCATAGTAACAGGTCTATATGATGTTGCAAAAAACTCTGGTAATCTGTCTAGAATCTGTTTCACACTACTCCAACATCCAAACTGTAGCAACTCTCCACATAATCCCAACTTCTGATTGGTTGAATGCTGAAACAATCAAATAAAATGAAGTCAACACTGGTTCTTTTCTGAAGAATTATAAATATCAAGTTTTTTTTCCCCTTCTTTTTGACTGCCAAATTTTTTCTTCAAATGCAAGTTGAAAAGAATTCAAAAGTTTTTGTTAACAGAAGATGTTCTTAATGTATTACTGTACACATTAATTTTGGGAAATTCTGTGTTTGAAATCATGGGTGTAACTTTTATTACAATTAACTTTTCTCTTTTATAAGTATAGAAGTGAGATTTGTACTTTCTAAGGAAAATGTGATAAAAATTTCATGAGGTAAACTAATATATCCCTCTTTCAAAGCTTGGGTATAATATAAAAATAAGGAGATGTGGTATGATTGCCAATGAGATAACTATCTGCCAAAGTTCAAATGAAGTGGATATAAGCAATTATAGGCAACTGTACGACCTTCAACAATGAGAAAAACCCATACCGTAAAGTCGGTTATAAAAGACCCCAACATGACAAATGTTAAACAATTCAATTGAGAATACTTACGGCCTAATTTATAACAAAACAATTTCACGAAAACCAAATATGACAGACCAACAACAACCACTGATCTACAGGCTCCTGACTTAGGACAAGCAAATAAAGAATGTGGTGGGGTTAAACATGTTTGTGAGCGCTCAACCCTCCCCTAACCTGGGACAGTGGTGTTACAGCACAACATAAGAACAAACAATAATAAACTATTAACACAGAGATATGTCTTGGCTTATTTCATTTAGATAGTAAAATGCAAACTTGGATGGAGAGTTGTCTCATTGGCACTCATACCACATCTTCTTATATCTAAATATTGAAATTAAAATAGCAATACTTTAACATACAAGTTATGCAAAATATTCAAAGTCAATGATACATGACTGAAGGAACAGGGCCAAATAATGTCCATGGAAATGAGGTGTGCCAATGTTAAAACAACTGTATACCAAATATCATTGACCAACCACTAGTGATACACCATAAACTGATCTAATCACAAACTAATACATGTAAACTAAGCAATAGTTTCAAAGTCAATAGACCATGACTGAAGGGGTGGGGCCAACTAATCTCCATGGAAATGAGATGTGCCAATAATACAACTGCATACAAAATATCATTGACCTGCCACTAGTGGTTCCCCATAAACTGACCTAATCAGAAACTATTACAATGCTGACGCCGCAGCAGGAAACAGCATACCTATATCTGATTTATTGACTCTGTCAAGGTGAGACAAAAATCAATTAAAAAGGGCTTATATAATGACAATTCAACCTTACCACATCTATAATAGCCTCTTCATCTGTCTTTTTATCTTCCGTTTTATCAGCTAATGATACAATGTTAAGCTTCCTGGCATGAGCTTTGGCGTTGTTTACATCTTTCTCATGAAATTCCCAAATCTTACTGTCTGCTGGTGAAAGCTTTAAAAAAATCAAAATGTTTATACTTATAACTTTTTTACTGGTTACAATGCATGATATCATCTTCCTTATCATCAATTTCTTTAATACAATCACCAGATACCTAATTATAATTAATTCATTACTGAAAAGTCAATGCACAAATAAATTTTTTTTTTAATGTACTATGGTATTTTATTGTTAACTTGGTATTCTTGTCATTGGTTTGTTTCTGACCTTTTTCTCTCTTATTCAAGGAATACAAAAAATAAAAGTATGTTAAATGCATGTGCATTACAAAATGTCTACTCTAGGTGCATTGTAGGTTTAAATTGAGAAACATGTATGAGAACTATAATGATTTTACAGACTCCATTCCACAGCAGTATTGTGAGTTATTACTAATTATATCCCATTTCAATGTTGTGAACTTAATGAGACAAAACATCATACATTTGAAAGATTTAAGGTTTTGGAAATCAGGAAGTGGAACATTAAATGAACAATAAAATTCTCTTCCAAGTAGCATAACTAGCCAAAGCTCGGTGATATATGTTATTGTTGTTTGAAACATGTAAAGAAAAGATGGAAAGAGGTAGCCCTGTATAGGTGTTTGGATGGGGATATAAGGTCATTTTAGAAACTAAGAGGTGCATTTAGCTCTTAATGGTGTTTTTACTAAAATCTGATGGTCAATGATTTTACCTTGATAAATGTTTGATGAATAGAAAGAAAAGTATTACTTACATGTGGATAAAGCAAGTCTAAATCAACCAATCCATTTTCTAATAAAACAGCTGCCATTTTATACAGAGACTGTGGAGTTTCTTCTGACTATAAAATAATAAAACAAAGGACTATGCAAAATGTTAATCAAACAATATCAATTGAGAAACCCTGCTTTCCCTTGTTGTCATGTAGACAGATCTTGAAGAAATTAAAATATGAATGAACAACTGAAAGAAATCAAATATTTATCATTTAATTAAAGCTGTTATCCTAATTCTAGTAATTTAAAGGTTTGGTTGGCTTGCTTGCTTTGTTTGTATAAATGTTTGCTCAAGCATTGTAATTAAGATTGACATCTGCAATCAATAGATAGGTGGGGCTTCAGCTCGTATACCTTATTGATACTTAAATGTTATTGGATGTTATGTATAATGTAAACAAGCTGAAGTCCCACCTATCTATTGATTGCAGATGTCAATTTTAATTACAATGCTTGAGCAAACATTTATACAAACAAAGCAAGCAAGCCAACCAAACCTTTAAATTGCTAGCATTAGGATAACAGCTTTAATGTAAAGTATATTTCAAAATTATCAAGTAAATCAAAGAAGAATTTTCCATGACAAAATAATTCATTCCTCTAGACAGCATTTACTTCCTGTGAAATATCATTAAAATTTACTTACAGCATAAAATTTAAATTTAAATCCCATGATATTACACAGTGTCTTAGGCTCACTGACATATTCTCTAAACATTGGGATGTAAAACTGATCATGTTCTGGTCGATTCTCAAATGACTCCAACAATATATCCAACACACGATTTGGGTCAAGGTCAAAACATCCTAAAATAAATATGTACAACATTTAGCTATTACCATATCTATTACATGTAGGTTGATCCCTGATAATTATATGCTCATATGAATTTCTATTACTTCTTTATTTAGATACGTACGGTTCAACTTTTAAAAATAAAATCGATAATATTTTACTCTTCAAACTATGGAGTAATTTTCTTGATTTCTTTATTCTGTGAACAGGAGTATATACATGTATTGTTATTCCATACTTCATCATTGATTGTTCTGGTTAATTTCATTCAATGTCTGACTATAATAATAGTATTCAGTCCTCAAAATGAATTCTTTAAAATTCCATTTGATCCAACAGAGGTTTCAGAATTCCCCCTAACTTCAGAATCTCATAGAATCCCTCTGATATTTAATGACTTACCTATCAATGATTTAAGATTTTCTATAACTTGTAAAGGTGTGATTTTTTCTGTTATTTCCTGGTTTAACTCTACTACCAGTTTGGCATACCCTTCATTTTCTTCTCGTAGCAAATTAAATTTCATCTGTTTGTAACTACAAATCAATTAATACTGTTAAGATGACACCAGTCAACCATAAAAAAACAGATCTCTTTAAAATAAAATTTAGAATACCATAGAATCACATCTATTAAATGACTTACCTATTTTAAAATGATGAAGATTTTGTATCAATTTCAATGATAAATTGTCAAAAAATTCTAACCAAATGGGTACCCCAGATAAAGCAATGGCAAAGTCCATGATTTGATAAGAGGAACCCCAAAAATAAATTGGATCAAAAACAAAATAGGAGCTGCACAATGTCATTATTACACATCAAGATTCTGAAATAAATTTTAATAAGGGTTTAGGAAGTGTTTCAGATACAATATGGATACCCAGATTAAGTAATGGCAAATTCCATAATTTGCTAAGAGAAATAACAAAATTAATTCAGATAGAAAACAAAATAGGTACACAGTGACATTATATGGTGAAGATTCTGAGTATTATAAAGTTTTAACTTATTAAAATTAGGGGTTTGGGAGAAGCATATACAAATGTGTACTGTCATGAATATAGTATGTGGATATGACTAAGTCCATGCCATGCCAAAGTAAACCCTTAACATCATTGCAATGTACCGAATTCAGGCTTGTATAGGCCGCAGTTTTATTCTTAAAAATTAAAGCTGCCAGGCAGGGGTGCGGATTATAAGAGTACGATAAGCAAGCAATAAGAGAAAAACTCGATATCCCGAGTTTTGTTTACGTTCCACCATGTTTGTTACTGAAATTGTAGAGTGCGCCCTCATCATTTTCAAAACCAAATATTTTATCTAATCCATATCAATGTGCAATTTTAATTCAAAATCCATTATACAGTGATTAATTTCAAAATTGAAAGCTTCATTAAAAATTTCTCGCGTTTCTTTTCACAGCATTGCATAACATAAACTGGAAACCACTTGTATTTAACGGAATAAAAAAAGTGTGCAAGTCAGCCAGGGGCCAGCTTATGCAAAACTAAACTACAAAACGTAATCAGTTATTCATCCAGTTTTGGTGATTCATACTGATGCATGTGTTTTGTTTTAGCTTAAGATCCTTCAAATATTAATCATACATGCAAGTGACATTCTGTGGTGAGTTTGACAACTTTCTGTCAAGTGGTTAAGGAGCAGCTGCTGAGAAAAAAGTGGGAAAGGTCAGCTTCAGGAAGCTAGGGAAGGTGTATGATTAAAAAAAGACAGATTCAATCCTTTTAAAATATAGAAATTCTAACAAATCTGAAAGTATCAAAAGATATAAATCCTTCAAGTGCTTACAGCTGTACTATTTAAGTAAGTTTGTGTTTGAGTACTTTGTGGATTAAGTTCAATAGTTTAATAGATGATCCATATATTCTGTATATAACACTTCAGAATTGTACTTACAATAATCTCGTTTTTGTTTTAACATATTTGGCTTGATATTGCTGTCTAGAGGAAATTAAGCCTACATTTTCCAATGTGTCAAAATCCAGCCGTTCTTTAAACACTGTTGGTGCTATTAATCCCTGAAATAAACAAGTCACATTTACACCCAAGTAGATGATTTGAGCGTTCTCAAAAAAAAAAAAAAAAAAAAAAAAAACAGCTTCGTTCAGGGTTTCCTTACTGGAATATATTGCATTCATTTGACATAAGGATTGCTGTATATTTTCTCTTGATTCTTTTGTTCTCCAATAGATAATAGATGATAAGTGTTCTATCAAATATATCATTACTTTCCACAGTAAATAATATATTTACACAATATTTGATTATTCCTGTCAATGTTACATTATATTTGATTATTCCTGTCAATGTTACATTATATTTGATGATTCCTGTCAATGTTACACAATATTTGATTATTCCTGTCAATGTTACATTATATTTGATTATTCCTGTCAATGTTACTTTATATTTGATTATTCCTGTCAATGTTACATTATATTTGATTATTCCTGTCAATGTTACTTTATATTTGATTATTCCTGTCAATGTTACATTATATTTGATTATTCCTGTCAATGTTACTTTATATTTGATGATTCCTGTCAATGTTACATTATATTTGATGATTCCTGTCAATGTTACATTATATTTGATGATTCCTGTCAATGTTACACAATATTTGATTATTCCTGTCAATGTTACTTTATATTTGATTATTCCTGTCAATGTTACTTTATATTTGATTATTCCTGTCAATGTTACATTATATTTGATTATTCCTGTCAATGTTACTTTATATTTGATTATTCCTGTCAATGTTACATTATATTTGATTATTCCTGTCAATGTTACTTTATATTTGATGATTCCTGTCAATGTTACATTATATTTGATGATTCCTGTCAATGTTACATTATATTTGATGATTCCTGTCAATGTTACATTATATTTGATATTCCTGTCAATGTTACATTATATTTGATGATTCCTGTCAATGTTACTTTATATTTGATTATTCCTGTCAATGTTACATTATATTTGATCATTCCTGTCAATGTTACACAATATTTGATTGTTCCTGTCAATGTTACATTATATTCTTTTTAATTCATTAAGTCTTTTCTTTGTTGTTTATTGCACTTTTGCTGTCACAATATACTAAGCCTACAGCTTTAACTTAAAATCCCTTGAATTAATTCATCAAATAGTTTTCAAAAGTCTTGTAAATAAAGGCAACAGTAGTATACCGCTGTTTGAAACTCATAAATCGATAGAGATAAAAACAAATCCGGGTTACAAACTAAAACTGAGGGAAAAAAAAGTTTTGCAGTTTGTAAAACAACCAACATTTTTTCTGTTGATTTATTGGGACCAGATAAAAAAATTTCACTATCCACCTCATTATATAAAATAACAACACTAACTGTTCTCTTTATAAAATATTGTATCTCCACTTATTAACACATTTTCTTCTCATCCCATGATTATAACTTATCTTCTCGGAACCACATTAAATTGCAGCAACTACATTTCATGTAAATTAATATGCTTAATCAAACATTTAAATGTCATGTCACTCTGATAATTTTTTTACAACTTGGCCTTTTCCATGTTTTTTTTAACTTGCTTTTGAGTAATCTAATCATTGGAGATCTTACAATAGTTTTCTGATTATAAATGATCTTGTCCATGTTATCTCTGATAATGAGGCAGAGCATTTACAGTGGATTACACTGTATGTACCTTTTTAAACTAGCTTCAAACCTGTTGTAATTCTTGAAATATTTCTTACCTCTACAGCTGATACCAAAGAAATAAATCTGTCTCTTTCTTGTTTATCCTCAGAACATGTTGTCTCTATATCTGTAATAACAGTATATAAATAAAACAAGTACATCTGTATTCAGTGACCAGTCTCCTAATAATCAACATTGAAGGGTAGCTGTCTAAATGATATATACCACATATTTTGTATTAACTTGTATTGAAAGAAATAGATAAAACTTAACCTTTATACAAGGACAGCCTAGTTAAAGCATGCATTTGCGTCCCAAGTTAGGAGCCTGTAGTTCCGTGGTTGTTGATGGTTCATGTCTGTCATATTTGTTTTTTCAGAAATTATTTTGTTATAAATTAAGCCGTTAATTTTTTTTTCAATTGAATTGTTTCACATTTTTCATGTAGGGGCCTATTATAGCCGAGTCGACTATATGGTGTGGGTTTTTCTCATTGTTAAAGGTCATACTTGTTGCCTATAGTTGCTTACATCCATGCATTTGCAATCATACCACATCTCCTTATTTTCATACATATTAACTTTAACTTTAATCATAGAATCATGATATTAAGATGTCATCCTGTTGTCAGACATTATTTTCTGTTTTATTTTTTTTTTATGTTTAAATTTTCGAGCTCTGAATAACACTGTTGTCTTTTTGGTGTTTCTATCATCTCTGTAGTTGCTTTTCTATAGTTTAATAGTATCTTACCAAATATAGAAAAGACATCAACAAGTAATAATGGAACCTCTTTCTTGTAATCCTGAAATCATAAAGAAATAGAATGAGAATGTCCATTATTTAAAGTATTATTCCACTATATGTTAATTTTGATAGGTAATAAAAATATTTAATTGGTGCAGATGATTGAATAAAAAAAACATCCAATTCCCTCTGAGCATCGTCTTTACCTCTTGTGACATAACACAGTTTACAAATCGTTTCAGTACTTTTAATAAAGAGAAACCAATGTTAATACCATGTCTAAGCTTATTTCAGTCTTATAATCAAAACAGAAAAAAAAAATGTCATGTAATAAATAATTCATGATTGATATACTACTTATGGCATGTTATTATAAAAAAAATTTGTAAGAGGTTTCGTGGAACCCTGTGTCTTGCCTGCGATTGTTGCTGTCAGTGTAAAAGTGTAATGGTGACTTAAAAAGTGAGTCTATTTATCAGTAAAATACAGAATTTAAAAAAAAAATTCAAACTTTTTCTTTAGATGCTATTTCTTGGTCTTGAAGATTAGCTTATGTCCAAGTTTCATAACAATCCATGAAGGTTTACAAATTTATTTAAGTGAAAAAAATATATTTTCAAAGGAATGCCTCAGACAGTATCCCAAATCATTAAAAAGCTTCTGCCTAATCATAAAACTCTTATGAAGGTTTGACAAACTTTAACCCCAGACTGTATCTACTTGTTAACTGTAAAAAAAACTATTATTGGTCATAAACAAGCCTCTGTCCAAATTTCATAAATTTCCATTAAGGTTTGACAAATCTATTGATGACTAAAAAACTTTAACCTCAGACTAAATCTGAATGTTATCTGTAAAAAAAAACTAAGTCCACTTATTAGTAAAATATGAAAAACGAAAATAAATATTTTCCATATTTTGCTCTGGATACTGTCTTTTGGTCCTAAAATAGCTTCTGTCCAAATTTCATAAAGTTCCAGTTAGGTTTGACAAATTTATTGATGTCTAAAAAAACTTTAACCACAGGCTGAACCTAAATGTTGCCAATGCCGACGCGGAAATCTAGGATCGCTTTGTCATGCTCTTGGGAAATAAATTCGCAGGCTCAACAAAAATGGGATATGAGAAATTGCATGTACCTTATTCACAGTGACTTACTCATAGTTTGCGAAATCTGTCAAAAACTGTGTCCTGACCTTCAAAATTCCATCAAGTTTTTTGTTTTGTGCTGGTCTTATTGTCTGACTGTTTTTTACCGGACATAAAAATTCTTTTCTATTGTTTATTGCAACAGTTGATAATTGGTCAAATCTCGAGACACTGGTTTACAGTTTCGGCCTTTAATATTGACATGGGAAATAATGATTTTTGAAACCAGTTGATTTTTGAAACCAGTTGAAGTAATTAACAATGTCATGGCTAAATAGGTTTTCCGAGGGGCACAGCTTAAAATTTCAGGAAAGCAACCGCAATTGACTGAAGTGAAGACGCAAAAATGAAAATCAAGTTGTATCCAATGAAGAAAAATGGAAATTTAAAATAACGGACCACCAAATTTTTTGAAAGAACCAGCAAAAGTTTGCACCCTGTCAGTCCCTGGTCTAACAAAAAAGTTTCTCATTTTCTGCTTCTTATATCCTGTGTATTTTTCCAAACCTGATATGACGGTGGATTACTCACACATAGATCTGTTATAACTGATACTGCTTGTTCTTGTTTGACATGGCCTTTGGATACAACTGAACACAAGTCATAGAAAGCTTGCTTAAGTGACTTTGGTCCTGGAGTCCATAATTTGTTGTCATTTACAAATGATTTACATTGTTTCAAGCTATAAAAAGAAAAATTAATTAGTGCATTACAAAAATATATTTAGAGTCAGAAGCTGGAGGCTAAAACATTACTGTATTGTACGGTAATGATTTTCAATAGTATACTACATGTATTTTGTCCTGCTCCTAAATCATACCAACTGATCTCAGTGATATTAGTTGCCTCAAATTACATCCGAAATTAGGCTTTTTCCCCTAGAGAAAATTCCCAATTACTAAAAAAAAATGGCTTAAAATTCCTCTCAATAAGTTTTACATTTTTCCCAAAAGTGATGGCATTGGTATTAATGAATGTAAATTTTGTATTCATGTTATTATTTTGATATTATGAAAGCGCTTTTGATATCCAGGTTTCTGATCAGAATCATCACAGTGTTTGTAACACATGTGGTTTTCAATAATGTATTAAGCTAGTCTCGATCATCCAGCCGCTTTATTTTTCAAAGTATAGTTTCTGGATGATTAATGAAATCGAAATGGTAATTTATGACAGTCGGAATAATATCGGCGTTTTACCTAGTTTAAATGGTTAATATCCAAGACAAATAACCAAGAAGTTGGTTATTGATTAGGATTAGTCGAAATAATTATGACGTCGTTTCAAGCTATTTTTAATTTTTTGGTGTGACGCTATACAAGTCATGGAAAACACCCAGACAGCATGGCTTCCATTGCCGCGTAGAAAAATAACAGCACAGCCAATATTGGTAAGATGTTATAACAATACAAACTGTAACATAAATTTCAATGCAGCATCCGTGCTATGCAATCGAGTTAATAATTACAATTAAATAGCAAATTTTGTTTTGACTGGGACCACTCGAACAGTCGTATGCTATAGATAAATTCTGGGATTGTAAAGTAGTATCTTTCACTCCATATATATTTGATGAAAAGGGGCTATGACGTCGAAATATGACTTTCACCCAAGACAAGATTGTTGCATCTATTTATTAGAGATTTGCATCTTGATATGTGTAAAAAAAAAGGGGGGGTGAGGAGAGATTCAATGTACCTATAATAATCCATTCAAAGGAAGGAACGCAATCCAAAACCACAAGTAGAAGAAAAACAGAAAAAGTGAATCTATAAGATGCCATTTTGTACATACATCCAATGTTCTAGGGGAAGCAGGCACATTTAACATTGGGACAGGTCCGATATATAGCCTTTTATCATCTGTTAATCATAAGAATTGAATGTTTATTTTCTTGTAATTTCATAGGGTTGTAAATGCATTGATGTTGCGCACATTATTAGTATGAAGTGCTTCCACACTGTATATAAAAAAGAGGCGGAAAATACCAAACGGACAAAATGTTCTTTACTCGATTTTTTTTAAACATATATGCATGTAGCTTAATCTAGAATTAGATTAGAAAAGGGACACATTGTCATTAAAAGTAATTTCTTTTTACTCCTATTCCACTATCTAAAATTTTAAATATAGTGTTAGTTAACAAAGTCTAGACCGGTCAACTTAAAATAGCAAAATACATTTTTTGTACTTTTAAAAGGCATTTTTTTCACACACAAAAAAACAGTTCATATATAATAAAAAAGTGTTGTCAGGAAAGATACCAAGAGGCAATCTAAACCTGTTTATTTAATGTTAAACAAAACCATGGCATGAAGAAAAACACTGAAAAGGCAATTTTCCGCAAAACAATACACAGTAAAACTAAAGATTGGGCAAAAATGAAAGGAGGTGTCAATGAGGCAGCAACCGGTGAACCCAATGACATAAATAACCAAAAGTAGACATCAAGAGGTCATCATGTAGTTTAAAACAAAAGGTGAAAATAAAAGTGCCAAAATGTCTACATGCAGGTATTGGATAGAGAAAAGAAACAGGGAATGTGTCAAAGAGACAACAACCCGACCAAAGAGCAGGAAACAGCCCAATACCACCAATGGGTCTTCAACCCAGAGGCGGGCTTCAATTGGCCCCTGAACAATAATGTAAACAATGTATTTCTATGATGTTATTTTTTTCAAATAATATTTTTTTTTTTCATATATGCTGGTGACCAAATATTGATATGATTTTAATAATTTTTTTTTTGAAGAGACAAACCAATGATGATTTCTGGACACAGCTGATATGAAAAATGTCAAGAATTAAAAAATAATAATGTTCAGGATATTCCTTATATCATCCTTCAATATTTTTATAAGAATAAGATTCAAAGAAAAAATTACAAAATACTGAATTATCAATCAGTATAAATAAATCACAGTACCAAGAATGTTGGGTAAATATTATTTTGACAGCAAGTACAAAGCCAAAAAAGAAGGTACACAGACCTATAAGTATATAAAACAAAAATCAAGAAAAAGATTGTTGTCAGACATGTCCGAGCATTAAGATTCGTATTAACAAATAAAAAATCTTACAAACAATTTTTTTTTTCTCGTTTAAATTGTATCACATTTTTAAAGTCCGGCCCTTTTATAGCTGACTATACGGTATGGAGTTTTCTCAATAATGAAGGCCGTGCAGTGACCTATATTTGCTTATATCCACGTAATTTGAACTCTGGTGGATAGTTGTCTCATTAACAATCATACCACATCTCCTTATTTTCATATAAAGGTTCATAGGAAAAGATATTGTTCTTGTGAAGCTTTCCTTTCTTGCATGTTAATACATGCTCGATATTAAAATATTTGGAGAAGTAGAATACACTTTTGAGTTGTTGGTTTGACAAGTTACTATGCAGTGTTGGATACACCCATTCCATCTTCTCCATGTGAACGATACGCACATGCATTCAAAGAGTATTGAGTTTCATGAATGACTCTTCATCTTTATAGACACGGATAACACTGGCACAGTGGTATTGTGTGATGGTTGATTCCTATATTTTTTCTTCCCAAAAGGATTACTAAGGCGATATAGATTATTGGTGTAAAAGCTAAGACACATTCAGATTATTGGATCGTTTGCAGTTTCTGTTGTAAATGAAAATTGAGTTAGCTCATTGTGTGATCTCAATGATATGCCAGTAATAGCTGTTAAGGAAGTTTTTTTACATTGCATTCTTAGTATTTGTGTGAGTTATTTTTCTTTACCTAGAAGTAACTTGATGTGTGTGTGGTTTATTTTTGTAAGGTAAGTGTATCAGAATTCTGAAAGGATATATAAAAAGGACAGCATATATTATAGCAATACTAGACTACATCGGACCATACTGATAGACCAAATGTGATAAAAGTTAAAAAAAAAAAAGAAAAAATTAAACTGCCCTTGCAGATACAGGAGAGACTTTACAAAAATGAGAATAATGGGCAAAAATTAAGAAAAATGGAAAAAAATAATGGAGTGAAAAAGGAAAAAAAAATAAAGAATGAAGAATACTGGTGTGCTATAATATAAAGACTAGACTGATTGTTGGTTGCTTGCTTAACGTCCAGTGGTAAGTATTTCATGCATGTTCAGGAAGAAAAGAAATTAACAATAAATACAATAGGGAGGTCCTGTAATAGAGGCCGTACGGGATACAGGTCGGAGAAATTATGACTGCCACTAGAAAATGAGGGTATATTGGATAGGGGCAGAAATTTAGCCTTACAACAGGCCACCTACAGACCCCTCTCTTAGTGTCCAGAGAACGTGGCACTCTCTCTACACGAGGAATCTGATTTAACATCCCCATTCTGACCCGACGTGGCTGCGTACTTGTACATCACTAAAATAAAGAGGACGCCACTTTGACGAGGGTTTTACTGCCGGTCGGAAGAAGACCAAGAGTGACCATATTTCTATTCCCCAGTCACCATTAGGGGTATAACGAGTAGAAAATAATTGGTGTGCTATAATATAAAGAATAGAGAATTATGGTGTGCTATGATATAAAGAATATAGAATTATGGTGTGCTATGATATAAAGAATAGAGAATAATGGTGTGCTATGATATATAGAATAGAGAATAATGGTGTGCTATGATATATAGAATAGAGAATAATGGTGTGCTATAATATCAAAAAAGAGTAGAGAATAATGGTGTGCTATAATATAAAGAGTGGAGAATAATCGAGTTCTCAGATAATACAAAGAATAGAATATTTCACGTTCTATATTGGAAAAGTTGGACTGATCATACCTGTGGATTTATCAATTCAGTTTTTCAAAAAAATGTACATGTACAAAATTTATGCCAAAAAGGTGGCCGTTAATTACAGTTTATAATCTTTTTGGTAGAAATTTAAGCTAGAAAAGTAGTTTAATGAAAAAGTCTTTTGGAGAAAAATCATGACAAAAAAATGAATGTGACTTGTCCGATCCTACATTCGTGTGTAATGCTTTACAGATGCAATCTTATTTTGACTATCTATCTTAAAATAAGTAAATGTATATAAACTGAGACAGGTAGTCTCGGGTATAACTTGAATAATAATACGTGTGAAATGGTATTTGAAGCCGTTTTAGCACTTATTTGACATCATGTCTCTTTATTAAAAATGCACATTGGGCATCACAGCGTGAGCTACAAGAATGTCAGTTAGTTTGATTTTTATTATTTTGGGGATAACGGAAGTGCTATTTATAGATTAAGTTCTATATTTAATTGTTAGTTACGCCCCCTTTAAATATCTGACCAGTCCGGTTAATCAACCCAGACGCTATATTTATATACGCGTTTGGGTACTCGAGACTATGCATTAAGCATGTTAAGTACCATCATTGTTTCAGTCTCTTTCCCCTCCCTAAAAAGTACCTTTCAGGTTTAAAATGTCTGACAATCAAAATATATGTGATAAAACTGTGCACAAAAAAAAGTAAAGTTTAGCAAATAATCGGAGATGTGTTTAAAAAAAAATAAACCAACTTCCCAATTTCAATAAAAATCATGCATTGTTCCCCAAAAAAAACGGTAGAGGTAGTTTTGAAAAAAGACAACAATATCACTGGATCTTTTTTATTTCTCAACCTCATCTTTTTTTTTTTTTTTTTGGTTATTGCAAATTTTTCGTTCTAATTAATTACAGAAATTGCACTATACAATGGAGGGTTCTCACTAAGGACTTTTGAAGGCGAGTCCAGGGACTCATCATTTTTGGCTATGGCGAGTCCAACAGTGAGGAAGAAATTTTATTGCTGTATAATTTATTATTTCAGTCTCAAAATAGAGCAAGATAATGGCATCAAATTTAGATTAGATGTAAACTTTTGCTCTAAAATCTAACATGATATGTGTTCTCAGTTGTACAATCTTGATGCATTTTTGGACTCACCAGTTTTGAAAATGATGAGTCCAGACAGATTTTCATGAGTCCAGGACTCATGGGCTCACCTTAGTAAGAACCCTGAGTCAATGTATCATGATCATTTATACTGTTCAAGTCTATTTGCTAATGTTTTAGTCCAAAGAGTTTACTCAGATATCTGACAGCTTTTTTAAGACTTGCTGACAAGTTGCTGAGGCAGAGGGATTTCAGAGTGCAGTCAATATAGTAAGCATGGAAACTTCTGGGGATGCAAGTTTCTGTCTCACATTTTAAAGTAGAACATCATATGATTTCTTTTTCATTTTACTCCACGAATATGTATTTATTATGTAAATCAAGTAGTAACACCCTAAAGCACAAACAAATGCTTTATTTCTATCAACCCCCATCTTTCGTATCAACTGTATGCTTGACTGTCTTGAGTTGCTCGTCATCTAGTCGTACAAAGAAGTTACTGACAGAATTGGCAGTGTTCTGAACTATGAAGGACTTCTGATGAAGTTAATGGGTTTTTCTCATTTTTGAAGAGTCGAACGGTTGCCTATAATTGCTTCTGAGAAAAAAAAAACATGCCCCCCCACCAAAAACAAAACATGAATGGTTGGTTCCCTTAAAGCTTTCTGATAAACGGTCTAGGTGTAATAATGGGTTACCGAGCGACGGATGGACAGACAGTCAGATGGAGAAAATTACCATATCCCCTACACTGCTGTGTTCATGTATGCCCAGAGATCCTACATAACATGCATAAGTGACATTGATATGTTAAAGTGAATGTATTTTTGTGATAAAATACGTGCAACTCTGAGCATGCCAAAATTAATTTCTGTTCTATTAATAAACATCACCGACAGTTAATATACACATGAACAATATTTGTTTATGCCAAAATACATTCAAAAATAAATTCCCCTTGTCAGCCCATTTCTTCGGCTGTATTTTGTCAAATGTCAGTTATTTTGTATCATACTTTTCTTTGCTGGAGCTGCTTGATGCCATTTTGAAACTCTACTAAATCTGCCCTAATCCAGGGTTGATGTCGAGTTAAACTCTGGGGGTGCGATTGTCAGTCGAGTCAACTCAATAGACTTGGACGAATCGAAGTAGGCCCTATAGACTACTATAGTGATCCATTTCTGAAATTATAACCTTCTGATGTCATGCAACAATCACTTTTTAATTATGACATCAAATGTTCTACTGTGTAATGCCAAATGCAATACTTTTTTATGCTAAATAATAAAATTTTAAGAGAACTTGTGTGACTAAGTTCTGGCAGACAAATTTGCATATAAATGTAAGTGTATAAATAATTCTAATGTAAAAGACAAAAATGACTGCAATTTGTTTAATGAAAAGGTTTTTATTTTCTCTTGTGTCCATGTCCGAAGCAGAAAAATCTATTTTGGGGTTTGGATTCTCTGACATAGAGGTCTCTCATGTTTTGTTTGACTGCCAATATAATTGCCATCAGTGCATCACTAAATCAGCATCTTGATCAGTCATGCAGTTGATTGTTTTGCACATGTACAAGAACTACTTTCGCTTTCTATATATTTTCAGCAAATATGCCGAATATCGAGCTTATCCTGATATCTAAATGTTGCATCTTTTTGTTTCTATAACAAAGCATATACTGTCACATGGATTTCATTCTTACAAGTCATGTTTTACTGATTTATCCCATGATTTTGAGTTAACGTCGGCTAGCACCATCGCCGCCATCTTTCTGACGTCAAATAATCTAATCTCTAAATAATATTCTTTGTTGTACAAAACATTACAAAATACCATATAAATATTAAATAAAATAAATAAAAAGAACAATGTTTCAAAATTGAAATGATTACAAATAAATAAAGTTATATAAAACTTGTATTAGAGATTAAATTCAAGATGGCAGCGCCCAGTGTCGTGACGAAAATGTCAAAAGTGGACAAAAAATTAAAGAAAAAGCAGATGAAGTTTCGTGACATGTTAGAAAAGAATGAAGGGATACAAATTTCTGAAACACCAACAAAGGTTTAACATACTGTGAAGCAATTACTTTAATTTGAGGCAGGTGTTACCTGTGAGTCTGTGAAAAGGGACTAAGTTGGTTTATCTCTGTCATGTCTGTTGCTGAGTGTTGGCTTCCTTATTTTTTTCAAAATTAATTCAGCAAACCCTTAAAATATTTTTTGATATCCTGTTAACAGCAAATTTATAAGGACCAACATCTGGGACGATTCCATATTTCCACTTACTTTTCTGAGTTTTCAAGAAAATATAAAAGCATAACTTCAACTTAAGCTCTAGGCTCATTTTAAAAGAATGAATTTAAAATGTTCGTCCAGTGATCTCCCCAGGCCGTTTTTATAATTTTTCCCATGACGCTATAATAATTTCCGTGACGCTATAATTATTTTGAGGATGCTATTTTTTCTTGTCTCTATGCCGCAAAACGATGTCCTAATTTTTGAACTTTCATCTAAATACCACTTGTGATCATAAAAATTATATCACCTTTTATTGTTATCCCTTCAAGTCGGACAATAGAGGCAATTAAGAGTGATTAAATAGGTGTTAATTGCCCTTTGGGTGATAACTGTTTGGATATGAATACTCCAAGCTGACAATTATGACATGACTAGTAACATGTTGTCCAACCTCAAATTTTGACATGAGAAAATGTAATCAGAAAATCATAAACAATTCGAAATCTACGTTTGCATCTTGGCATAACCGTCTTCTAAGAGAAGAAAAAAACAATGTGGGGTACGTCGATGTTGACAACCTGGCTGACCAAACCAAGTTGTACAATTAGGCAATTGTTTTCACGTCGATTAAACAGCAATTTTTCATTAATAAGTGAAGAATTACAAAGATATAAATGATTTATTTCTGTAGAAAAGAGGTTTGGTCGTATGATATTTCAAACTAACAACTTTTAAAGAAGAATGTTCTTTCCCTTCCGGTACTTGTTACTCGAGAGCGTATATTAAACATTTTGATTTTCGGCAAAATATGTTTCATACTGTGGATTCATTTATTTTCGTGGGTATCAATTTTCGTGGATTGCTAAATACTTGCATATTCGTGGATATTTGATTTCGTGATTTTGCCAATCTCTGTATACAAAGCCTATTAAAAATATGCTATTCGTTGAACATTTGAATTCGTGGTTCACCTGTAGCCACGAAACCCACGAAAATTGGTATCCAACGAATAATAATGAATCCACAGTACTTCATTAGAAAGTGATCAAAATTGCCTTTAGTTAATGTTTCATCCATTTATTGCATTAAAAGCGTCATATTCATTCCTAATCGCTTGTCAAACATTGTTTATTTTCGTTACTTTTTCTTCGACCACCATTGAATTATTTGTACAAACTACGGATCGGATACGGGATTCATCGGAAGCGGACCAGCTATGACCAAAATCCGCATTTTTAAGATAATAACTGGACGCACAAATGGCACAGCTGACAGAATATTATTGATCCCAAAAGAGAAAACTACACATTCCACACGCATTAACAGGCTATTTGTTAGATCTCCTTGCTAAATGTATTCATTTTGTAAATGCATTGTTTCAATAAACTGATTAAAGTAGCTTAACTTTGCTAAAAATATATATCATTTTGATAAGAAACAACTGGGACTAATACATTTAGTCCCAGGAAACAATGAATTTCATAGACATGATAAACAGAATAGTTTTTTAATTGAAATTTTATTGCTATATGATACTTTCTCTTCCTTTTTGATATAAAAAACAGTCCTTTTTTGTACTAGATATTAAGTTGGTAGTTTCTGAGTTTCATTTACGCCAAATGTGATGCTATCCAAAATTTCTGGGGAGAACACTGTCGTCCTCATTATTCTTTTTGATAATCAGGTATACATGTACAAATTTGCTGGAAAATTGTATGACTTACATCATCATGATCATGGCAGTGTCTGTCAACAGAATAGGGTAAATTATGCACCATCTCAACTGTTAGATAAATGTTAGAAAAAAAGTTAACAATTTTGAGTTCATAAGTGTATTGATTTTTATATATTGAGTTTCTTACTGTTATTGTGCATTTATTTATGGTTCATTATTGTTGTATAATTGAATATATAATTAGTTATCAAAGGTACCAGGCTTATAATTTAATACGCCAGACGCGCGTTTCGTCTACATAAGACTCATCAGTGACGCTAAATTCAAAATAGTTAGAAAGCCAAACAAGTACAAAGTTGAAGAGCATTGAGGACCCAAAATTTCAAAAAGTTGTGCCAAATATGGCTAAGGTAATATAAACATGACAAGGTACTAAGTCTTAACTAGTTGAGTTAGAAAGATCTTCTTTGGCTCAATCAGTATTAGCCAAGATGGGAAATCATGTTGGTACTATATAAACTAAGAAACGTTGTTTGTTTCAGGTAGCATTTTATCTTATTAAAGTGTTGTTTAATTAAGAAATAATTCTTTCATGCCTTGCTCTATGCTCATTTTAACATGGGTAGGCATTATATTTGTCAATATCTTTATACCGAGCGTTAGCGAGGTGTAAAATGTTGACAAATATAATGCCTACCCATATTAAAATTAGCATGCCATAGAGCATGGCATGATAGAATTATTTCGATTCTAATAGGAAAATTTAGAACTTTTTTTCTTCGAAGCGGACCTATAATTCACGTTCAAAAGGCATCCATTTTGATTTGATGAAGCCAAAATGTTATAGAAAATCAACTGTTTCATGAAAAACAAATGAAAAGAAACATGTAAACTTACTTTTAGAATGATTTTATTTAATTTCCTTGCAAGCAATACCAAAACAAATGTCCATTTTGATTTCCGGCGTTGTTCAAAACACAGCTGATGTTGCTATTTCAATTGTGACATCAATCACGTGCAGCCCATGTTTTATTGGAATTAGAACATGGCTTTGTTTACAAAGCGAAAGAAGAACGTCATATTAGAATTAAAATTATAATTATTTTTAAATGAAATTGGAGATTGGAGAGGATAGACATGTCAGTGTGTTTTAAATCATTCCATATAAATTATCAGGTGACTTTTCCATTTGTTTCCTATCTTATAAAATTTTATGTTGAATTAGCATTTAAGACTTGTTTTCAATTAAACAAACATAATATTCCACCTCTTTCACAGGAAACACCTGCCTCAAATTACAGGTTGGTAATGTACAAAATTGCGGGAAATCGTAATACTCTTGACAAAGTTTTACACGAAGTCCGTAGACAAAACAATACTGGAAAAGAGAAACAATGCTTGAAAGGATTTCCGCAAATGCTACAGACTTGAAAAAAAGATAACGATTTTGGATTCATTTTGTCCTCTTATTACATTACATTTTAGATTAAGTTAAATTATCCTAAAGTTTTGTTTTACACAACTGAAGAAGAAGGTCATGGATTAGTATAGTATTACAATGATTACTATACAAATGTTTGGTTTAGGTGTATGACCCCTTCTGTAGGTCAGTTACTGTGTATTTCGAAATTTTCAATGTATGTATAAGGAAGAAGTCCTCAATAACAGATAACAATAAAAAAATTAATAGACATATTTACATTTGTATGCAAATTTGTTCGCCATTACTTTAATTACTTAAAGCCAAACAAGTTTCCGCAAAATATTTCATCGCAATTTAAAACATTTAAAAAAGTAATTGTTCCATGATGGCAGATGCAATAATATCATATTAAAGAAAGTAATAATATAATTTGTTATTTTTCATTACAGATTTTATGTGTTCACAATGGTGGACTTGACAATTCTGTCAGTAGAGAAGAAATTTCAACAGCTCTCTACACAAATGGGTCTCTCATTGATGTCATCATGTTGCCAAAGAAACCATACTCATTTGTCTGCTATAAAACAGCTGAAGATGCAACAAAAAGTTTTACAGAATATAATGGCCTTGAGATGCCCCCTGATGGAAAGAGAAAACATTATGTGATACTTTATTTGTCATATGTAAACAAAGGTAAACTTTAATTTCTCTTTACCAAAAAATGTAACAGAAAATAATGGACATCATGACAAAAATTCCCTACATGCACTTTACAGTGTTCTCCCCAGGATTTTTGGATAGCACCAGGGTAACACGTGTGAACAGCTTGGTGAAATGATTCATACAATCAGTTGTGTAGCGTGGCGTCGCTATATTTCTAGTTACTGCAGTTTTTATGTCTCTTGTTTTGTTTTAATACTGTGGTACTGTGTTATGTCAGAATATTATTGGTTAAAAAGATCAATAAAACAGTTTGTATTCTTTTTAATATTTTTTGAAAATAAATAAAACATGATTCATTACATAATATTCATCTAAATTTAAAGTAATTAAATCTTTTATCCATGATCAATAAAAATAAAATATCATTCAAACAGGAACATATATATTGTTAGATATACTGTTCCCAGATTCAAAAGAGAACAAAAATGTTCAATTTAAAAATACTTTCTAGTTTCTAGAAAGAAAGTTGTTGTATGTGAAAGGATTCCTGTCATAAGGAGATATAAAATTAACAAGAACAAAATTGTGTTATAATTTGAACCAGTTTCTATCTTAAATTTTAATAAAAAGAAATTTTTCACAAATTTTTAAACATTTTGCCATAGATTTCATGTACATGTAAATATTAACCTTTCTTGTCTTTGGTGATGATCAAACATAGATACAGACTTAATACTGCACTGAAATCTAAATCTTTATTTGTCATGATCCATTTAAAAAGAATTCCTAAATCTATAAATTTATCTTAGGTCTATAGATCTATAAGTAACATATTCAATGTCAACAACAAAGTCTCCCTATTTTCCCGCCTAAATGACAGGAAGTAGATATAAATAGATTTAACATGTGCTTATGGATTAAAATTGCAAGATCACTTTTGTTATTCATTAATGATCATATGGATATAGATATCCAGTTTGAAGGTACAGTCATGCATTTTATTTATAAAATAGAATAGATTGCAGTTAATTGTAAATAAATTTGAATATTCTACATGAACTAACTGGGTCATGGGATCCTTCCCCTTTGAATTACTTGTTGACAGTTTGAAACCGGAATATCATGCAATAACTATGTTATGTCATAATTAAAGATAATTTTGGCCATGGTTTAATCAGAGACATATAAAACTATAATATAAGTATTGAGCTAACTTTATAATGTACAAAATATGTACCGTCGTGTGTACAACTATCGGGTCACACGGTTTGTGTACAAAGTATTTGCCGACTTGTCAGGTGGTGAGTGAAGCCTTAAAATAGTTATCTATGATCATAAAGTTATGATTTCTAAATTAAAACACGAAAGAATCATGTAAAAAGTGTTAATTACATCGATTAAATCCAATCAACAAAGGTTAACCTCATAAAGGTAAATCGATCACGTGGTGTAAACAATCCGTGTTGAACTGGTTTGAACTGGTCAAATTTCACCTGGAATTTTATACCACACGGAAAAGATTAAACAAGTCGTTTAACACTTTTTTACCGATTTACGATTTTTTAACTGAAAATTTTAGCACCACGGAGAAAAATTATACATCGCGGTAAGAACGATACCACCGCGGTAAAAAAATATACATCGCGGGCCCGTGGTCCTTTAATGGTCTGGGGAGAACACTGCTTTATAAATTAAGGAAAGAAGAGTTGTGTTCTTCATCTCAAAATCACATTAAGGCCTTCAAACTTGCCTCAATACAAGTTAAAGACTGCCCTAGCTTAATTTGAGTGAAAATCTTTGCTCGATGTTGATAACACTATATCTTCACCATGTTCACATTGAAGAACACAAACAATCGGTTAATATCAACAACTATAACAGACAAAGAAATCTTACAACTACTGTTGTACTTGCCCTACAATCTCATTGCAATATACAAAAACAATAAAGGTTTTAGACAACCATTGGGCACATCAACATATAATTTATGCTAAATAACCTGGCTGGAACTAATGTATAAAGAGTGTAAACACTTCTGATGGACTGTATTATAATTTCAGCAACAAATAGACTGAAAGTGAAAGAGAAAAGTAAAGAAGTATACATAAATAAAGGCAACAGTAGTATACCGGTGTTCAAAAGTCATAAATCGATTGAAAGAAAACAAATCCGGGTTACAAATTAAAACCGAGGGAAACACATCAACTATAAGAGGAAAACAAAAGAAAAAAAAGTTATCTAAAGAATAAACATTCATGTACCATGAAATTCATTAAAAGGTTTTTTTTTAAACTGTTGAGTAGAAATGATATAATTATTTCTTTAATGTTTGTTAATTTTTTTTATTTCATTTAGGTGTTAAAATTCAAGTTCTATGGTTGGTCAAAAATTTGTTAAAGGTGTATAGAGATGAAAATAGTTTAAGCTTTGATTGAAAAAATCAGAAACATGGATTTGATATGTAACTTTTACAAGTTCCTTAAATGTCTTTTTAAAAATTAACTATTTTGAGCATGTTAAGTAGATAGGTCACCTCTATACAGGAGTACATTTATAAAAGTTGAATAGTGAAAAAGAATCAAACACAACTTTGAAGGCAAGATTTAGATATTAAATACTCTTAGGTATTAAGATTAGTTAGTATGTTTTGTACCCTGGAAACCCTTGTCCATCATGTCTTGATTTTACCCTCAACTGTCTTGACATTTTTCTGGTTTTCCTCATCTGTCATGTCTCTTACATTGTATGTTTGAAAAAGGTCAAAGACAGGGACTAATATTGTCCATTATATTCAGTCAATACCACTATTGTAAATTCTGATATTTAAAAATTTAGAGTTTTGTCAAGAGTTTTGCTATGATTTAAAGTTTAATTTTATCCCTATCAGTGCACATTAATTCTGCTGCAGAATGAAAACTAGTAAATGCACACTTTTACAGGTTAAAGATCTAATTTGAAGCAACTGTCATGACTATTAGATAAGATTTTTCTTCATAATGAATGCACACACAGATAAACTATTTGATAGTCATTCCTGTTTGGTCTTTGTTAGGGAATAAGAGTGAAACAATAGAATAATCTGTCATATTGTCAATTAGATAAAGTTAAATCATTTAGATTTGTCTGTTTTCTCAAAATCACACAGGAATTTTTACACTGCATGATTTATTGAGAAACTTCTAACTAATCATGATTACTGACAAAGGTTACCAGTCAGGGATATAACTCTATAGGGTTATAACAGAAAAATAACATACATTTGTTATTGTGGACTTAAAATCAAAGAACTGTGATAACATATGTATGTTACATGTTTCAAAGGGACAATATACATCACTAGTTTAGTTAAAATGCATACAAGTTCTATTGATATTACTATTGTCTTTATGTATACTTAACTAAAGAAAGATATAACAGTTCGTAGTTCGCCAATTTTGCATAGTACACCTATGTGTTATTACAGAAAAAATATGCCTGTAATAACTAAAGGGTGTTATCACAGCTTCTCTATATCACTCCAAAGCATTTTCTCAGACATACAACATGCTTAATTACAATGTATTTTAATTTATTGTAAGAAATAATGACCAGAGCATGTAATGAGGTTCTGCGCAAGCTTCCCAGTAATTCCCAAGTGTCTCATTTTATAGGTTACATTCCTTTAATAACTAAGCTATGTTATTACAGCTAATTTTATCCCTTAAAAGCCTCGTCTCATTGATTTACCATGGTTAATCAATAATGTATTAATATAATTAAAGAATTAATTATCAAGGCTATGCATTTAGTTTCTGCGCAAAGTCTCAAGAGTTCCCTAGAGCCCATAATAAATTAAAATATTTTTGATTTATTTTACAAATAACAAACATATGTTATTGCAGATTTAGAAAATTTAAGGAAAAAGAGTAGACAACTCATGAAAGTATCTGTAATAACACACACAAGTTATTTTCTGTAATAACCCTATAGAGTTATATCTCTGACTGGTTACTAAAGTAGTTTGCTTATCAAATTTGTTATTTTTTACATTAATGAAACCATTAATTATATTTATTTGTTATAGTTCCATCTGATATTTTACCTTGTAAGGACCTACCACCTGGACTGATTGTACTTGAAAACTTTGTGTCTGAAGCAGAAGAGAATCAGTTGATATCCAGTTTACACTGGCAAAATGATAATCGTAAGTTTAAGATAACTTCAATGTCTAAAACATCATAATAAAGAAGCAGAAGAGAATCAGTTGATATCCAGTATACACTGGCAAAATGATAATCGTAAGTTTAAGATAATTTCTTTTTCTAAAACATCACATTATAGAAGCAGAAGAGAATCAGTTGATATTCAGTTTACACTGGCGAAATGATAATCGTAAGTATTAGACAACTCCACTGTCAAAAATCACATTATACAATCAGAAAAGATTCAGTTGAGGCCATCATTAAACAATTCTTTGTTTGATGTTGCCTACCCATGCCTTTTATGGTTGGGTAGGTAGATAGGGATTTTTTTTTTTTTGGCCAACAACATAAGTTACATGTTTTAGACAAGAAAACAAGAAAAAGACGTTAGAGCAGGAAAAAATCTTTAAAAAAAATATTTGAACTGATTTGTGTCATAAAATTGTTTGGGTAGACTGCTTTAAAGCTGGGAAGGTAGGCAACATCAAACACTCTAAAATTTATTTTTGGCCTGATATTCAGTTTACACTGACAATATGATGAGCATGAGATCACATCACGGTCTAAAACACCACTATCAACATCAGAACACATCAGAGGATTGATATGAAGAATACAATTTCCTTGTAACTTGTCTGTTCTGTGGTTGTAATCTATTGTTACTAGTTTATTGACCTAATTAATTAATCTAACCTAAACTCTAGGATAATATTTCTTATCATTTGTGTGTTAAACAGTTAAAACTTTGTGCAATAATTTTCATTTTACTTCTATGCTTTGTATGCAAATATGTTTTCTTGAAGTGCACAGATTCAACATTTAAGTGTGCAAAATGGAGAAAATATTTTGAAATGATTGTAGAGCCAGTTTTGCCTTTAATCATACCATCTCCATTATTTAAAATTAAAAATGTATGCTTTACCATACAATTCCATTGCTTATGATATTTAAACTCTAGTGATTTTTGTCGAGCCTGCGACTTTTGTCGCAGAAAGCTCGACATAGGGATAGCGATCCGGCGGCGGCGGCGGCTACGGCGGCGGCGGCGGCGTTAGCTAACTTCTTATAAGCTTTATATTTTAGAAGATGGAAGACCTGGATGCTTCATACTTTGTATATGGATGCCTCATGTTACGAAGTTTCCGTCAGTCACATGTCCAATGTCCTTGACCTCATTTTCATGGTTCAGTGACTACTTGAAAAAAAAGTTCAGATTTTTTGTAATGTTAAATTCTCTCTTATTATAAGTAATAGGATAACTATATTTGGTATGTGCGTACCTTGCAAGGTCCTCATGCCCGTCAGACAGTTTTCACTTGACCTCGACCTCATTTCATGGATCAGTGAACAAGGTTAAGTTTTCGTGGTCAAGTCCATATCTCAGATACTATAAGCAATAGGTCTAGTATATTCGGTGTATGGAAGGACTGTAAGGTGTACATGTCCAACTGGCAGGTGTCATCTGACCTTGACCTCATTTTCATGGTTCAGTGGTTATAGTTAAGTTTTTGTGTTTTGGTCTGTTTTTCTTATACTGTATGCAATAGGTCTACTATATTTGGTGTATGGAATGATTGTAAGGTGTACATGTCTAGCGGGCAGGTGTCATCTGACCTTGACCTCATTTTCATGGTACAGTGGTCAAAGTTAAGTTTTTGAGTTTTGGTCTTTCTTTCTAATACTGCATGCAATAGGTCAGCTATATTTGGTGTATGGAATGATTGTAAGTTGTACATGTCTAGCTGGCAGGTGTCATCTTACCTTGACCTCATTTTCATGGTTCAGTGGTCAAAGTTAAGTTTTTGAGTTTTGGTCTTTTTTTCTAATACTATATGCAATAGTTCAACTATATTTGGTGTATGGAAATATTTTATGATCTATATGTCAGTCACGCAGGTTTTATTTGACCTTGACCTCATTTTCAAGGTTCATTGCTCAGTGTTAAGTTTTTGTGTTTTCGTCTGTTTTTCTTAAACTATAAGCAATAGGTCAACTATATTTGTTGTATGGAAGAATTGTTAGCTGTACATGCCTGCCTAGCATGGTTCATCTGACCTTGACCTTGTTTTCATGGTTCATTGGTCAATGTTTAGTTTACTTGGTTAATGTTAAGTTTATGTGACAGTTGTAATAAAGCTTTATATTTAGGACTATCAACATAATATCAATGATTAGTAAAGAAGGCGAGACATTTCAGCGTGTGCACTCTTGTTAATGTTTAAAACTATAAAACGTGCTGTTAACCAAGCATTTTACAATTTGAAAATCTATATATTGAGAATGAATGAATTTTGTACTCAACAAGGTTTTGTTAGAATCTATTTCTCTAATGATTTTTTTTAAATGCATTCATTTTAGAGAAATTGGACTAACATTGATTTTGAAAGTTCTATTTATGGGGAAAATCTTTGGTACCAGAAAAAATGCAGGTTTTGTATTTGTTTATTTATATATATATATATATTATCAAAATTCTGGTTTATTTATATATTCACAGAGTTGAAGTACAGAGAAGTGATGCATTATGGGTATGAGTTTAGATATGACATTAATGATGTTGATGCTGATGACCCTCTCCCTCAGTCTATACCAGTAGAATGTAATGAAATACTTCAGAAGGCACTTCAAACAGGATATGTGAAGCATCTTCCAGATCAGCTTACAGTGAACAAATATGTTCAAGGCCAAGGTCAGTTTAACAAACTTTACTGTAATGGGACAAATATTTACAGAGGCAAGGTCATTGTTTTAAAAGTGTACAGGAGAAGGCCAGTTTAACAAAAATGTACAGGGGCAAGGTCGGTATTAGAAATATGAAATGTTCTGTATAGGGTGTAATTAATAAAAAGGTGAATGATAGGTAAGATTGCTAGGAAAGAAGGTAAATACTTAAAGGTAAACATATATACCTATACAATGAAGAAATACCCTCCAGAAATGTATGTGAACAAGAAATGAAAAGCATCCTTATTAACTACTATTATATTAAATTATAAAATAAACCAGGATGAGGACATGATAAACCACTTCATACATTTGACTGTGACTGACAAAAAGGGCCCAATTTACAATATTATATGAATAGTAGGAGATATGGGATATATAAATTAATTAAACAGCATCAATCAACTAAAAAGCTCTAAAAATGGGTTGTTTTATGATAATTTGAAAGTATGCCCAGTAAGTTCTATAAGGCAATTCCTATAAATTTCCTTGTAATTACTTAAATGAACATTACTGCTTCCTTCAAGTTTTAGCATGTTTATATATTATCACTACTAGTAAATTTGTAATCACTTTGTGTGCATGCAATCAATTTTACAGTTTTATTTTGTAGGAATTCCTCCACATGTTGATACACCATCAGCTTTTGAAGACGGAATAATGTCATTAAGTTTGTTATCTCAGGTAAATGTTTTGAGGTGTTTTTAAATATTAGGTTTCAACCAAAAATCATTGTTATATGATCTACCTTTACAAATCTGCTTAAAGATGAAAGGTACCAAAATTCTGATGTAAATGGACGTATCAGCATTTTTGTCTCGCCTTGACGGAGTCAAAAAGCGAGACATAGGTATGCTGTTCCCGGCTTCGACGGCGACAGCAGCGTCAACAATGTATTAGTTTGTGATTAGGTCTAGTTCATGGTGAACCACTAGTGGTAGGTCAATGATATTTGGTATGCAGTTGTATTAGCATTGGCACATCTCAATACCATGGAGATTATTTGGCCCCACCCACTCAGTCAAGGTCTATTGACTTTGAAACTTTGCTTAGTTTACATGTATTAGTTTGTGATTAGGTCAGTTTACAAATGTATGGGGAACCACTAGTGGTAGGTCAATGATATTTGGTATGCAGTTGTATTAGCATTGGCACATCTCATTACCATGGAGATTATTTGGCCACGCCCCCTCAGTCAAGGTATATTGACTTTGAAACTTTGCTTAGTTTACATGTATTAGTTTGTGATTAGGTCAGTTTATGGGGAACCACTAGTGGTAGGTCAATGATATTTGGTATGCAGTTGTATTAGCATTGGCACATCTCATTACCATGGAGATTATTTGACCCCACCCCCTCAGTCAAGGTCTATTGACTTTGAAACTTTGCTTTGTTTACATGTATTAGTTTGTGATTAGGTCAGTTTATGGGGAACCACTAGTGGTAGGTCAATGATATTTGGTATGCAGTTGTATTAGCATTGGCATATCTCATTTCCATGGAGATTATTTGGCCACGCCCCCTCAGTCATGGTCTATTGACTTTAAAACTTTTGCTTAGTTTACCTGTATTAGTTTGTGATTAGGTCAGTTTAAGGGGAACCGTTTGTGGTAGGTCAATGATAATTGGTATGCAGTTGTAGAAGCATTAGCACATCTTATTTCCATGGAGAACATTTGGTCCTTACTTCTCAGTCATGGTCTATTGACTTTGAAACTTTTGCTTGGTTTACATGTATTAGTTTGTGATTATGTCAGTTTAAGATGAACCACTAATGTTAAGTCAATGATATTCTGTATGCAAATGTATAAGCATTTGTAAGTTTCATTTCCATGGAGATTATATAACCCCTACCCCTTATTATGGTTAATTGACTTTGAAACTTTTACATAGTTTACAAGTTAATGTTTGTGTTTAGGTTTGTTTAAAGGGAACGACTTTTGAAAAGTCAATGGTATTTGGTTTGCAGTTGTATTAGCATTGGCACATCTCATTTCCATGGAGACTGTTTAGCCCTGTACATTCAGTCATGGTTCATTGACTTTGAATATTTGCACAACTTACATGTTGAAGTATTGTAATTTTAATTTCAACATTTGCATTATCAAAATAACAAATAGGCGAGACATATCTCTGTGTTAACAGTTTATTTCAATAATACTTTATTTCCAAAAGCAATACAGTTTATATGCATATAACAAAACATACATCAAAATTCAATGCACACCTACATGAGGTATAGGGGAGGGTTGAGATCTCACAAAACATGTTTAACCCCGCCGCATTTTTGCGCCTGTCCCATGTCCAGAGCCGCTGGCCTTTGTTAGTCTTGTATGTTTTTTTAATTTTAGTTCATTTATATGTTTCAGAGTTTAGTGTGATGTCCATTTTCACTGAACTAGTACACATTTTTGTTTAGGGTCCAGGTGAAACCCGCCTCCGGGTGCAGGATTTTCTCGCTGTGTGGCCTTGGGCTGTTTTATGCTCATTGGTCAGGTTGTTGTCTCTTTGACATATTCCCCATTTCCATTCTCAATTTTATAAACAGTAAAAGATAGCAAATGATCCCTGTATTTATTTCCAGAACTGTAATGGATGGGGTAGTCAATTATGATTTTCTGTATCTCAGTGGTTCCCAAGGCTTTGAGAAATCAACTGGACATTTGGTCCAGTAATCAATTCTTCTTAACTGGACCAGATTCTTTATTACAGGACATTTACACATATGATTTGGACAAAATTAAAAATTTTACTGGTCAATTTGGTCCAGTAATGCATATCACTTAACTGGACCAAACCAATTTATACTGGTCTTTGCCCAATGTCCGGCGACCTTGGGAATGACTGGTATCTTACATAATACCTATGTTATTCTTTTTATAGATTGTAATGGAGTTCAGTCATCCTGAGGGTCAACAAATATCTGTTTTGTTACCCAGACGTAGTTTGTTTATTATGACTAGAGAGTCACGTTATCTATGGTCACATGGTATAACTCCACGAAAGTCTGATATTATCACAACAGCTGATGGCTTAGATTTAGTCATGAGGGAAACAAGGGTATCATTTACTTTCAGAAAAATGATTCATCCAAAAGATAGAATTGGTAGAACCATACCATTCCAAACTTCAGAGTAAGTTGATTAGATGTTAGGCATATCTAAAATAAGCACCAATCAATTATGTTATTGATCTTAAAATGCAAAATCCATTCTTTAGTAGCCATTTTACTTTTTGTCATTTCAGAATATTGTTTCATCTGATTAAGCTGAAAATTGTGGAATTTCAGATTTTCTCTCAGTAACTTTCTTTATTTTCAGTTTTCTGATATGGTCATGGTCTGAAGTTAAAATCTTTAAAAGATAATATAACTGAATATACATGTACAATACTGTTGTGGACAAATAAGATATGTAGTATGTGTATAGAAGATTTAAGCCAATGAGCATTATTACATGTATTGACACTTGGACAATCTATCGTTCAGTCTCAAACAAATAGTTTAATGATACATATAAATTGTACCTTTTGTAGAAAAGCAGATCGATTAACGTTTGGCTTTAAAATTTGATTGACCATAATATACAGTTAAGTTTCTGTTTTCAAAACAGGAAAAGAAGATGATTGGTAAACATCATTCAGTCAGCAGGCCAACAACACTATTATAAACCAAAAGAAAAAAAAACAAAAATTTTGAGCTCAACATATTGTCTTCAAAAAGAAATTAACATTTTATAGATTTGGTACCCTTTTCTGGTATTGTCTTCATAAGAAATTAACATTTTATAGATTTGGTGCCCTTTTCTGGTATTGTCTCCATAAGAAATTAACATTTTATAGATTTGGTGCCCTTTTCTGGTATTGTCTCCTTAAGAAATTAACATTTTATAGATTGGTACCCTTTTCTGGTATTGTCTCCATAAGAAATTAACATTTTATAGATATGGTACCCTTTTCTGGTATTGTCTTCATAAGAAACGCCCAAACCCAAAATGTTGAAAGCCAAGGCTGTTTGAATACTTCAGAAGATATATAACAAAAGGGACCTAAAAAAAAAACCAGCCCAATCCCGATAAGGTTTACTTTGGCTTTAATTTAAAACAAGTGTCATTAACATGCATGTGATAAACTGTGAAACTCAGATCAGGAGATTGAGAAATTTTGGTCAGTAGTCTAGGCCTCTGACCAGAAGGGATTATATCGACATATTTTTGGTCGTAACCATATAATGCAAAAATTGTCTCTTTTGTGTCTTTTTTTGTTTAATCTTCCATCTGAAACCATATCAATGTGACTATTTGAATGATATGAGCCTAAAGAAATATTGAAAATAATATATTTTTGGTTTTAGTTTTCTTTGTTGATTGTTGACTGCTCATGAATAAAGCACTATGATTTAACATTTGATCCTTTGAGTAAATAGAGAAAATTTTTTTTGACCATTTCAAGCTCTTTATCACACAAAGTCTAGACTAGTTAACATTTTACAGAGACTATATTAGATCTACTGTCAACAACGAATTCCTAAATGAACAAAGAGCAGTAAGTAAATTTTATAACAGCTGACAAATATCCTGACTTTAGAAAAGCCCATCAACTAGTTATGTTAGTGATCATCCCTCACACTGTTATCTTGAAATATCAAAATGTACTGGGCACAATAAAAATCTGAGACCTTTGTTTTAGCCTCCAAACACTAATATCTTGATTGTTCTGATTCTTTTCATTTCAGTTTAAGTATAATGCTTCCAAAATGTCAAACAGATGCAGAAAAATTGGAGAATTCTCATGTTCAGCAGGTAATGGAAACTATTTGCTTTTAGGCTACACTTATTTAATTTACATTCAATGGATTTCCGCCTTTCAGTTTTATGAAGCTAAAATGTTTAACAAAAGGTATTTTCATAAACCCTGTATGTTTAAATTCATAATCATGTTCTATTCAATTGTATATTCATATAAAACATATTGCCATATACTTTGATTGAGAGAAAAATATTGTACTTGTTAAAAACACAAATCCCATATCTTCTTTGAACCACTTGAACTTTTTGTTTGGTCTCTCTTATGATGAATGTATAAAAGGCAAAATATATATATACTTATCCAATGTGACCCCTTAAATCTTACCAACAGCATGTCTAACTTTTCTTATCCAGCTTTTATTATCATTTTACTCTTACTTTTACCATATTTTTTTATAGGTCATTGATAAACATTAACTTTTAGTACATGATAACCTTGACCTCATTTTCATGTTTCATTGATCATTAAGTTTTAATAATTAGTTCAGTTTACTGTTAATATTATAAGTAGTTAAATATATGTGATCTGTGTGAAGATGGCTGTCTGACAGGCGTGATCATAAACAGGGTTTAAGCTAGGATTTTGAGGGCTTTAGTCACTTTTGCGCGGGATGAAAATTAACCTTATTTTGGGTAGCAGCAAGGGACCTAGGATGTATATTACTATCTATACATCTTTGTCAGACTTTGAAGGACTTAAGCATACTAGGCAGTTACTGCATGATTTGACTGATGTGGCACTTTAATACGAAGATTAGGATATAAGATCGAGAAATCTAGTTCACAATTTCACTTCAGTTAGTTTCAGGGTACATTCCTAATCAGCAAAAGTTGGGATCCATTTTTTTTTAAACCAGGAATCACAGCATAAATGAACTTGTAAGGACTATTTCACTGCATTATTCATACTCATTATCCTTAAAAACGTTTTAAAGCGATATTTAGAATTAATTCTATATAGTTGGAACCAAGGATTTGTACAACATGTACAAATCCTTATTGGAAAATTGGAACAATTCTAATGACTTTAAATTGTAAATTTATCATAACTAGAACACGTTTACTTTCGATTTCCAAATGAAATGAAAACTGGAAGTGACAAGTGGATAATAAATTCAGAATGAATCCGGATTCATCTACAGACTGGTTCGTGTTTAAAAAAAGGCAGGAAATTATCATTTTTTAAATTAAATTTGCTAAATAAGAACTATATTTGTCTCTCTTGGTTAGTTTGATACTTAATTATTTTGTATTTTACGTTTTAGTGTCTTTAAATTCATAAGAATACTTTCGCGCATGCACAGTTCATCGTAAAGGAAGCACCTGTTTGACTCGTGAAAAGATTTCTGAATGTTATTAATAAAGTTCTATCTTTTTAATCAAAATTGTCCAAAGTTTTTGATTTAAAGTTATATCAAATATGACGAAAATACGTTCATTTGACCAAACTACGACAAGCAAACTGCAAATTGTGATCTTTTAGAAATATTGAAATTAAAATGTGAACTGTCCAAGGGAAAACTCAAATGACGAAACTAAGACAAACTAACTGCCAATTGTGCTCGTTTGATAAATATTGAAATTGAAATGCCGACTGACTGATTTTACTGGGGAAAATAATTATGATGATCAATTATGAGGTTGATAAATGATTAATGGATTAGTGACCCATCCAATGGCGATAAGCAGATTATCTGTAATCACAACTTATAACACCTGTTGTAAATGTTAATTAGCTGAGGGTCGTAAACTTGTCAGAAACAATAAGACAGGTAGAATTATAGTATTTTCATGCGAAAATATTTTTACTCTTTCCAAATTTAAGTGACGAAATTGATTTGGAATACTTTCGTCATTTTGAAAACCGTATCGTAAATGACGAAAATGACGAGCGCTAGCAAAATCACTGATCATAAACCTTAAATCTAATTATCTTGATGCATTGATTCACAATAAGTTCAGTTAGAACCTAATATCTATAGTCTGTATTTTCTTAAAGGTTTGATACTGCTGTCAAATCTTGATCTCTTGTTTTTTTTGTCTCGCCTGCGTCGAAAGTTGTGGAAGGCTAGACATGGGTGTTGCTTGTCAGGCAACAGCGGCATTGTCGTTGCCGTAGGCGTCAACAATTGTTAAGTTTCTGCTTAAGTTAGTTTGATAGGAACTACTTGTGAAAGATCAATGGTATTTTCTATAAAGTTGCATTACTATCAGTACATATCAGTTTGACAACTATTTCCAGGCCCTGCCCCCTAGGTTATAGTCCAGTGACTTTCAATTAATTAGCAATGTTGCTGTCAATAAGATTGTCTTTTTCTGAATTTTCTGCCTACAGACGAGACATATCTTTGTGTCAACAGTTTATTAACATTATTTGGTCGTTATCATTATGCCATAATGGTGAAGGTTTATAAATGTTTCATTTTAGCATTTGTAGGATGAAGACATATTTCTTAATCATAAAAAGGTGAGGGACTTCCCACACAGACAACTTAAAACTGCTATCGGCTATTGTTTCTTGAATTTTAAAAGTAATAGGACACCAATTTGCAACCAAGATGGCTTGGTATGGTAATTGACAAACATTATCACAAAAAGTCTTTCAGAACTTTTTGCATATGAATCTTGATTTTCATGTAAGTCCCCTTATTGAGTTTCAAGTTGTATTTGATCTCAAAGTAATTGTTTGCAAGTTAAAAATATGCAAATGTAAATAATTTACTGTATTTTTTTAACCATCCAATATTGTGTAAATTGAAGTAATAAGTGCTGGTTTTACAGGTATATGAAGAAATAGCAGATCATTTCAGTGGAACAAGACACACACCATGGCCAAAGATATCTCAGTTTATCAAAGATATGCCTGCAGGATCATTAATGGCAGATATAGGCTGTGGAAATGGCAAATATCTTGGTCTCAATCAGTCTGTTTATGAGGTATGAGCAAATGATAATAAAAACAAATATTTCAATTTATAAAATACATTTGTTTAGAGTTTGACATTTTTATTTTAATCTCTTAAGTGTTTTGATTAGAACATTGGAACTATTTAACATGCAACATTAACATATTGCCCTATAAACTAAAAAATATTTTTAAGAACAGAAAAAAATAATTATGGCAGAAATGTGTATGATGTGATACTGTTTGTTGTCTCCCCTTTCATGAATGTTACAGAATGTAATGGTAAGAGATAATGATGCTTTAACTACAGATAGTAGTAACAACATACATTCAATGAAGTAGAAATTTCTCCATGATAGATGCAAACTTTGGCAAAACCACAAATTCAAGTATGAATGAAAATATATTTTTTCTTCAATCCATGAAAATTGGTATTCAGGAGAAATAAATGAAACCACAGTAGTGATTTTATAAGAGATAGAGTTTTTATTGTCTCGCCTGCCACGAAAGTTGCAGTATGCGAGACATAGGGATTACTATCAGGCAGCGGCGGCATAAACTATTTGTATAAAATTTTATATTTCAGAAGGAAGGAGACATGGATGCTTCATACCTTGCATGCAGATACCTTATATTACAAAGTTTCTGTCTGTCATATGCCCATTGTCCTTGACCTCATTTTCATGGTTCAGCGACTGCTTGAAAAAAAAATTCAGTTTTTTTGTCATGTATATTTCTCACTTATTATGAGCAATAGGATAACTATATTTACTACATGGGTTCCTTGCAACGTCTACATGTCCGTCAGACAGGGTTCACTTCAACCTCAATTCATGGATCAGTAATCAAGGTTAAAGTTATGTGATTAGGTCCATTTCTCAGATACTACAAGCAGCAGGTCAACTATGTGTAGTGTATGGAATGATTGTAAGGGGTATATGTCAGACTGGCAGGTTTCATCTGACCTTGACCTCATTTTCATGGTTCATTGGTCAATGTTAAGTTTTTGTGTTTTGGTATGTTTTCAAGAACTATAAGCAAAAGGTCAATTATATTTGTTGTATGCAATGATTGTAAGGTGTACATGTCTGAGTAGCCGATGTCATCTGGCCTTGACCTCATTTTCATGGTTCGTTGGTCAATGTTAAGTTTTTTGTGTTTTGGTCTGTTTTTCAAGTACTATAAGCAATAGGTCAACTATATTTGGTTTATGTGTTGATTGTAAGGTGTACATGTCTGTCTAACCGGGGCATCTAACCTTGACCTCATTTTCATGGTTCATTGGTCAGTAGTAAGTTTTTGTGTTTTGGTCTGTTTTTAATATACTCATAGCAATAGGTCAACTATATTTGGTGTATGGAATGATTGTAAGGTGTACATGTCTGTCTTGCCAGTATCATCTGATCTTGACCTCATTTTCATGGTTCATTAATTAACGTTAAGCTTTGTGTTTTGGTCTGTTTTACAATTACCATAAGTAATAGGTCAACTATATTTGGTGTATGGAATAATTGTAAGGTGTACATGTCTGTTTGACAGTTTTTATCTGACCTTGACCTTATTGTCATGGATCTTAAAGAATATAAAGTTTATGTGATACTTTTAGTAAAACCTTTATCTTTAAAAGACTTTCAACATAAAATCAATGGTCAGTAAAACAGGCAAGACATTTCAGCATGTGCACTCTTGTTGTACATAGCACTGTCTCAAACCAGATGAGTAATTCTGTTTGATCACAATTTTTTTATTCCATATATATACCGTATTTATTGGGTTTTTTGTAGGTTGGTTCAGACAGGAGTGTTAACCTCTCTGAGATTTGTCATCAGCGGTCCCATGAGGTGTATGTTGGAGATGTGCTTCACATTCCATTACGTTCCTGTTCCTTTGATTTCTGTATATGTATAGCTGTCATTCATCATATGTCCACTCAGGTAAATGGTATTTTTTGTCTTGCCTATGACAAAAGTTGTGGAGGTGAGACAAAGTGAACCTATATTCTGTTAGTGCCTTCAACACTGTTCAGTCTGTGTTCAAACTTTTTTAAACATTCTTTAATTTATCAAAAAATATTGAAATTTTATATCATATGGACTTGATCAATAGATAGCACCTTGAGTGAAAAGTTTATTATGCCCCCGCCGCAGCAGAGGGGGCATTAAGTGTTACCCTTGTCTGTCTGTACGTCAGTATGTCCATACGTCCCAAAATTAGTTACGGTTCTCTTACTTTAGTTGGCCATAACCAAATGTTATGAAACTTATACACAATGCTGATTATCACAAAACAAAGAATTTGCGTGGCATCACTTTTACCGTTCTAGAGTAAGTCCCTTTACAAATGGAAAAATTGCTTAATTTTTCGTTTCCGTTCTCTAACTTAAGTTTGCCTCGACCAAATGTTATGAAACTTATACACAATGCTTATTACCACAAAACTCAGATCAGATTTGAATTTGGGTGGCGTCACTTTTACCGTTCTTGAGTTATGTCCCTCTATAACGTTATATATTTATTTTCATTTTCCATATTTTGCTGATGAATTGATAGATTTATGTGAATGCCAAATATATATGTATATATATTATTATTGTATTATGGAATAACATAAACGGTACCAATTTTTCTGCACCAGATGCGCATTTCGACAATCAATGTCTCTTCAGTGATGCTCGAGGCCAAAATATTTGAAAATTAAAAGCTTATTAAAAATATGAAGAGCTATAAACAAAAAAGGACCAAAAAGTATAGCCAAAGCTGGGCAAGGAATCAGAGCTTTGCATGAGGGAGATACAAGATATAATTTATTGCAAGCCTACCCAGGTAAATGTGAACTAGTCTGAAACTATTTAGATTATAATTTCTGTTTAAGTAAAGGATGCAATTTTTATCCAAAATTACATGTCATTTCATTGTGTGATTCAATTGTAACAACATAAATTGATGAAATTATTTCTTCACCAACAATACTACCGTAGACCTGTCATCTGCAGATTTAATCTGTAAAGCAGTTCTTATAAAAAACAAACATTTATTTCATTCTTTAATATGTTATAATTTTGTTTATTTTCTAAAATAGATGTTCAGAATAAAAACTAAATTGTTTTACAGTTTAGAATAAGAATTGGCAGGGCACATTTCCCTCTCTGGTATTTATAACTTAGGTTTTTTTTCATATTTGCATGTTACATCCAGCATTGAGGCTTTGAAGTCATTTCTTATTGAAGTAGTTTTATGAGGGTTTCTAACAGCTAAAATAATGTTCAAACTCTATGTCATTTTGTCTCCTGTGGATGGTTGTCTCATTGGCATTCAAACCACATCTTCTTATTTTTATGTTCAGATTGTCTTCCAGGATGGTTCCATACACAATTTAGAGAAACAGTTAAAAGTCAATGATAAAGATAAATGTAGGAACAGATATACATATAATCCAAATAGTTATGAAGTAAATAATTGATTTATGTTCAGTGACAAATATTACTTGCATAAGGAAGATTGGATTTAATGTCATTGGAATATATCCTGTTTTTATACAAAACTGAAATTTGAACTTGCTTGTTGCTACCTCAGAAGTTAATGATCAACAAGGACATATATCAGCCCACTCATAAACATTATTCTGATTTTGTTCTAACCATAGTGATGCAGTAAATACCTATTGTAAAGTATTTCAATAGTTTATCTAGCAGAGATCCTTCCACACTTGAATTTAGTAGGGCTACCACCAGGGCACTTGGTAATTATTAGAAATCTTATTGAATAATTCTTTAATAAATATAATGACACATATCCTTTGAAATATATTGGCTACAAAGGAAATTTATCAGTCACTCTCATCAAGATTGGAAAGCTAAGAAACTATAAAACTAAAAGCATAAGTATCAGAAATTTTATTGAGTAATTGTAATTGTTTGTTACATTACAGGAAAGAAGAGAGGCGGCTATAATAGAACTATTGAGAATCTTACGATCAGGTGGAAAACTTCTGATATATGTATGGGCCATGGAACAGGAACGTCACAAAATAAAATCCAAATATCTGAAAGAGAGCAAATTACATAACACTGACAAAGATCATAGTTTGAACAGTCATGTCAACTGCTCTGACCAATTAAAGAGTGGGGCATCAGCAAGCAAAGAAAACTTAAATCGAAGTGACAGTCAATTTATAAACCAAAAGAGCGAAAATGATTCAAACTGTGAATTAACATGTGATAGTCAAAGTAATAAGAAAGATTCATTGGATGGTAGTGATAGAAAAGGGACAGATGGAACAATTGGCAGTCAGGCTGACAACAAAACAAACTGTTGTTTGACTGTGCATAAAAATAGAACTTATTTTCAACAGCAAGATGTTCTGGTGCCATGGGAAAGGAAAGATCAGGACAATAATACCACAAGTTTCCATAGATACTATCATGTTTTTAAGGAAGGAGAATTAGAAGAAATGTGTTGTAGAATAAGTGGATGTCGTGTGCTTGAAAAATATTATGATCAAGGCAACTGGGCAGTTATTGTCCAGAAACAATGATAAATATAAAAATAAATTTTATTTATTATTTATTTTGTCAACATTACTAAGTATTGGATAGGGGATAGATACACTTAAAATGAAAATAAACATGCATTACATCACCAAAAAAGATATCCTTCCCCTTTATTCTTTGGCAGAATATGATTAACATTTGGAGTTGTTTTGTATACAACACAAGTAAAAAATGATTCAATGAGATATTGCTTTAAAAAGTGTTGAATAAGTTGCTTTGATATTAAGGTATGTTCAATTAAAATGAGTTTTAATCTTGGACATCTGTTGTGGGTAATTAATGGTTGTATAGCCTTTTGATATATGTAATATTACTTGAAGAAAGTATGGTTGGAAGTCCTTTCCTACCCTTCCACAAACATTCTTGAGACATGACTTTCATTTAAAGTTTATTTCTTCACTCAAATTTTTTGTCTCAACTGTGATTAATGTCCCAGATTGAAGAGCATAAGAGCTGATCAAACAGCTGCATTTGCTCTTTTCATAAAGCATTATATTTCAAATGTAGAAGACCTGGCTACCTCATATCTTGTACACTGATATCTGTTGTCCTTGAAGTCATTTATGTCTTTCATGCGACGAATGTTGCTTTACTGGCTACATTGTCATCGTCAACAATTGATAAGTTTTCTGCTTATTTTAATTTGATAGGAACTACTTGTGATGGATCAATGATGTTTTTTATAAAGTTGCATTACTATCAGTACATATCAGTTTGAGGACTATTTTGAGACCCTGCCCCTTGGGTCATGGTCCAGTGACTGAATTAATTAGTAATTTTCGATGTTAAGTTTTCTGCTCAAGTCAGATTGATAGTAACTACTTGTGATAGATCAATGATATTTCCCATGTTTCCTATAAAGTTGCATTACTATCAGTACATATCAGTTAAATGACTATTTTGAGGCCCTACCCAGGTAGGTTATGGTCCAGTGACTTTCAATTAATTACCAATTTTCAATGTTAAGTTTTCTGTTTAAGTTAGTTTGATAGGAACTACTTACAATAGACAAGGATATTTGCTATAAAGACACAATAATGTCTGTACATCTCAGTTTGTCAACCTTTCCGAGGCCCTGACCACTAGTTCATGGTCCAGCTTAATTAGCAATGTTGTTGTCCATCAGATTTATCTGAATTTTATGCCAACAGGCAAGACATATCTCTGTGTAACAGTTTATCATGTTTCAGTGACTGATATTTTTAAGACAACTATATTAGATAATTTAAATTTAATTCATTGTGAGGTATACAAGTCCGTCAAACATTGTTCACCTGACCTTGATCTTATTTCAGTGATCAATGTGGAGTTTTCGTAATTAGACCTGTTTTTCAGATACTTCAAGCCATATGTCAACTATATATGGAATGATTGTTAAATGTACATGTCCCTTTGGCAGGGTTCACCTTGCCATGACCTAATTTTCATGGTTCATTGATCAACAATAAGTTTTCATTATTTTCTGTTTCTCAGATACAAAAAGCAGTATTTTGAATAAATTTGTTGTACGAAATGATTGTAAGTAGGGTTCATCCAACCTTGACCACATTTTCTAGGTTTATTGGTCAACTTAAAGTTTTCTTGATTAGATCCTTTTCTCAGATACTATACTAAGGTCATCTTTATTTAGTGTAATGACTGATAGCAAGATGTACATGCATGTTTGTCTGGCAGTGTCTGGCAGAGTTCATCTGACTTTAAACTCATTTCATTGTTCAATTAAGTTTTCATGATTATGTCTGTTTCTCAAATACTGTGAATTCATTATTACTTGTAGGATTCCAATTGCAGGGTTCATCAGACCATGACCTTATTTTCAAGGATCATTGATAATGTTAAGTTTATGTGATATCTGTAGTGAAACCTTGATAATGAAGACTTTCAGCATAACATTCATAGTCAGTAAAGCAGGCGCCATTTCAGCATTTGAATTCTTGTTGTAAATAGTTTTGCTAAATGGCTTTTGACAATCTGCATTTTCTATTAACCTATTCAAAAGTACAATACAAAAATAACATGTGGTATGCCAATGAGACTTCTCTCCACAATGGACCAAATGACAAAGAAGCTAGCAACTTTAGGTCCCTGTACAGCTTTCAACAATGAGCAAAACCTTTACAGATAAGCAAGTCTTATATTTTAGTACATGATTTCTTTATCAGCATATTAAGTGCTAAAAGCTTTCAGTGGTATGTGTCTTGCATGCAACAAAATTTGGAGGTAGGTGAGGTACAGTAATTACTTTTTGTACGCTTGTAACGTAGCAAAAGGATTCACAATTGGGAAAAAGCCTCCAACTTAATTCAAAATAGGTTGATTGCTTACATCCCCATCATTTGAACTTCGAACTTTGGTGGATAGTTGTCTCATTGGCAAATATATCACATCTCTTTATTTTCATAATGATGAGACCTTTTCAGCCCACATAATCACCTTTTCTTGACATCTTTTGGTCCAAGCCCCATTGGTCAGGTTAATTTTCAGGATGAGGTTAGTTCCTCTATTACTATGATATTGTCAAAATTATGTTGTATCTAAATAAGTTGCAAGCAGTATATGACAGTGGGAGCTCAGAATCTTGGAAAACTTGTGCTAGTTGGATTCTGTATTTATACAAAAACTTGACTGCAGTGTCAAAAGGATCTGAAAATCACTCATATCATCATACAACTCATCACCAGAAAGTTTAAAACTAAACATCAAATCATTCCATACTATAGAATAGAGTAATATGTAACAATAGTTATTGACCAACTGACTACCCAACCAACAGATTGATTACCATATGGACAGATGACTATTTTCATTACCCAGACAACAGACTGACAAACCAACCAACAGACGACAGACTTGATTATGCAACCAACTACAAATTTAACAGACAGACTGACAATGTAAATACAATATACCACCCACTCTGTGAGTGTGGGTCAGATATGATGTTTACATTTTAGGTGAATGTTGTTTTGGTGTATTTTTTTGTGTGTCTAGTAACAAATTTTATGTTGAAAACAGATCTTTGATTCTTTCACATCTTTTCTGAACAAAGCAGGGGAGAGATTTAGTGTTTGACATACACACATGTATGATATGAACACTAAATACTATGTTGACTTCTAGATGTCATCTTTTTTTGTAGTGTTGTTCGATTTCTTTCTGAATGAAATTTACCCTACACATCACTTTTATTCATTACTTCCATAAGTACATTCAATATTTCATCTGGGAAATTCTTTGAGTGATTTCATGTGTAATTTTACCTGCCCATGAACGAATCATTTTTACTTGTTTATTGTAAGAGAGTAATACAGTCCCCTGGCAAGTCTTAAATATTTAAGTTTTTTTTTACCTTATTCTGGGGCGTGTTTTATTGGTCTCTTCTGTACATCTCCAGAATGTCTTCTTGTGAAGAGTCCAAAAAAATGAATCTGGACCTCTTCTGGAGATATTCTTTAGAAGAAGCAATAAAACAAAAAATCTTTTTGCCGTCGAATATATCAGATTTTTTCATGTTGGATGACATAAATGAAGTTTATGATGATTTATTAGAAAATTAAGATACTTCAAATTATTCGGTAGACATGATTGTAATAGTGAGCTATGTTTCAGCATTGGTGTAATTATACAATAAGTGTAAAAACAAAGAAAATTGGTTGGAAGAAATGGCTGTGTTTGTGAAATTTTTTCTTTATACTTTATACTAAAATCTGACTTGAAGCGCCGACCATGTGATTTTAAGGAATAATCTTAAACTGTACAAGAATTTTTCAATATTTGTTTGGACATCTGGTGATTCTGGTCTATGAAATTTTTTTAAGTAAAGAACTGGATTATTTTTGCATATATAAAAGATATTGCAGAGTTCTCAAAATCTTTTTCCCTGGTGGCCCTTGAAGAAAATCTGCTGGTCCTAACTACTATTTCTATTGCAAAATTTCGATGGTCAAAACCTTCAGACCACAACTTTTTGATTGTATATGTATACAAGGTATATATGGTCATGGCATTTCTCAGACTGTTTATTACTAAATCCGTTGATGATGTAATGATTGATACTTTAGTTTGGGGAACAAGATTTATTTGTTAGTTGTAATTGGCTTTGAACAAACTTTCAGTAACTGAAAACTACTCTTATTTCAGTGCTTTGTGTCTATTGTCATAATGTTAGTTGGGTTTTATTTTTTTGTGTCTCTTATGTTTTGAGTTATTACTATTGCAACTGATTTTTATACAACCGCAAAAAAATTTTGCGGTCGTATATTGGTATGACGTTGGCATCGTCGTCATCGTCATGCGGCGTCGTCGTCCGAAGACACATTGGTTTTCGCACTCTAACTTTAGTTTAAGTGAATGGATCTCTTTGAAATTTTACCATAAGGTTCAATACCACGAAAGGAAGGTGGGGATTGATTTTGGGGGTGATGGTACCAACAGTTAAGGAATTAGGGGCCAAAAAGGGGCCAAAAATAAGCATTTTCTAGTTTCCAGACAATAACTGTGGAAAGGTGTATGGATCTCTCTGAAATTATACTACAAGTTTCCATACCTAAAAGGGATGGTAAGAATTTGCTTTGGGGGGTTATGGCTCAAACCGTTTAGGAATCAGGGGCAAAAAAGAGGGAAAAACAAGGTTGTCCTGGTTAATGGACAAATACTTTAGTACAAAACATAATTTAAAGTAGTGTAAGGGAGATAAATCAAATACATCATTGAAATTATCTCCCTTACACTGCTTTTAAATTATGTATAAAGTAATGGTTAATGAACAATTAAGATAATTTAAAACAGTGTAAGGGAGGTAATCCAAATACAACGTTTTGGTTACTTCCCTTACACTGCTTTTAAATTATGTTTAAAGAAATGCATATTTATAAAGGAAGACCAGTAGAAAATATCTGCAAATGTTGCATCTTTTTTTTTTACAAAAAAATCCATATGAAAGATTTGACACTATATTTTAAATTCTATTATAAAATAGATTAATTAAGCACTATGGTAAATTTAAATGGGTAATTATGGTTGCAAACTCCATTGGAAATTTGAATTGAGATTATGACCATATCTTGAGGGAAAGAATTTTTTTGGGGAAAAAAAGGTGGGGGGGGGGGGGGGGTAAAAAGAAATTGTGGGGGGTCAATTTTTTCTCATTTCAGATTTCAGAAATTAAAAAGAATTATTCTTCAAATATTATTTTTTTTTCAAATTCCAAATATTGAAAAATTTCAAGAAGTAATCTTTAATTGCACAGTATGGCGCATTAGATTTGTAAAATCTTTGACCACATTTATTTATTTGTTATGCCGAATCTAACCGTGTATTTAGATTTTTAATTTTGGGTCCAGTTTTCAAATTGGTCTACATTAAGGTCCAAAGGGTCCAAAATTAAACTTTGTTTGATTTTAACAAAAATTGAATATATGGGGTTCTTTGATATGCTGAATCTAAACATGTATTTAGATTTTTGATTTTTGGCCCAGTTTTCAAGTTGGTCCAAATTGGGGTCCAAAATTAAACTTTGTTTGATTTCAACAAAAATTGAATATATGGGGTTCTTTGATATGCTGAATCTAACCATGTACATGTATTTAGATTTTTTATTTGTGGGCTCGCTATCAAATTGGTTCATATTGAGGTCAAAAGGGTCCAAAATAAAACTTTGTTTGATTTCATCAAAAATTAAATTATTGGGGTTCTTTGATATGCCAAATCTAACCGTGTTTTTAGATTTTTAATTTAAGGTCCCGTTTTTTAAATTGGTCTACATTAAGGTCCAAAGGGTCCAAAATTAAACTTAGTTTGAATTTTAAAAAAATTGAATTCTTGGGATTCTTTGATATGCTGAATCTAAACATGTGTTTAAATTTTTGATTATGGGCCCAGTTTTCAAGTTGGTCCAAGTTGGGGTCCAAAATTAAACTTTTTTTGATTTCAACAAAAATTGAACATATGGGGTTCTTTGATATGCTGAATCTAACCATGTATTTAGATTTATTATTTGTGGGCCCCGCTATCAAATTGGTTCATATTGAGGTCAAAAGGGTCCAAAATTAAACTTTGTTTGATTTCATCAAAAATTGAATTATTGGGGTTCTTTGATATTCCAAATCTAACTGTGTATTTAGATTTTTAATTTTGGGTCCTGTTTTTTAAATTGGTCTACATTAAGGTCCAAAGGGTCCAAAATTAAACTTAGTTTGATTTTAACAAAAATTGAATTCTTGGGGTTCTTTGATATGCTGAATCTAAACATGTGTTTAGATTTTTGATTATGGGCCCAGTTTTCAAGTTTGTCCAAGTTGGGGTCCTATATTAAACTTTGTTTGATTTCAACAAAAATTGAATATATGGGGTTCTTTGATATGCTGAATCTAACCATGTATTTTGATTTTGGACATTGGACCATAATAGGTAAATTAAAAAAATTCAAGTTCTTAGACCACATTCTTACTGTGTCAGAAACCTATGCTGTGTCAAATATTTAATCACAATCCAAATTCAGAGATGTATCAAGCTTGAATGTTTTGTCCATACTTGCCCCAACTGTTCAGGGTTCGACCTCTGCGGTCGTATCAAGCTGCGCCCAGCGAAGCATTTTATTACAGTTTGTTCTTATATGTTGTACAGTTACACCACTGTCCCAGTTTAGGGAAGAATTGATCCTGCCATATTCTTAATGTGCCTGTGCCAAGTCAGGTGCATGTAGTTCAGTGGTTGTCGTTGGTTTATGTGTGTTGTCCTCAGTGTTGCCTCATATTTGATATTTGTAAATTGTTTTTGTTATATATAATAAGGCTGTTAGTTTTATCGATTCAATTGTTTTACATTTTTCATGTCGGGGCCTTTAATAGCCGACTATACGGTATGGAGTTTTGTCATGGTTGAAGGTCCCTTACTTTGATTGTTCATGTAGTTTTTATATTTATCCAGGTTATCGTCCCTACAGGGATGTTCTCCTAAGGCTGCAATACCATAAAAACGTTAATCACACAGCACACATTCTATTATATCTGAATTCATAAATTTATTAAAGTCATTTAGACTAAACGACACCATGTTTGTTATATGCCTCTGTCGTCTAAACTACCTATTTAAAAAGAAGAGATAGGAGAGGAACAGAAGATCTTCCCAATGCAAAAAAATAGAAATGGACCTCTTATGCCCCTGTACTTGAAGGGACTATACAATCCACTTGGTCTGAATTGCTATTGGGTTTTTCTTTAAATTGACATTTCACTTTTAAAAAAATCAATAGACTTCATCCCCTGTGCATGATGATTGTAACACTAAAGTCTGTTAAAAGATTTAACATGTTCTTATATCTGTATTATGTTGACACAGTTCTGACCATTAACCCAACAGACAAATCTGACATAGAAAAAGTAATGGGGACCTTCTTCTGTGAAAGGGAATCAGCTATATTATCACACTCATGTTCACTGTCTATCACCAGTACATTAGATATTTCCATAAGTGTACCATAGATTGAAACTTGTGTACTGGGAATTTGGATAGTTGAACAGGACAACAAACACAAATCAGGTATGTTTTTTAAATTTTCCATTAAATTATAGATATAACATTATTTCAAGAGGTAACTCCTTTAAGCTTTAAGCTTTGTATGATGTCATATCTCTTAGTATATATGTAGGATTTTTAATGCTTATTTATGCAGATATTAGTTGTACAGGTGTTGCAAGAAAATTTCACTCATGATATAATTTCAAGATCTAGCTTGTAAAATTTAACTTCATATGAACACAGATGTCCTGGTGCATTTCTTTGCTGCACTTCAGCTATCCTAATTGCTAGTACACCGTTTTCAATATACATTACACAACTGACAATATCCAGTGTACAGGGATACACAGTGATGTTGAGATCAAATACAACAGCAGAACAAATGAAATCAATGAATCATAAAGTTTATTCATAATAGAAAGTCTAAATAAATATGTCACTACATTATATACATGTACAACAAATAAAAAATAAGCTAACAATCTAGAAAACAACCAAATATAAAACATTATCAAGCTTTAGAAGCAAAAACATTTCATAAATTTCATAAACTTGTCTCTAACTCTTAAATTCAGTTTTCACTTATCCAAGAACTAAACAAGAACGCACATGTTGTGGTGCTTAGCATACCCCCACTTGTCATTCAAAGTACCTGAAAACAGGAAGTAGATGTTAGACAGATCTGAAAAGCACATTTACTTTAGTCATTACAACTCATCATTGTTGATTTGCTCACCAAATATGAAGTTATTCTATTCAGAAGCATTGGAGAAATAATTATGTGACATTTTTTTAAAAAGTTCATTCAACGTACATGCATTGAAAATTGAAGGTATTGGCAAACAGGAAGCAGGTATCTGTTAGTGCTCACACATGACAACTCATCACTGTCAAGCTGCTGACCAAATATGAAGCCATTCTGTCCACTAATCTCTAAGAAAAGTGTGACAAAAACATTGGTTGGACAAATAGACAGTCAGTCAGGTGATTGCAATTTAGCCTCCACTTTTAGAATGGGGTGGGGTATAATTAAAAAATAAATAAAATCCATCAAATTTATAAGTATCTTCATATACAGAGAACATAACTTCCAAATGTAGAACTAACCATTCTGAGATAACAAAGTACATGTAGGATAGGTCCGTAAATAAATTCATTAATAAGGTAATAATATCTTATAAAGCATACATTCATGTTAAAAAGTATGTGTTAATCTGATAAGTTGCATATTTAATGAAAAGGCACTTAAACAGTAACAAAATGATTGGTAAGAGTGAGTCCAATGTGACCAGCAAAATATTTCAGTCACTTCTAATTCTACATAAAAAAATGGTATAAAAAATATCAAACAGACCAAATGAAACTTCCTTGGTCAGCAAAAGAGACGTCTCAAGGGAGATCAAAATCTCCCTAGATTATTACCAAATGCTTGTATTGCATTTAGCAGCAATTGATAGTTTTTGCCTAACAGGGTTATTGTATAACTAAGTTTCTGTTTATATTCAAGTCACCTAAAAACTTTTGGCATGCAGTTTTCACTATTAATCTTTATATTCAAACAAGATGAGCTAATTTTTATATACCGGTATTTTATAATTAAACTAGACATCACTGAGATGGGAGCCATCTCTGTGGGCCCCGCTGACCTTGAACTTTGACCTAGGAAGTTGTACAAACATTATGAAACACCCTTTGGTGTTGGTTAATATACATGTCAAGTATAAAGTATGAAATTATAACGGTTCTCTAGATATAGAGCAGACACAATTTGTTATGGACGGACTGATCACTATAGTGTGACCTGCCACTAGATGGGGCACTAATTAACATACATTTGATAAGACATCACATGATAATTAAATGTCTGTCGTAAGATCTTCCCTGCCGAGAGACCGTCCTTGTAAATGTCTTCAATGAATCCTCCAGCTAGAAATTGAAAGGGGCAGGGTGCCAGTGGAGGACAGGGCACTTTTTTATGCCGACCCAAGCTTAAAACACTCGCCGACACATTCATCAATTTATATTCAATTTGACAAGGTACATTGTCTTAATTAAATTACCTAGTTATTAACACCTTTGAAGTCTAATCAACTGTAATTGATTTTAATGACATGATTAACCTGGGGGCAATCACCAGGTGTCATATATGTAATTTAACTTTGTGATTAGAAATCGATGAGACAAAAAGCAATTTTACCAGTACATTGCCAAAACGGCACAAGGGTTTTTTGGGAAAAGGTGTCAGGGCAGAAGGGCGCGGATGAGGGCACACAGGGCGTGGCTGAGGGCACCCAGGGCGCGGCGCCCTTCTATTTTGGGCTACAAGACCACTGTTCATAATATTGGGATGTAGATGCTAGATTTTTCACGAGTAAGACTTTAAAGTTAAAAATGGCCACATTTGCATTGATATACTCATTCACCCTCTCTTTGGTAAAGTTGACCTCAGGTACATTATATATCCTTGGCTTTCAAATTGTTGGGTGTGAGTGATCCTAGTAAAGGTTAATCTAGAAAAGGTCTTCAGACTTACAATAAATTTATAAAGTGTTATTTTCATTTTTAATGATTATTTTTAATATTTTAATTTCACATTAACTGAAAGCAGAAAATTATTCCATAATGTCTTATATTGACATTACATATATTTACATGTAGATGTAAAATTATCCAATTTGTTTTTGGTTTCTATCCCAAACTTTGACATAAAAAGAATTGCCATCAAACATAATTCTAAAATGTAGCATTTAAGCAGCAGTTTGGCCAACAATTTGTCTTTATTTGAACACCCTCACTTCTAATTCTGTATAATACCATCTGATAATACAAAGAGATATTTCAGAATTAATCACCTTTATAATCAGCATTATCCATCATTCACAATGCAACCCCCGAAAAAAAGATTTCTGCATATGTGTGCTGTATGTGTGTACATATAATATATGTGACTCTGGATCATGACAGGCTATTTAAGAGTGGTACTCCTCCACCCGTGGATGTCCAGCTTCCTCTTGAACTTATGAAAGATTATATGAGATAAGCTTGGAAAATAATTCTTTTTCAGTATTACTTTGAAATACTATTCTAGGACTCTTCCAGAATTAATTGCATGGGGGATAGGAGGCACTTCTTTTAAAATTTGATGGGCAGTGGTTATTTTATAAAGATAGCCTGAATAATTACAGAAAATAATCTATTCAAATTTGATGCAAGATGGGGTAAAATAAATAGTGCCTCACACCCCCATACATTTATTTCTTGAACAGTCCTATTTTTATTTTTGTTGTTGTCTTAAAATTGAGATACACACATTTTTGTACATTTATGTACATACATTTCAGAGTCGTAGCTAGCCCAAAATAGAGACCTGCTCTATTTTTTTTTTTTCTGAAGGAATATAAATTAATAAATGCAAAGGAAATGATTTTTATGCCCCAATTGCTACAGCAAGGGATCCCTCAGACAGTCAGTCTGTCCTGTCCTTGTTTAGTTTTGGTTTTAGGTAAGTTAAAGTTTTTGTTCAGGATAGTTAGTGGTCACATCAACTTTAAACTAAGAACATATTCATTATGAAGTGAACTATTTAATATATATGACAAATTATGGGTTTGACCCAGATTTCATGGTTCACGCAACATGAAAATTTGATAGGTTAAAGTCTAGTTGAAACTGTTTAAGTTTAGGTTCAAGTTTTAGCTTTAACTGGAAACTTAGTACACTTGTTCATTCTTAGGTGAACTATTTAATATATATGTCAAATTAGGGTTAGGTGACAAAGATTCCATGGTTCAATGAACGCGGATATGTGATAGTGCTAGCGAGGAATGATGTTCCTATTGATAGTTAACTACTGGGAAAAGCTTTTTACAACCTCAAAAATACTATACATTCAGCAAAAATACCTAAATCTATTCAATTATTTCAATTCTTTATCTTAAAAAATGATCAAGTTGTCTCTTCTCAGACAAGAAAATGCCTTTCATCTTAAAACTGTGCCCCTCTACCCTTAAATCGTAACTAGAACACTGCATTTATGTTTGTTCCAGTTTTGCAAAATGTACCATGTATGAAATTTATAAATAATCATTTTAAGATCCATGCCCTGTGAAAATTTTCTGTAATGATCCCTATATAATGTAAATATATATATCAAGAAAAACGTTTGTGCAGCCAGATTTGATGAATTACAGTCAGAGGTAATACTTATACAAGTGTATTTTATTTACTGGTACAGATGAATTATTTTAATGGTATAGTTATATCCCTTAGACATATAGATTTTTGTTTACTTATACAAGTAAAAAAGTCATATTTTCTTCTTTTCTTGAATTTCTCTTTACTACTTTGCTCTAATAGAGTGCTTAATTGTCTGTCCTTTGCAGATGTCTTTACTAATCATATAAGTATAATTTCATGGACAATGAAAATCTCATTCATGTCATTTGTCTGTTATCTTCAAAATACTGCTCATTTACAAGCCTCCAGGGAGCAATTTTTGAAGGCCTTGCACAGTTACTTAACATCTTTGTGCAATTGAATTTCTTTGTTGAATTAGTGAGATGAAAGGTTGAACTCTAATTAAAAAATATTTCCAAACCAGAGAAAATTTGTTTCAGGCATGTTTTTATCTCCCAAAACTTGAGAATTTTAGGGTTGTAAAATAAATTTACTTATAATACATAAGTAAGTTTTTGAAAAAGATTAAGGGGAGATTATTCAAACCTTGAAAAGAAAATATAAATGTTACAAATTTACTTATACAAGTATATAATTACTTGCATCTTCAAGTAAATAAAAATTACTTGTATAAGTATTACCTCTGTCTGAATTATATATACATGAAAAACTCTGACATCTCAATGATTTAAGATTAGTGTAAAGATTCAGCTGATTATAATAAATGTTATCCATATCAAAATCAAAAACAAACAATAAAAAAAAAAACATACTTCTCACAAATTAAGTAACTCATATCAAATTCACAGTGGAAAAGAAGATACTCACATTGCATTATTTTAAGTTACTGACATTTTTATTTGAGTCTTGCAAAATTGTGAATGAAAGTCTTTACATGTAAATTGATAAAAATGAAAACAAAATTCTGTTACATTTTCAGTTCAATATAAATAGTTAATTAGAAATCAACATTCCAATAGGGTATTGAGAAACATAACAAGATAGAAACAATTCTTAAATTTTTTTCTTTCAAATTTTAGGTGTTTACCCTAAACATAATGCCAACTTATGGAACCAAGTGTTTAAAAGGTTGAGCTTCTATGGAAAAATGTCATAAATCAAGGGAAAAATTCTCTAAAGAATGTAATGTCATTGCAAATTTTGTGAATTTTCTGATTCTATAATATTATTACTTCTACAAGTAAGTTTTGCAAAATGACAAAAAGGGGAGATGATTTCTTAAAATTAAAAAAAATAATACTAATAGCATGTCTAGAATTAAAAAAAAAATCCCTGCTTGTTCGTGTAACATAAGTAAGGCACACATGTTATAAAAATAATCCAATATAAACCTGTATTATTGGTTTTGATAATTTTGATAGTGTGACATATAATGTACTGTATTATAAGGGAACGGTTCTGCAGTCCATTGGTTACTAATTTTGATAGTTTTGATAGTGTGACATATAATGTACTGTATTATAAGGGAATGGTTCTGCAGTCCATTGGTTACTAATTTTGATAATTTTGATAGTGTGACATATAATGTACTGTATTATAAGGGAACGGTTCTGCAGTCCATTGGTTACTAATTTTGATAGTTTTGATAGTGTGACATATAATGTACTGTATTATAAGGGAACGGTTCTGCAGTCCATTGGTTACTAGTTTTGATAGTTTTGATAGTGTGACATATAATGTACTGTATTATAAGGGAACGGTTCTGCAGTCCATTGGTTACTAGTTTTGATAGTTTTGATAGTGTGACATATAATGTACTGTATTATAAGGGAAAGGTTCTGCAGTCCATTGGTTACTAATTTTGATAGTTTTGATAGTGTGACATATAATGTACTGTATTATAAGGGAACGGTTCTGCAGTCCATTGGTTACTAGTTTTGATAATTTTGATAGTGTGACATATAATGTACTGTATTATAAGGGAATGGTTCTGCAGTCCATTGGTTACTAGTTTTGATAATTTTGATAGTGTGACATATAATGTACTGTATTATAAGGGAACGGTTCTGCAGTCCATTGGTTACTATTTCGCATTTGAACGTTGGTATGAAATGGATGTGTTAATCTTTCTTCACTTTTACGTTCATGAAGACTTGTGAAAGTTTCATTAAATGTGTGATCAAGGTTAACAGAATGATTACTGTCTTGTGGGTTATGTAAGTATTGAGATATATTAGAATTCAGCAGCATATCATTCTCTGAAGTGTCAGCAGCAGTCTGTAACATTGTGGGATTTTTTCTCAGGTAGATGGCAGTTTCTTTCATTTGTTCTTCAGATACACTGTATAGGGACTGTTGAATGAATCTTCCATCAGGAGATGACTGGTCTACAGCATCGCTATGTAACCTACTTTGTTCTTCTGTAGATTGTTGATGTAGACTCAATTCATCAACAAAGTTATTAATAGTGTCATCAGCAGATACCTGACTAATCTGGTTATTATTGCCTTGTGGACCTTGGACTTCAGTGTTATTGTCTGTCTTTTTAGCTGGTGGCAGTCTTTTAATACGGCCTTCAGGTTTTTTCCCTTCTATCCAATAATCTTCCGCTCCTTTTAAATCACAAATGACATCTTCTCTCCATTCTTTAGTATGTTTTTTATGTACCAGTATCATGTGACGTCGAATTATGGATGCATCACTAAAAGTACGAGAACAGATAGCACAAGAGAAAGGTTTATCTCCATTATGTATTCTTTCGTGACGTAATAAAGCTTGTCTCTGAGTAAAACCTTTACCACAAGTACCACATAAATGATCTTTAGTTACTTTGTGAATTTTCTTGTGAATCTGTAATGCTGACTTTTGACGAAATAGTTTATCACAAATATCACATTTAAAATGGAGCACTTCATCATGCATAAAACGATGTTCCTTCAGAGATTTTTCATATGCAAAACTTTTACCACAATGTTCACACTGATAAGGCTTCAGTCCCATATGAACATTGGCATGCTGAACATATGAGTTTTTCTGGGTAAAACTTTTCCCACATGTGGGACAAAGAAATTGTTTTTTCATCCCTAAATGCTCTGATTTTACATGATAGTTTAGTACATATTTGGTGCTGAAAGACTTTTTACAAACTTTACACTCATACTCAGGTTTTATATAATTTTCTTCATGGCTTTTCTTATGCTGGATAAATGTTCGGCGTGATTTATACATTTTACCACAGAAATCACAACATAACTGCGGATTCAGATGACATTTTTCATGGCGAACCAAATCTTTTTGAATGCTAAAAATTTTGTCACAAAATTCACAGGACCATATCTTGTCTTTATGCATTCTCTGTACATGTTCTCTTAGGTTTGCTCGTTTACTAGATACATAGGAGCACTGGGAACAGGTAAATTCTTGCTTAATTGGTTCTGTTTCGTCATTTTTATTTCTTCTTCGTTTCTTCAAAGACTTTGGTTTTTGCTGCTTCTTAAGTGTTAACTTCAGAGCTTTTGTACCTGTGGAAAATAGAATGTATAGTATACATGTTATTTACAGTAAAACATTTTCTTCCATTATCATTAAACTTAAACTAAATGCAACATTTACCTCTGGTGCATGTATGCAATTGAACCTCATTGTGTTGAAAACTCAGATAAGTTGAGGTATTTTCAAATTGTCAGTCCACATAAAATTCCTGTATATTTGATGCATTTCTAACTCTGATCATGCTGATGGGTGGGATTGGTTGATTTGAAATCTCATTTAACTCAAGTATATTTCGAAGGCCCTCGAAGAAAATAAACATGTATAAATTAACCCTGATGTGTCAAAGTTTTAATTACAAGAAAATTTATATATATATATATAAAAAAAACATAAAATCCAAGTTCATGAAGTTACTAATTCAAACTAATCTACCGAAATTAATTTATAGACCCAAGGTGAGAAAATCCGTTAATTTTAAAATGAATGAATCTTTAACTGATAAATGTTATGTAAAAAAATTATTATTTGACCCTACAATTACATGCTTTCGAGACGCGACGGCCATACTTCCACGTCGTCCATAGGATGTATCGACCATAGCGCCACATCGTCCATACTTTAAGTATTTATTTCATTGTGGTTATAACATAAAATATAATAAAATGCTTCGCTGGGCGCAGCTTGATACGACCGCAGAGGTCGAACCCTGAACAATTGGGGCAAGTATGGACACAACATTCAAGCTTGATACAGCTCTGAATTTGGATTGTGATTAAATATTTGACACAGCATAAGTTTCTGACACAGAAAGAATGTGGTCTAAGAACTTGAATTTTTTTAATTTACCTATTAAGGTCCAATGTCCAAAATCAAAATACATGGTTAGATTCAGCATATCAAAGAACCCCATATATTAAATTTTTATTGAAATCAAACAAAGTTTAATTTTGGACCCCAACTTGGACAAACTTGAAAACTGGGCCCATAATCAAAAATCTAAACACATGTTTAGATTCAGCATATCAAAGAACCCCAAGAATTCAATTTTTGTTAAAATCAAACTAAGTTTAATTTTGGACCCTTTGGACCTTAATGTAGACCAATTTAAAAAACGGGACCCCAAAATTAAAAATCTAAATACACGGTTAGATTTGGAATATCAAAGAACCCCAATAATTCAATTTTTGATGAAATCAAACAAAATTTAATTTTGGACCCTTTTGACCTCAATATGTACCAATTTGATAGCAGGGCCCACAAATAAAAAATCTAAATACATGGTTAGATTCAGCATATCAAAGAACCCCTTATATTCAATTTTTGTTGAAATCAAAAAAAGTTTAATTTTGGATCCCAATTTGGACCAACTTGAAAACTGGGCCCATAATCAAACATCTAAACACATGTTTAGATTCAGCATATCAAAGAACCCCAAGAATTCAATTTTTGTTCAAATCAAACAAAGTTTAATTTTGGACCCTTTGGACCTTAATGTAGACCAATTAAAAAACGGGACCCAAAATTAAAAATCTAAAAACAAGGTTAGATTTGGCATATCAAAGAACCCAATAATTCAAATTTTGATGAAATCAAACAAAGTTTAATTTTGGACCCTTTTGACCTCAATATTAACCAATTTGATAGAGGGCCCACAAATAAAAAATCTAAATACATGGCTAGATTCAGCATATCAAAGAACCCCATATATTCAATTTTTGTTGAAATCAAACAAAGTTTAATTTTGGACCCCAATCTGGACCAACTTGAAAACTGGGCCAAAAATCTAAAATCTAAATACATGTTTAGATTCAGCATATCAAAGAACCCCATATATTCAATTTTTGTTGAAATCAAACAAAGTTTAATTTTGGACCCCAACTTGGACCAACTTGAAAACTGGGCCCATAATCAAAAATCTAAACACATGTTTAGATTCAGCATATCAAAGAACCCCAAGAATTCAATTTTTGTTAAAATCAAACTAAGTTTAATTTTGGACCCTTTGGACCTTAATGTAGACCAATTTAAAAAGCAGGACCCAAAATTAAAAATTTAAATGGTACACGGTTAGATTTGGCATATCAAAGAACCCCAATAATTCAATTTTTGATGAAATCAAACGAAGTTTAATTTTGGACCCTTTTGACCTCAATATGAACCAATTGGATAGCGGGGTCCACAAATAAAAAATCTAAATACATGGTTAGATTCAGCATATCAAAGAACCCCATATATTCAATTTTTGTTGAAATCAAACAAAGTTTAATTTTGGACCCCAATTTGGACAAACTTGAAAACTGGGCCAAAAATCAAAAATCTAAATACATGTTTAGATTCAGCATATCAAAGAACCCCATATATTCAATTTTTGTTAAAATCAAACAAAGTTTAATTTTGGACCCTTTGGACCTTTAATTTAGACCAATTTGAAAACTGGACCCAAAATAAAAAATCTAAATACACGGTTAGATTCGGCATAACAAATAAATAAATGTGGTCAAAGATTTTACAAATCTAATGCGCCATACTGTGCAATTAAAGATTACTTCTTGAAATTTTTCAATATTTGAAATTTGAAAAAAAAATAATATTTGAAGAATAATTCTTTTTAATTATTGAAATCTGAAATGAGAAAAAATTGACCCCCCACAATTTCTTTTTACCACCTCCCCCCCCCCCCCCTTTTTTCCCCCAAAAAAACCAAAACGTTGTATTTGGATAACCTCCCTTACACTGTTTTAAATTATCTTAATTGTTCATTAACCATTACTTTATACATAATTTAAAAGCAGTGTAAGGGAGATAATTTCAATGATGTATTTGATTTATCTCCCTTACACTGCTTTAAATTATGTTTTGTACTAAAGTATTTGTCCATTAACCAGAACAACCTTGTTTTTCCCCCTTTTTTGCCCCTAATTCCTAAACGGTTTGAGCCATAATCCCCCAAAGCAAATCCTAACCATCCCTTTGTGGTATGGAAACTTGTAGTATAATTTCAGAGAGATCCATACACCGTTCCACAGTTATTGTCTGGAAACTAGAAAATGCTTATTTTTGGCCCCTTTTTGACCCCTAATTCCTTATTTGTTGGTACCATATCCCCCAAAATCAATCCCCACCTTCCTTTTGTGGTATTGAACCTTATGGTAAAATTTCAAAGAGATCCATTCACTAAAAACTAAAGTTAGAGTGCGAAAACCAATGTGTCTTCGGACGACGACGACGACAACGTCATACCAATTTACGACCGCAAAAATTTTTGGCAGTCGTATAATAATACAACAAGTATTGTTTCATTATTATAACATAAATATATAGTCTTAATTAAAGACAAAACTAACATCTAACACAAATAAAATGCTCTGTAGGGCGCAGCTTGATACGACCGCAGAGGTCGAACCCTGAACAGTTGGGGCAAGTATGGACACAACATTCAAGCTTGATACAGCTTTGCATTTGGATTGTGATTAAATATTTGACACAACATAGGTTTCTGACACAGAATGAATGTGGTCTAAGAACTTAAAAATTTTAAATTGGACATTCACCTATTATGGTCCAATATCCAAAATCTAAATACATGGTTAGATTCAGCATATCAAAGAACCCCAAGAATTCAATTTTTGATGAAATCAAACAAAGTTTAATTTTGGACCCTTTTGACCTCAATGTGGACAAAGTTGATAACGGGGCCCAAAAATCAAAAATCTAAATACATGGTTAGATTCAGCATATCAAAGAACCCCATATATTCAATTTTTGTTGAAATCAAACAAAGTTTAATTTTGGACCCCGATTTGGACCAACTTGAAAACTTGGCCCATAATCAAAAATCTAAATACATGGTTAGATTCAGCATATCAAAGAACCCCATATATTCAATTTTTGTTGAAATCAAACAAAGTTTAATTTTGGACCCCAATTTGGACCAACTTGAAAACTGGGCCCATAATCAAAAATCTAAATACATGTTTAGATTCAGCATATCAAAGAACCATAAGAATTCAATTTTTGTTAAAATCAAACTAAGTTTAATTTTGGACCCTTTGGACCTTAATGTAGACCAATTTGAAAACGGAACCAAAAATTAAGAATCTTAATACACGGCTAGATTCGGCATATCAAAGAACCCCAATAATTCAATTTTTGATGAAATCAAACAAAGTTTAATGTTGGACACTTTGGACCTCAATGTGGACCAATTTAAAAACGGGGCCCAAAATCCAAAAACTTTTGCACAATACTGTGCAATTAAATATTTCTTGCTATTGCGCAATACTGTACAATTGACAATTTCTTGCTATTGAGCAATATTGTGCTATTGGATATTTCTTGCTATTGCGCAATACTGTGCAATTGAAGATTTCTTGCTATTGCGCAATACTGTGCAATTGAAGATTTCTTGCAATTGTGCAATACTGTGCAATTGAAAATTTCTTGCTATTGCACAATACTTATTATATAATAATTTACACATCCTGTTTGGTGTGTATCTCCTACCATATCATTATTATTTGCTTTTAAATATAAATCTGAAATAACCAACTTAAATTGGAAAATTTTAAAAGAAAAAAAAATGAAAAAAAGAAAAAAAAATGAAAGAAAAAAAATCCACCCCCCCCCAAATTTTTTGAACCCCCTTATGATTCATCACCCCCAAACTCAATCCCAGCCTTCCCTTTGTGGTATGGTACCTTGCAGTACAATTTCAGAGAGATCCATACACTTGAACACAAGTTATTGTCTGGAAACTAGAAAAATGTGCTTTTTGGCCCCAAATTCCTAAACTTTTAGGGCAATTACCCCCAAACTCAAACCCAGCTTTCCCTTTGTGGTATGGAACCTTCTAGTACAATTTCAGAAAGATCCATACACTTACACACAAGTTATTGTCCTGAAACTAGAAAAATGCTTTTTTTTTGCCCCTTTTTGGCCCCTAATTCCTAAAATATTGAGGCAATTACCCCCATCATCAATCCCAGCCTTCCCTTTGTGGTATGGTACCTTGCAGTACAATTTCAGAGAGATCCATACACTTGAACACAAGTTATTGTCTGGAAACTAGAAAAATGCTTATTTTTGGCCCCTTTTTGGCCCCAAATTCCTAAACGTTTAAGCAATTACCCCCAAACTCAATTCCAGCTTTCCCTTTGTGATATGGAACCTTGTAGTAAAATTTTAGAAAGATCCATACACTTACACACAAGTTATTGTCCTGAAACTAGGAAAATGCTTTTTTTTGCCCCTTTTTGGCCCCTAATTCCTAAAATATTGAGGCAATTACCCCCATCATCAATCCCAGCCTTCCCTTTGTGGTATGGTACCTTGCAGTACAATTTCAGAGAGATCCATACACTTGAACACAAGTTATTATCTGGAAACTAGAAAAATGCTTATTTTTGGCCCCTTTTTGGCCCCAAATTCCTAAATGTTTTGGGCAATTACCCCCAAACTCAATTCCAGCTTTCCCTTTGTGATATGGAACCTTGTAGTAAAATTTCAGAAAGATCCATACACTTACACACAAGTTATTGTCATGAAACTAGAAAAATGCTTGTTTTTTGCCCCTTTTTTGGCCCCTAATTCCTAAAATTTTGAGGCAATTACCCCCAAAATCATTCCCAGCATTCCTTTTGTGATATGGAACCTTGTGGTACAATGTCAGAGAGATCCATACACTTACACACAAGTTATGTCTGGAAGTTACAAAAATGCTTATTTTTGGCCCCTTTTTGGCCCCTAATTCCTTTACTGTTGGTACCATAACCCCCAAAATCAATCCCAACCTTCCTTTTGTGGTATTGAACCTTGTGGTAAAATTTCATAGAGATCCATTCACTTAAACTAAAGTTAGAGAGCGAAAACCAATGTGTCTTCGGACGACGCCGGACGACGACGACGACGACGACGCCAAAGTCATACCAATATACGACCACAAAAATTTTTTTGCGGTCGTATAAAAACAATAATCATTTGTGTTAGCATCTTTTTGCAAGTAAATTTATAAATATTTTAATTTCATATTTTCTATAAATACATATGTTCTAAAAAAAAAATCAAGAAATTAACAGTCTTTGTAATAAGATGGTATACTAAATTACTATGTATAGCAAGTGGCAATTATTATTATTATTTATACAAATAGGGCAACTTTGTTGCAGTGAGTTATTAAATTTGAGTAAATATCACTTAAAAGATTTATTTGATTCTTTACCATTGCTTATTAATGTGGTATAAAATTTGACATTATCATCTTCAGTAGTGAACTTGCAAGGGTTCACTGATAATTATCATTTATATATGCATACCCAATAAAATATTTGAAGAATTTGAGGGGATTGCTTCCCCTGACTCACTGCAACATTGAATGATCTATGAATTATTAGTAATATATTATATACTATCAGATTATTCAATCTACTTTGTATGGGAAAGTATTTGTATAGGCGTTGCCTTTTGTCCAATCCCCTTGTTTAAATGTACGTTTGATATTTGAACAATAAAATATTTTGAATTGCATTGAAAAATAAATATATGGTGAGGCTGCTGTTTTCCAAATTATTGCAAATGACATTTCTGGTTATTTTTATGCTGCAAGGTCGGCACTTCAAAAAGACTGCTCAAACAGCTTGTATTGTTACAAGATTTTCACTACCCAATGTATTTTTGTATCCGCTTGAACTCATCATGGGTGCTTTTGTTTTTAGAGTGATCTCGTTTTGTGTGTCCTTTACAATTTCGACAAAAGCATAATGAATATAAATGTTCATCAAAGAAATGATAATAAGCAATTAACAATCTTCTTAAATTTTAAGATTAATCATTATCTGATTACTTAGTTTTATATTTCAAAACTAAACTTATTGTTTTAGTTATGTTCTCCCATTTTGGATACACACATTTTTATTTGTTTTATTTTTTCAGTTTTTTCATGCAAGATATTAAAAATCCGTTTAGAAAATAATACAAATATTTTATTAGATGAAGCTCATTTATATAAGATATACATAATGCGTATTCCAAGTGTATAACAAACATATAAAAACATGACAAATAATGTAAATTTAGCATAATACATTTACAAGTTATAATAACCATCTACATGTATATATCACAATACTTTATAATTACATTACATGTATGTTCCATTATAATACATTATTTTTATTTGCTAACAGCAATCTCACGTCATTCTGAAATTAACCTTCATTTCAAAATGAAATGTAACATTCATGATAACACGACCTTCCACAATAAAGTGCACAGATAAATAAAAGAAAAACTTGATAGAAATCATGTTTTCATGATCCTAGCAAAAAAATGTAATTATACGTATTGAATGCTTCATTTAGTAATTTTATAGGGTTGTAAAAGCGTTGACCGTGCCGCGTGCGCACATTTTTAGAATGAAGAGCTACCGCGCTTCATACAAAATGTACTTCGGTCAACGCTTTCACACCCCAAATAATTTACAAAAAGAAGCATTCAATTCCTAAATAAATAAAATTAATTTCCAAAAAGAAAACCATGGACGACAAGTCTTCACAAAGTATGGATGATGTTGTCCTATGGCCAATATATCTTTTCAAGGTATGGACGTCATGGCAGTATGGACGTCGCGTCCTGCATCGAATTCCACTGCATTTGAACTTTTACATCCTATGGACGTCATGGCAGTATGGACGTCGCGTCCTGCAGCGAATTAGACTGCATTTGAACTTTAGTGGATAGTTGTCTCATTGGCGATCAAACCACATCTCTTTATTTTTATATGACCTTGGTAGTGGAAAAGGAGAGTTTCATAAATAGATATAAGAAGATGTGGTATGAGTGCCAATGAGACAACTCTCCATCCAAGTAAAAATTTATAAAAGTAAACCATTATAGGTCACAGTACGGTCTTCAACACGGAGCCTTGGCTCACACCAAACAGTAAGCTATAAAGGGCCCCAAAAAATTATTAGTGTAAAACCATTCAAACGGGAAAACCAACGGTCTAATCTATATAAAAAACTAGAAACGAGAAACACTTATGAACCACATCAACAAACGACAACTACTGAACATCAGATTCCTGACTTAGGACAGGTGCAAACAAATGCAGCGGGTTTAAACGTTTTAATGGTACCAAACCTTCACCCTTTTTCTGAAACAATAGTGTAATATCACAACATAGAAAGACACACTATAAAATATCAACTGAAATAGCTTAACTCAATCAAAGGACATATTAACACCATTGAACATACACTGAACAAATAAATTTGACCTATGACACAATGTAAATACAAAATAAATAAACTAAGGGGAGAATAATAAAAGTAACATGTTATATGGGTAAGAAATGTTAAACAATTAAAGAAAAACAATATGCTCGAACAAAAATACCATCCATTTGCAATAACTTTAAACACAGGTAAATGAAAATAATTTTGTTGTTAGGTATACCTGTACAGTACCAATAGAGAAAGGAAATATTTTTACAAAATAAATAATTTTGAATACAAAATAATACATGTACTGCTACATTGGCAACATTTTGTTTCGTTCAGCAAGTACTTCCATATTTTATATTTTTTATATTTGTAAACTTTTGATGTGTATTTTTTTTTCTGCCTTATATTTCTATGAAATTAATCTTTTTTTAATACTACATTTACGTGTAGTTTTATGTACTATCCATACAGATGGATTGGAATATAAACTACATCTTTCACCTCAAAATACCCGGTTGACAATATGTTACAATTATAGAACCTTTGGGAGCACACGCACATACCCCACGTCCCCACTTTGTCACAGGACAAACAAAATCTCACCAGATTCCTACAAAAGTCAACTGATAAAAATTTCTTGTGGATATGCATATCTACATATTATGTCCTTATTACACAACAGCCCTTGTGGATTTTGCTTTTTCCACCTGCCCACAGTGGTAGTTAATTGATGTACATGTATATAGTATAAAATGAAACTTTACCTTTCACCTGAAATAAATCTCCCTTCTGCTCTGGATTCCATTCAATTTCTGAATCTTTTTTTATTTCTTTTTCACTTTCAACTTCACTGGTCAATTGATTGTCATGTGTATCATTTTCGACAAGTACTTCATTATCTTTAACATGTTTAATATCAATTCTCATGTTTACTTGGTCTTCTAAGTTTGTACCAGAAAATTCATCTTGCAGAAGCTTTTGACTCCAGGACTTTTTTGGTTTTAAACTTGATGGTCTTTTTGCAATATTTTTATCTTGTTTATTTTCTGTTATACTTTTTTTGTTTATTTGTCTCTTGGTTGGTGATGATTTTGTTGATTTTTTGGGGGTCAAACTTTTCCTCCTCCTTACTCTTATAAATGATCGGTCCGTCTTTTTCCCTGTATTTGTTTCTCTTTGCTGTGAAATTGGACTACTTGTACGAGATTCATGTGTTTCTTCTTTAATATCTGGACAGTTTTCTACTTGTGAATGATCTTGTTTTGGTTCAGAAGTGTGTTGCTTGATGTATTCTGTGACTGTGTCAGCTATTGTTTCAATTACTGGATGTGTATTAATTAAAGTGTCACTGGTAATAAATGAGTACACAATCGGATCTGGTACTTTCATTCTTGTTTGCTTTTTGTCTGCAGTACCATGATCGGGTGTAGTCTGATTTTCATCTTGTGGCAAACTGACTAATTGCATATCCTGAACTTGAATTCTGTTATCGCCATGCTCAAAGTCCTGTATAGTTAGTATACCTGGGTTTGTATTAAAGTTCGTCTGCAGATATCTTGCAATACTGTTATAGACTTCGATAATCGCAGTCCAATTTCCTTCCATAAGGCACTGCTTCTGTTCAGTGAAAGAAGTCCTTATATCGTTATCTAAACAAATTTTGTGGAGATGGCTGTCAGGGTCCCATGGGAAATCTCCACATTTTGTTATGACTTCAGAAGAAAGAATTGCTGATGTATGGGAAAATATTGTAAATGCCATTGTATTATTTCATTGAGATTATCTTTTCAAGTATTTCATGACAGTTTGGTTTTATTTTTGTTGCTTTTTTAGCATTTTCACAACACAACTTCTCTTGACCACAGATTTCGCCTCCTCAACGAAAATTAGCATATGGGACATAACTCCACTCAGTCTGACGGTAATCAATTACTGCTTACTTCGTCCCTTACGAAGCTCGTCCTACGGCGATGAGTTTGATTATTTGACCACATCAATTCAATATAGTCCATTCATTTCAATATTTTGCCATTTGACACAAGATTTGGGAGTGTCCAGACAAACAACACTCACCACATTGATTTCATACACGGAATGTCTCAACATGGGATACACATGATACAGACGTGCAGCTGGGATTTCAAAACTATATTGAAATCTTGCGAAAACGATCACGACCCATAAATACATGACAAAATCATAATCCATTTATGTTTTTCTCAGTTATTACACATACAATTTTTAAATGTTAATTTGAATGAAAAAGATAAAACAGCATGTTACAGATTTATATGAAAGATGAAAATTACAGACCCATAAGACCATGATTTTACTTCGATGAAATGGCAACCCATTGATATATTTGACATAATTATCAGTGGTTGCAATTTCAATAAGGTAAAAAATGTCTATGGATCTCAAATTAACACGTCAAAAAATATTTGATAAAATCGAGGGGGGGTGGGGGGTGGGGGTGAGGTATCTTCCTGTATGAAGCTATACACATATGAGTATAACTGGCGTCAGAAAATTGCAGTTTTTCACAAATATTTTTCGAATGAAACTCCGTTTGGAAATATTTCTGTGACATATAATTATAATGGGTTACCAAAAGTTAGTTTTAGCAACATAGACTCGGACTTTAAAATCCTCTTAGTTACAAATATTATAAAGCAAAGCGGGTACTAGAATGACGAGGACCAGTTACCGTCACTTCAGAAGAGAAAGTGGAATACCAAATGAAAAAATCACACATAGTCCTTCCGCCCAAAATTCTTAAGCTATTCTTCCTCTCGCTATATCTAAACTGATCATGATTTTTGTCGCTTAGTTAGTACAATGTACCAGAGACATATAATACATTGTTATATTTTAATCAAATTTTGGAAGAGAAAACTATCTTTCCATTTTGTGGAATTAGGAACGGAGAAAAAGCTAAAGAACAAAGATCAGAATTTAATCACACCTCTGAGTAAGAATTTGGTCAGGAAAGTATCAGGGTGCTCTCTTAAATGACAGAACTTGTACTCCTTGTAACTCGATGTGGAAGATGAATATAATTTTATATTTCAATGTGAAATTTGATGATGACCGCATTCATGTAATTTAACTTAATAAGCTCAGCTGTTAGTCGATGTCAATTCCAAAAGTTTAACAGTAGTATATCATGTAAATTTAAGGTTCTGAATTTTGAATACGTCATTAGTACTTAATGATTTGATTTTCATCATAGGTTTTTTGTAACCAAAATCTTAAATTTATCAAACTTTGCCTGCATTTTATTAATTTTAAACCACTCATTGAGTGTATTCGAATCAGCCTCTAAAGGAGATACTTATTTATCAAAATCAGGAGTACAAATTAACAGATTAAGTATTGTCACCTGCATAATTATATAGAGAGTTCTGTTTAACAAACAAAAATAACAACAATCAAAGACAAGTACAACAAAAAAGACAACATCGATAATATTTCGACCACCTTCAAAAATATACTTGTCAATACTAGTAGCTTACAGAGGAAAATATACCACCAAGAAGTCCAACAATAAAACATCATGGATAAATTTCATTTCATTTTAACTTTGATGGATAGTTGTCTAATTCGCAATCATACCACATCTCCTTATTTCTATAATACATGATATATTGGTCAAAAATGAAGTGGATGTAAGTATTAAGTCCAGATGTATTCCCATTCAGTTTTTTGATTTTTTTGGTTCGTCCATATTTATGTCTTTTTTACCTGGTTATAAAGTCTTTGTTTCTTCTTCAGCTTTTTACTTATTTTGTGTTTTATCCATGATGTTTTATTGTTGGACTTCTTGATGGTATATTTTCCTCTGTAAGCTACTAGTATTGACAAGTATATATATGAAGGTGGTCGAAATATTATCGATGTTGTCTTTTTTGTTGTACTTATCTTTGATTGTTGTTGTTAAGTTCATGAGATCTTCTTTGATTTTGGTCCAGTTAGGTTTTGAGTGGATGCATCTTTTTATCTGGTTTGTTAGTTGATATAGAAAGGTGTCACATTTCATCTTTAATCATGTCTTTCTAGCTGCATTCTCCGACATTCCTGGTATGTTTGTAACAGCCACTATGTTCCGTCAGTTACTATTTCGTCCTTTTTGTAGAAAGAGGGGGAAGAATGAGTATCAGTATATATAAGAGCAAATCATTAATTTACAAGAATACCCAACGCACTGAAAGGGGTTTCTTTGGGGACAAATGTGCAAAATTTAAGTTGTATTTCATTGCTCACATAAAACGGAATAAGTTGCATTATCATGCAAATTTAGTATTTTAGAAATTTTTTTTTTAGAATATTTTTATTTTCCAAATTACAGGGCCCATAAAGGGCATAAAATCAGATACAATTGATTTACATAATTGGTAACAACAACAATAATAGTCACTTGAAAATATATATTTAGTATATTAGCATTGGTCAGAATCAGAGCCAAAAACCACATATATATTGTGAATAAAAGAATAAAATTACATTATATGCATTCATTCTCAAATCATTTACTTGACTTAGTGTCAATATGCATACCTGATCTCCTTAATTCAAAACAGTCACAAATATAACAGCCCAGTTTTTCCATAAGAGTTATATTTTCTTGAGTCAAGAGCCATAAAAATTTAGAAGATTTATTTAAATTTTTTAAATTATAACAATTGTCAGATATGTATTGAAAAAAGTCTTCCCTTTGAGTATCATAAAGAGGACATTCTAACAAAAAATGAAGCTCATCTTCACCTTTACCAAGTGAGCAACTTGAACAAAGACGCCCAGATCTTTCTATATATTTTTTTGAATATCTGTCTGTCTCAATTTTTAAAGAGTGAGCACTTATTCTTAATTTACAAATTGACTGTCTTTTTTTAAAATCCTGTAGTTCTAAATATTTTTCTTTTTAAAAACAATTTTTTATAGAAAAATAAGTACCAAGCTTCCCTTTTTCAGAGTTAATTGTTTGATACTTCAGCCTATTCCAAAATGTTAAATAACTTTCACATAGTTTATTTTTAACATACTGACATAAAGATTCATAGTAACCTCAAGAGAGGGAAGAATACCCCCCCCCTCCCCCCCCCCCCCTCCTCATGTGGTTCTTTGCATCAATTCTCCAAATGGAACTTTGTGACTGGTTGATAAGTTCCGTTGGAACTTTTGGGCTAGTTTGTTAGTTCCGGTTTTGACTTATTTGCCAAAGAGGAACTTTGTGGCTAGTTGATAAGTTCCTTTTGACTTTTGTAATCAGTATCTTGTTTTCCCTTTGAAAGGTTAAAATATAATATGTTGCGCTTTTACTTTGCATCAATTCTCCAAATGGAACTTTCTGCCTGGTTGATAAGTTCCGTTGGAACTTTTGGGCTAGTTTGTTAGTTCCGGTTTTGACTAATTTGGCAAAAAGGAACTTTCTAACTAGTTGACATGTTCCGTTGGAACTTTTCAACTAGTCACTTTGTTCCGGTGGAACTTTTAAACCAGAGGAAGAACAAAATAACTAGTTAATAAGTTCCTCCGGAACTTTTCGGCTAGTTAGTTCTTTCCGCCCGGACCTTTCCAACGTCGGAACAAAAGAGCATTTACATGTTCAGTAGTAGAAGACTCTACCAGTGAAGAATTGGTTGTAAATTATAGGTCCAATATGCTGTTATTGTTCTCTTTTTTTTTGTTTCTTCATGAATTTGTGTTAGGCCTAAATTCGTTGTACATGTATTACAATTATGGTGTCACAGTTTGTGCATCTCTGTCGTGGGCTTTGGAGTTGACGGTTAGGTTGTCCCAACCAGTCAAAATGATATCTGGACAGTTAATGATATCTGAATTATTCTGTACAGTTGATGTTTCCACCGAGTAGAAGATTTTTGCTATTGTTTTTCAAGGTTAAATGTAAGAGATTTTTCCAGTTCTAATAGTGTCCATCTAGTTGCAGTAGGACATCAAGGATTTGTATAGTGCATACAAATCCTTGATGGCATGTACATAGTGTCATCCAACAAGTAGATCTTTGTTTTGTTTTGTTTAGTTTTTATGTTTACCTATATATATCATTTATTTCACAGTTTATTACCAAAGCTGGTCTTTCTGTAGATATTAGTTCTTTATGGACCATGATGAAGGTGGTTCCTCCTAGTCAGGGGCGGATCCAGCAATTTGGAAAGGTGGGGGCGTAGTATTAAAGTTTTGGATAAAAAACTTCAAATAAGTGTAAAATGTATTTTATAGTTAAAGTGTAGGGGTTGGACAATTTTGGTGCCGTATTCTCTCCATTAATTGTCTATTATAAAATGATTGGAGTGATCCAAAGCTATGTACTAATTAATATATTTGATGTGGGATTTGTCAGTAAAAAATGGACATGGAAAATTCTCGTTTGTTGCATGGTTAGTTAGCATACCCTCACAGATTTCTTGTTGTAAACAAGATATACGGCTATTCAATGAAATTTACAATACGACCGACACGAAGAAAGACAAACAAGCAATTTTTATCCAAATGTTTGGTTGAAATGTTTCAACCAACAAGGAAAGTGAGGGGTTCCAAATCAACCAAAGGCTACGAATGAGTCGGAAATGACAATGAAGTTATGAATGACGGTCGACACATGGAGACATAGGCCACACCCAACAGGCAGGTTGTAGTCGGGCCTTGAAAAAAAGTATTCAGTATATCAGTTCGGCGAAACAGACAGATATGAGATTCAGAATGTTTTCTCTAAAATATCTCAGACTGCCCCCTCAAATCAAATGGCCCGTACCTTAGACTTTAAATCATATCTAGAGCTTACTGGCTTGGGATCACTATTCAGCAATGTTATTAATGGGATGGGGCGTGTGGGGTTAAACATGTTTTCGTAGGTAAATAATATTGCTGTGGAACTTTTTTTTTCATATGAGTGTAATAGAGTTTTACTTTCTGTTGGGTGGAATTGTGAAATAGAAGTCAATACGTTCTTGCTCAATACTTTGTCGCTGTGAAGGCGTCATGCCTGTCATCCTCAGCCTAAGCAATGTGTTACTGTAATTTGAATTTCAAAATGACTGAGTGAAGTTTTTTTCGACGTACTGGTCAACTCCACCGTAGCGAATTACATGACTTTGACATAATCAATAATATATTACAGTAAATACGAGCGAAAAATATCTTTATAGGTAAAGAATTGTCGCATAAAAATTAAATACACGGGAAATGGCAAAGTTCGCGAAGTCTAGTCTGATTAATCATTTTACGCGTACGCCCTCTACGCCCCCCTCTGGATCCGCCACTGCTAGTTTCCCTCTATCATTTCTGTATATCGTTCGTAGTTGCTTGGCTAGAATGTCAGTCTCGCTTGATGATTTTTTGTAGAATGTTTTCCTGGTTTTGTTCCTCTAAACCATGATCAGCCATGACTCTGTGCTCAGTTATTTGTCTGGTTTTGTGCATTTTGGCATGACTAGGAATCCTTTTTAAGATCTTACTATATAAATCCTTGATTTACATAAAGTTAAATTTTATTTTAGGGTCGAGGTAGTTTAGGACGAGCTGGTTATAAGCTAAACTTGTCAGGGGCGGTAAATACGAAAAGATGGCGGAAAATGTATACAAACACAGCAAACACTTGTTTACAAGAGAAAATGAACCAATTATATTTTTTTTGAGACCTTGCACAGATAAATCTAAAATCAATCCATTAGTTGAGGTGCAGTATCTTGATTATATTACTTTCATAAGTTATAAACCAAGCAATTACGGTTCTTTTCACTCAAAAAATCTTTCATTTTTTTTTGTGAAAAGAGTAGCTGGATCTGATCTATACCATTGCATATAAGATAGACGTATTTACACTTTTACTCCATACTGTTGTATATGCAAATTGATCTACCATTACTTGAGGTTCATGTGGACCTTTTGGCTAAAATTTTTGTGTTTACACCTCAAAATTTACTCTTGTACCTTCATGACGAATAACGGTAAAAATTCTTGCCAAATGACGTTAACGGTAATTTTTGGTGCATGACGATAAAATGTACACTTTCTTTTAGACGATAAAAAAATCAACTGATTTTGACGAATCACCATGATCACGTTAATTTTATTCCAAAAGTAAAGGTAACGATAATTATTTGAGACCTCTGACGTATCACGATAAGGATATTTTGACGATTCACAGTAAAATTTTAACCAATTTGACGCTAACGGTAGCCAAAAGTGACCGTTTGACGCCTGACGGTAAAGGTCATTCATACCCTCATATTAGACAAACCTGTGCATCTGGAAAAGTATATATATATTAAGGCATAGCATGATCTGGATAAATGAAATACAAATGCATTTTATGTTTAAATTAAAAACTTAACTGGATTTTGCTGTGCATTTTTTCGTCAATGTTTTTACTAACTCAACATGCTCAATGCTAAAGTAATTTATACATTTGTTACTTTACTATAGATCTTGACAATAACACTTATCCTATACCAGAGAACAAGTAAATTCCAACCTGTGCTTTCAATCCTGACCTTTGTAACCCAAGCAAACAACATTTTCATAATAGTCCCAGTTTTCAGTAACATAAATTTGTTGCTTCATGAACATACCTGCCAATTTCAAAGGTTACAATTTTTTTTGCAGCGTTTTTTGCGCACGCTGTTTTGTGTAAAAAAAAAAGTGTCATATTTTTACATGGTATACTGATGATGAGCTTATAAGCCTTTTTCTTCCTTTTATTTGCATGATTCTAGTACTTAAATTATTGTGTAGAAAAGATGTACATGTAGCTAGAATACTAGGATATATTTTCTTGTGTAGGAATATTAAAGTGATTGTTGACTTTTCCAATTTAAAAATATGCACAAAGAAGGACATTTATCTGATTCCTTGTGAAAAATAAAAGATACATGTAGTACATTGTACTTTAAATGATTTTGTAATTTAATTACAGAATGACAACAGTGTTCCAGCTAGGATTTCAAAAGGGCAGGGAGCCAATCATGAAAAGGGCACTTTAGCACGATGATATATTGATATGTCAAAAAGGGCATGTCAAACATTGTCTAATTAAAAATGCAGGGGTTTCAGCTAGGAGTTTTCAGGGGGTTTAGTCACTTTTACGCTAGATGAAAATCAACATTATTTTGGGTAACAGTAAGGGACCAAGGATGTATATTACTAGCTATAATACATATGCCCTAGTCCCTTATGGACAAGGATCTTTGAAGGCATTAGGCATAAGATTTTACTGGTGTGATGCTTACATATGATGATAAGAACAAGGATCTGGAAATTTAGTTTACAATTTCAGTTATTTTGAGGGGACATCCTGATCAACAGAAGTCGGGTTCCTTTTTTTCAAAGCAAGGAATCACAGCATAAATGAAATTGTAACGACTATTTCACTGCATAATCAATATCCTTGTAAAAACATTTTAAAATGGATATTTGGAATTCATTTTCGTGAGCTTGGAATGATTAAAAAGACTGTCTATTTTAAATTTATCAAGAGAAATCACGTTTACTTTTGATTTTTAAATGAAATGAAAACAGGAAGTGACAAGAGGATGATAAATTTAGAATGAATCCAGATTCATCTACGGATTCGTTTGTGTTTAATGTAAAGGCAAGAAATTATCATTTTTTAAATTTCAGCTGCTCAGTAAAAAATATATTTGTCTCTCTGGTTAATTTGATACTAAATGATTTCGCATTTTACATAAATTTAAGTGTCTATTAAAGATACTTTCACGCATTCTCGGTTCATGATAAAGAAATCGTGAAAATATTTTTGATCGTTTTGAAAAAAGTTTTATCTTTATAATTTAAATTGTCAAAAGATCTCAATGTAAAGTTTTATAAAATGTGACGAAAATACATTCAAATGACAAAACTACGTCAACCGAGCTGGAATAAGTAATCGTTTGAGAAATTTTGAAATTAAATAAACTGGACTGTCCGGGGAAACAATTTTGTTAAATTGACGAAATTACAAAAACGTTTATGGATAAACGAACTACAAATTTAATGGGAAAAATAATTACAGTGGTCAATTATGAGGTTTAATTAACGGATAAAGGATCCATCTAATGGCCATAAGCGGATTATCTGTAATCACAACTTATTCATTGTTATTACACCTGCTGTAAATGTTAATTGGCTGAGGGTTGTAAACTTGTCATAAATATGAAGACAGGTAGAATAATAGTATTTTCTTCAAAATATTATGAGAATAAAGGCATGGACTTGCGGAAAAGGGCAGGGCGTCTTAAAAAGAGCACAGGGCGGCACTCGGGGAAAGGGCGGGCGGACCGCCCTGTGAAAACGACCGAGCTGGAACACTGTATAATCTGTTACAATAAGTGTAATGTCCATAAGCTACTATTTATTAAGTTTATGGTAGTACTGCATCTTTGAATTTTGTTAATCAGTCATGCTTTTCTTCTTATCCTGTGTAAGAACCTTCTTGCAGATGAAAGTTCATCTGCCATGATCAAGATTTTTACAATTCTGACATACAGACAGTGGAATATAACTCAAATATTCCAAACAAGTTCAAAATTTAGCATTTTGGAATGCCCAGTAATCATGAGAAACAACGATTTTGATTGGCTGATCACGATTGTCTTCCCTTGAGAAAAGTTCAAAACTGGGAACAATCATTTTTTGTGTAGAATTTCACAAAATCGTGGTTTAGAGCTTTATTCACGATCACGATTGTGCAATTGTGACAATGGGTCAAAATCGTGAAGTTCACGCCTAAATCGTGAAAGTTGGCAGGTATGCATGAAAATAGTGAATAAAATGATCAATAGGTAAAAAAAGATATGTGCCTGTGGTTCTGATAACTGTAGCGTAACCTAACATGAGGGTACCCAAATTGCACATATTTTGACAGTTTTTTCATCCGTGTCATCTACCTTTATTTATGATCCAGACAAAAGTTTCCATTCCGTGGCTTCAGCTTGTGTTCATTTTACTTAAATGTTATTGGATGTTAAGTATAACGCAGAATATAATGTATAATGTGTCAGGGTGAAGCCCCGCCTATCTATTGATTGCAGATGTCAATCTTAATTACAATGCTGCACCAAACATTTATACAAACAAAGCAAGCAAGCCAACCAAACCTTTAAACTACAAGCATTACATGCATTAGGAAAATAGCTCTAAAGAGATGGATGTTTAAATTAGAAATCTTGTTTGTCATGTACCAAAAAAAGTATGTAATAAATTTCCCTTAACACGATTGGAGGCGATTCATTTTTTAGTGTCACTTAATTTATTCCATGGCAATAAATTTCATTATATTGAAAAATACGAAAACTCTTATATGCTCTTTTGTAAGTAACAGGTAAATTTTTTACTCTGTTGGGAGAGTTTTGGAAGCAGGATATGCAGGACTCTGAGGAGTACCTTATAATCATATAAAAATTTAATCAAACAGACTAGGAATGATGTATATAGGGTTCTCTACTAAATACACTGTATCTTCATGCCTTTTGATGTGTGAAGATTGTCACTGCCAGGAATGATGTATATAGGGTTCTCTACTAAATACACTGTATCTTCATGCCTTTTGATGTGTGAAGATTGTCACTGCCATATACCTTCTGTGGCGAAATCAAACTAACACAGAACCCTTTTCTAAAGTAAATAAAATCACTAACAGTTATTTACATTATCTCAAGCTCCATTAAATACCACATTGGAAAAAACTGCTTAATTATCCTTCTTATTCTACTGATAAGACTTTATTTATTCACAAAAAACCTTAGCTTACATGTATGTACCAAAATCAAATAGACATTGTAAGTCAGGGGTGGATCCAGGATTTAAGGTAAGGGGGGCCCAAATTTAAATTTCGCCGAGCAGAGCGAGGCGAATTTTTATTTGAGGTACAATTATTGAAATATTCTTTATTAAGCTGAGGACAACCCATGCTTTGCAAATTTTTTTTGGGGGGGGGGGGGGGCACGCCCCCGCCTGAATCTGCCCCTGTATGTCTTAGAATTATCTATAAAAAAACTAAAGAATTCTTGAATTTGCTTACATTTTCTGAAACATAATAATACACAAATACTTTCACTATCTATCTAGAATCTTAATTTTTTCATTCACTTATACTCAAATAACAATGTAAATTACATAAACAAAATGAAGACAATTTGTCTGTATAAGTGGGTACTATTCACATAATCTTCTTTGATTCTATTTGAACAAATTTAACCATCTAACAGGAACATAAATTACACTATATAGACATCCTGATACGAGCCTACAGAGTCACATAATATAGACATCCTCATACAAGCCTATAGAGTCATTGAACTATATAGACATCCTCATATGAGCCTATAGTGTCATGGAACTATATAGGCATCTTCATAAGAGCCTATAGAGTCATTGAACTATATAGACATCCTCATACGAGCCTATAGTGTCATGGAACTATATAGGCATCCTTATACCAGCCTATAGAGTCATTGAACTATATAGACATCCTTATTCAAGCCTATAGAGTCATTGAACTATATAGACATCCTCATACGAGCCTATAGAGTCACATAATGCATACATCCTCATACGAGCCTATAGAGTCACATAATGCATACATCATCATACGAGCCTATAGAGTCACATAATGCATACATCCTCATATGAGCCTATAGAGTCACATAATGCATACATCCTCATACGAGCCTATAGAGTCACATGTACATAATGCATGCATTGACAACTGGCATCATACATTGATATATTCTTAGTTTTGATGTCATAGACATTTATGATTTTCAACTTTATGTTTTCTACTTCAGTATGGTGGAGGAAAGGTCCTTTCTAAATTTGTCACTGGGGCTATCAAGTAAGTATGACATATAAGTTCATGTAGCTTTACCATTTTGTTAGAGTTAAAATTCATTTATCTTATGCATTTTTTCCTGCCATCTCTTCCTTTCATCAAAGTTATTATAATTTGAAATTATTACTGGTAGTGTAGATGGGTAAAAGAACCAGGTACATTAGTGTGTAATTTTCAGGGAAGATTAGCCTTATTGTTGCAAACTGTGCTACCTTCTAGAATAATATTTATTTGCTTGTTTACTTACTAACATAAAACCAACTAAATGTTTTCTATTGTCAGATTAATTTAATTAATCAGTTAACAAATACACCTGAATTAAGTTTATAAGAATAAAAGCGTCTAATGAAAACCTGCTTTGTTACTATCCAAAACATTTTTATGGCCCCGCAACAAAGTTGTCAGGGCCATATAGTTTGACCCTTGTCCGTCATTCTGTCATTCCGTCATTCTGCAACAAACCATTATACGAACTTTTTTTCTAAACGCCTTCAGATGTTGGGCTGACTTTTGGTATGTGAGTTAACCGTGATGAGTTACAGATCAAGTTTAAGTTTCATTCCGCTCTGCTAGTTTTTGCCGAAAAAACTGGCTTTGGACTTTGATAAAATGTTGAAAATCACAGTTATACAGACTTTTTTTCTAAACGCCTTCAGATATTGGGCTGATTTTTGGTATGTGAGTTAACCAATATGAGTTACAGATCAATTTTAAGTTTCATTCTGCTCTTCTAATTTTTGCTGAAATTACCCAGGGGTTCAAATTAGTGGTGGTCCGAGGTCCATGACCTTTCACTGTTGCAATCGGACTTTCGTTTTGGTTACTAGACCGACGGACCTTCGATTTGAAAGAAAATAAAAATTAAATTTGCCAACTTTTTTAACCATCAGTATTGTCATTTCAAAGCCATATTATTATTGAAATTGAGATAATAAAATGTTTCATCCCTGACCTTACCGACGAGTGATAAAAGTTATTTTTAACCATGTATTTCTTGGAAACACAAGGTTATGAATAGTTGTGATAAGTCATGTGACAAATCATTTAGACATTTTCGAACAAAATGAGTCTGTTTCGCTTTGGTGTCACGTCTTCCAAGATGAAGCCTGAAGATGATGAACGGTCTTCAACGTCTTCCTTGGGAACAAAACAAAAGAAATCAAAACGAAGATCTCACTAAAGACCGAAAATACGATCGTGAATAACAAGAACGGAAATTTAAGCCCAACTGGAAAATCGATCGACCGTGGCTATATTTTGATGAATAAACTGGTCTAATGTCGTGTACATACTGCCAGAAGTTCCCCGCCCATTCAGAAAAGAAAGTGCACTTATAAGGAACACAAAATCTTAAAATAGACTCAATAAAAATACATGAAGTGACACCCCAGCATGGACTTTTTTTCTAAACGCCTTTAGATATTGGGCTGATTTTTGGTATGTGAGTTAACCATGATGAGTTACAGATCAAGTTTAAGTTTCGTTCTGTTTTGCTAATTTTTGCCAAAATTACGGGCCTTGGACTTTGATAAATTGTTGAAAATCACAGTTATACAGACTTTTTTTCTATTTGCCTTCAGATATTGGGCTGATTTTTATTATGTGAGTTATCCATGATGAGTTACAGATCAAGTTTAAGTTTCGTTCCGCTATACTAATTTTTGCCGAAATTACAGGCTTTGGACTTTGATAAATTGTTGAAAATCACAGTTATACAGACTTTTTTTCTAAACGCCTTTAGATATTGGTCTGATTTTTGGTTTGTGAGTTAACCATGATGAGTTACAGATCGAGTTTAAGTTTCATTCTGCTCTGCTGGTTTTTGCCGTAATTACGGGTTTTGGACTTTTGGTATGTGAGTTAACCATGATGAGTTACAGTTCAAGTTTAAGTTTCCTTCCGCTCTGCTAATTTTTGCCGAAATTAAGGGCTTTGGACTTTGATAAATTGTTGAAAATCACAGTTATACAGACTTTTTCTATACGCCTTTAGATTTTGCGCTGATTTTTTATATGTGAGTCTACCATGATGAGTTATAATTACAGATCAAGTGTATGTTTCATTCCGATATGCTGATTTTCTTGTCGTTTCAGCACATCTTCAGTACATCCACTTCCTGTTTGCTGATAGTTTGAAATTTAACTACTCATTGATCAAGGAAATTTTTCATCAAACCAGTATTGGTCTTGAGAGCTGGATACTCTCCATGCATGTTTGTGTCCACATGTGTTGTTGAAATTGCATATTTTAAAACTTTTTGAGACGGGGCCATTCATGTCGTACTGACACATCTAGTTTTATTTTTTTTTTGCATACTGGTATTCATTTCAAATTTGTCTACGCCTAGGATGTTGAATAAGTGAACTCTGATGGTAACATTTCTGTTAACTACTCATCTTTTTCAAGATCCTGATTTAAAAAAATTACATTGTCATCACTTGGCATCCATCTTCTTCATCCATCAACGTTGTCATAAACTTTAACAAAAATCTTCTTCTTTTAAACCACTGGACTTATTTCAACCAAACTTTAACTTAATGATCCTTTGGGTTTCTTGTATAAAGTTTGTTTTTTATCACGCCAGTCAACCAACATGGCTGCCATTGCTATTAATGTATTGTTACCGGATGATGTTTTAAAAAGTGATAACATTACTATTTTGTAAGTGTTTAGTTAAGATTGTAACAGGATGGTGTTTAAGTGATTACATTTCTATTCACTGCTGAACTGTAATTGTCAATTTCAGATTGGCTCAGGATGGGGATTATGTGTCCTCTGGAGATTACATATCTACCAAATATGTATTGGATTGTGTGAAAAATAATCATCTTATGGAAACAGAGAAATACAAAATGAAAAGGTATATCTGTCAGAGTTTGGAATGTTTGTTCCTTAATGCTGGCCATGCGGAGCTCTGAACTAATAAAATAAATAGCATACCATCCAAAAGAATACACTTTTATAGCAATTTACTCACTCCAAGTTTTTAACTTCCAATACTGTAACCAGGTATATATACGTATGTCATTTTGGCTCCAGAAAGCACACTTGCTGAGAACAAAAATGTGCAAAAAGATTGAATGAAGTTTTTGCTGTATATATATATATATATATATGTAGAAGTCTATAAAAAGGACCAACCAGCAAATTTACTATGTACCGGATCGTCTAGAATAGAGGATACTGTGCAGATAAGGAAAAAAATTATATAAGTCTAGAGATTTGCACAACGATACTAATATAAGATGGTATTATACGAAGATGTTGTTAATAAATCGTGTTGACAAATATTTCGGCTTACCGAAGAAGGCTATTTGTTAAGCCGAAATATTTGTCAACACGATTTATTAACAACATCTTCGTATAATACCATCTTATATTAGTATCGTTGTGCAAATCTCTAGACTTATATATATATATATATATAAAACATCTAGATATTAGTCAACGATCTTTCTTACGAGGGCGCTGGATCGTTACGAGTAACGATACATGTACACAATAAATAAATCGTATAAATGCCTAAAAAGTGAACAAAACAACACCAATATTAAAAAAAGGAAACATTAAATGTAATTATCTATAAATATTTCGGATAACAGATATCCTTCATCAGTATGATTATAACAATCTTTAAATTTATACAATTAAAACCGAACACAACAATTTGTAATTGTGTAAATTTAAAGATTGTTATAGTTAAATCAGAATAGATTGATATGATTCATTTTACAACATAATCATACTGATGAAGGATATCTGTTATCCGAAATATTTATAGATAATTACATTTAATGTTTCCTTTTTTTTAATATTGGTGTTGTTTTGTACACTTTTTAGGCGTTTATATATATATATATATATATATATATATTTATTACTTTACAAAAATTAATTGATAAATGTGTAACTTGGAATATTCATTTTTCATAAGAGAAACATGTTTAGGATAAATGAGAAACAGGAATTGACTACTGATGTTAAATTGTTGATTAGAGGAGTTTGTCAATAAAAACAATTGTTTAGTGAAGTTTTTAGTGAGTCACAAAATATAAGAATGTTATCTGCTCTTTTTTATTGAATGGGAAGTAAATAATAACAAACAAAATTGAGAATGGAAATAGGGAATGTGTCAAAGAGACAACAACCCGACCAAAGAGCAGAAAACAGCCCAAGTCCATCAAATTCTATATAACCTTATTATGCTATCATTTCCAGTTTTTATAAATCAAGGGTAAAGTTACAAGTTTGTTAGCAGTGAAAAGACAATATTTATAATTATAATAAAATAACCAAATATAGTATGCTAATTATGAACTAGGAGTATTCCCCTTGTAGAGATTCCACTCATATCAAAATATGCTTTTGGAGTGATTTCGTGGTTCATTACAATCTAACAAACTGATTTCCAATACATATGTTCATTAAGCATGCTTGATGTTTAACAATTAGAAAATAAATCTTTATAAGAGTGTAAAAAACAAAAGGCCTAAAAAAACATCCAGATATAATCCAATTTCAGCTGTAAGGTGGTTGGAACCTTAATGAAAGTACAATTCCAAAATTTTTATGCCCCACCTACGATAGTAGAGGGGCATTATGTTTTTCGGTCTGTGCGTCCGTTCGTTCATCTGTCCGTCCAATTGTCCGTCTGTCCCGCTTCATGTTACAGTTTTTGGTCACCATAGTTTTTGATAAGTTGAAGTCCAATTAACTTGAAACTAAGTTCACATGTTCACTATGATATGATCTTTCTAATTTTAATGCCAAATTAGTGTTTTAACCCCAATTTCACGGTCCACTGAACATAGAAAATGATAGTGCAAGTGGGGCATCCTTGTACTATGGACACATTCTTGTTGAATTTCTAGTTTACAAACAAAATATATTATTTAAGTCTGCACCAAAGCACTGTCAGACTTGAAAAGGCTTTACATTTGTTTATCAGTATAAATGTTTGTTTGTATAATTTCAGACAGGGAAGCAAAAAGTTCAGTGTGGACAATGCTGAAGAGTTGAGTAATGTCAGTGATGATTTGAGTCCCTCCAGTTCTGTTTATATAGAAGCCAAAGATGTCAAAGGGTAAAACTGAAATTCCTATTAACCTTAATGTTGAATTGATGAGATAAGCTTAAATGCTTTTTCTAAGAATAAATTGTTCATAATCAAAGATTTGGTATTAAAAATTATTTGCATACAATTAAAAGAATTAAAAACACCATCTAACAGGATAATTCACGACAATATAAGCCAGTAAAGCCTGCCTAAACAGCCAGCTGTATTGAGCACTATTCAATCTCCCCCTAAAGATTCCCCTATATATTTAACTGTATTAAGTGACCACTTGCTTAATGTGACAAGCGACCACTTAAATATTTATGTTTCAAACAACCACATTTTGCTTTGAAGTATCACACTATTAAAAAAGTATGATTGTACCGCCATTGTAATGAACACTGTTGACATTATTCAAACCAGAAGTTCTTTTTTCATTAATGCTCACATTGTTGCTTATTTTTTATTTTTAACATATAAAGAAGTTCAAGGATTCAAAAATATTTATTTTTTGGTATGTTTTTGCTGTTTATATTTATGGATAGATTATAATTTGCCTTGGACTTGTATGTAGATTTTGACCTCAATTAATTATTTACTCATACAATGTATTTCACAAAGTTCAACAATAAGGACATCTTTACCCAAGCGAAAGATAGTTTAAAAATTACTAAAATTAGTATTAAAACTTCGAAACAGAACTGTTGACATTAAATGATGAATATAAATAGTAATGAAATGCATGCATGATGAAGTTGGTGGTTCAACAATATTGCATTAAATGTGTCTGAGCAATTTGCAAAGGAACAAGCTGTAAAAATTGAAAATGATTGAAATAAGATGGATATTAAAGTATCTAATCAATGGTTGTAGTCCATTTTTAAGAGAACCAAAAGTGATTTTTTTTAAATGTGGAACCTGGAAGAATCTGTAAAGGTTATGTACACTGGAATATTTTTCATGTATGAGACTGGAAATAGTAAACCAAAAACAAAATCTTGTGATGTACAATTCAATGGAAAAAAAAGAAAAAGAACATATAAAAACAAACAAGGAAAAAATATTTTATTTCATAATTCATTTTTTGGAGAGGCACATGAGACCAAGACAGTATAATTCACTTACAATAGTACATGCAAAAATAATGTGCATGAAAGTTTCCTTCTGGTGAATTGTGTGAACCTGTATTCAAAGATCATCTGTATTAAGAGACCACTTTTGTCTTCTCCCTGGAGCTATCTCTTAATTCGGGTTTGACTATCTAGAGAACACTGAATGACTGTCATGTCAGTGATATACTTTCTAATAATGGAAGATAACTTTTGGAGAAGAAAAGCTAACTGAAGAAATAAGGGGGGACTGTTGGAGATAATTTCTGGAAAGAAGGATCCTAATGAGAAAAAAATAGAAAACTTGATTAAAGGGAGTAACTTGTGGTAACCAAGGGTGATAAGTGCATGCAACCTTTTCAGATTGACAGGTAGTCTCATTTAGATTAAATAAGCAGTGGCTTCAATGTTTTTACATTTATAGACATTTTAGAATACTACAATGATATCTACACAACTGGTATCTATTTTGAAATTTGGCATTGATCCTATTAACTTCATTGATGATATGTTTTGATGCAGAGCTATTAAGGTTTGCCATGGAGAATGAATGCTTGTCCATTATTGAATAATCAATGACCTTCAGAAGCTATTTTTTTTTTGTGTTTATGAGTTGAGGTGTCTCTAATGTTTATGCGTCATCTCTCTTTATTAATGATATTGGCCACCAGGGCTTCCAAAATTATTTTTAGCCAGCCGGACATTTTATATATTATCCCGATTTTAATCACTTAAGACTAAATAAATAAAAGGCAATTATGGTAATCAGTTGCCGAGTTGGCCATCCCAATGATTGACATTAAAAAAAAAAACAATATTAAACTTTCTTTGATTCAAATTCGAAGTTCTGACGTAAACTGTTAAATTGGCAGTGCATCATTCGAAGTGTGCAACATCAGCGTACTTATATCTGCTTAGACTCTTTATTTGTGCAAAATAACGTTGTCAAAAACTTTACTTTCGTTTTTAAATCAAACCGGATGTTATCTTGACAATGGTAAAACATGGACCAGAGACGGATACGTAAATTCCGTGTACGTTTGCAAAGCATGAATGAGTGTAAGTAGCTCTTTCTACGTTATTTCTTCAAGAAAATATTCGAAATAAACGTGAGATAAAGGTATCAATGACAATTTAAGCATTTTTTGAAGAAAATTAGGATGCATAATTAAATTTCACACCTGCGCACATGCGCACACGTGTACTAGTTCAAACAGAGACATGTCTCTGGTTCAAACAACGTGGTTATGACGATTTTTCATTTTCACCTTTTTAATTTTTTCATCAAATCATATTTGTAAACATATTTCTGATAATTTAAATCTTTTTGACTAAATTAATTAGATGCAAACCGCTGAAATGTAAGAAAATAACTTTGAATAGACCGATCAATGTCCGGTTCAAAATAGTTTACCTGTCACCTGAACAGGTAAATTTCAGCTGTTCGACAACTAATTAGCCTTGATTAAAATGAGAAGGTATTAAAGTAGGGGTTGTTTTGATAGTACTTAATGATCATGTCACTTTTATGACCGGAAATGTGTGGCTGTTTAAGGCAAAAGTTTGGGTCAAAAAGATCGCGAATTATGTTAAAATGACCGTCTCTTAAGCCTTGAAAACTAAAAAGTAGATGTCCGTTTCATGCTTTGCCCAGCCGGACTTTTACCGGACATTATACAAATGTCCGGAATATATGACCGTTTTGGAAGCCTTGTTGGCCAATTATATTTATATGAATATTTAATAAAAATTGTAATATATCTACTTCCAGAAGAACTAAATACACAGATGAAGAAGATGTAGCAATGTTGAATTACATTGTAACGGAGCAACGTCAGAAGGGTATACATGGAATTCAACTGTATAAAGACATGCAAATCTTAAAGGTAATATGAGAATCGGGCTAGTTCATGTATTAAATATAGAATGAATTTACACCATAATCATTATTATGAATCTAAGATATAAATATAGAAATAAGGAGATGTGATATGTTTGCCAATGAGACAACTATTCATTAAAGACAAAAGGACAAGGATGTGATCAACATGAACGCTGTACATGTATAGCCTTCAATGATGAGCAAAACTCATAAACCATGAATGCCAATCGTTACAAATTTCAGTCAATGAAACCTCTAAAAATTGTAAATTCTTTATCCATGTGCACAACAAACTACACAGGAAGTGTAAAGATGTAAACAACTTCTCTCTGTTTATCTTTCACCAGTTTGAACAGCTATAACTGATTTCTGATAAATTTGTTGTGATTTATAAAATTCATTCAAAATAACACGAAGAAAAAATGAGTTGGCATTGATTTAATTGATATTTGATAGTGAATATTTAAATTCATTTCAGTTTATACTTAAACAATTGTGAAATTCTTGATTTTTAAGAAACTGACTTGTTTTAAAATGAAATAATTGCATGTCAATTACTAAATTCAGTTGAAATAAAAATCCTACACACTATGACCGGATATATTCTTCCTCAATGCAGGTCATGACTTCCATTTTGACTAGATGCATTATTAAAGAACACATTGTCAAGTAGTTTTTTCCAATTCAGATTCCAATTTCAGATTACAAAGCATTCAGCACCTTCAATGAATTGTAGGATGAGAAAATGTATTCTACCAAACATCAACAAATACAATATCCCAAAGAAATGGAAAAGCATATTTTCAGAAAAGGTTTCACCAAGAAAAGGTAAGATCAGTTCATGCATTTTTTCCTGTTATTATTATTATCTCTTTGTTATTCCACCCCACCCCCTGACAGTAATTAATTGTGTTCTTTGTTTAATTTTGTTCTTCAAACTAGAGGTGAATATGTATTTGTTATTCCTGGTTACCAGTTGATGGAAATTGTTCATATTCCTGTGTATAAATAGAGTGACTTTTTATTCCTGATACATCCTAGATATTTGGCATAAGAAGCAAATGATGAACCAGCAGCATGTTCTTTTAAATCATACTGATGGAGGACCAAGTTGGTGGGTTATTGACCTTCTTACATGAACAAGGACCAGCATTATCACCACTACACTATCACTTTATATTTTTGTATAATTTTAGAATTTATGAAATATAGACTTTTCTGTTCAGGGCCAAGAATTAGCAGTAAATGGGGATAACTACTTTTACACCTGAGACCTTAAACCTCAGGATATAAGGAGCTGTTTATAGTACTGTGTTAAACAAATGACTTTTTCCAGCACATTACTGTTCTGCACTCAATACTGTATCAACATGCCTCTACTTTTGATGTTTTAATGTTTAAAAAAATCTTTAGTTCGTATTTCTAAATTGTTGACAAAGTCAGATGAATATTTCAGAAGTCAAAAGGGATGATTTATCTTTCCCTATTGTTAATTTTCCCTTTTTGGACGGTGATGTTCCTTTGGCATCGTCTTATGGTGTTTATATTTCCCTACTCGTTCGCTATGCTCGTGTTTGTAGTGATGTTTTGTATTTTAATGAGCGTAATCTATGTATTACTAGTAAATTATTAAGTCAGGGATTTCATTACCACAAATTACTTAAAACCTTTACTAAATTCTTTCATAGATACAAAGATTTGGTCTGCAAGTTTGGCTGTACCTGTGGAAAACTTATTTCAAACAAAATAGCACATCCTAAATTTTACAGAGCCCTGAAATTTAGATACTTTCCCTGTAAACTTATCAATCCTTTAAATAAACTTATTCTAAGAGGTTACCTATTCAACACTTTAATTAAATCTTTGAATATTGTTTTTATTGGTGTAAATATTGATTTTGTTATCAGTAAATTAAACATACTAAATATTACACATATGTACTTCATACTTGCCACCTTTTGAAAATCTCCATGGGGATTTTAGAGCGTTACAACAATTTCAACGGTTACAAATTTTTGCAGCGTTTTTTGCGCGCACTGTGTTTTGCTCTAGAAAATATGTGTCATATCTTTTTTTATATGGTATATGATGATGAGCTTATAAGCTTTTCTTCTTTCTAGTTGCATGATTCTAGTACTTATATTATTGTGAAGAAAAAATGAACATGTAGCTAGAATACCAGGATATATTCTCTTGTATAGCCATAGGAATATTAATGTGATTGTTGACTTTTCAAATTTAAAATATACATAAAGAAGGAAATATATCTGATTCCTTGTAAAAAGTAAAAGATAGTACATTGTACTTTAATTGATTTGGGAATTTAATTACAAGAATGACAACATGTATGATCTGTTACCATAAGTGTAATGTCCATTATCTACTATTTATTATGATTATGTTTATGGTAGTACTGCATCTTTGAATTTTGTCAATCAGTCATGATTTTCTTCTTAAGCTGAGTAAGAACCTTCTTGCAGACGAAAATTCATCTGCCATGATCACGATTTTTACAATATTTTGACATACATGATGATACAGACAGAAGAATAAAACTCCAATGTTTCCAAATAAATTCAAAATTTAGCACTTTTGCAATTTGCAATGCGCAAAGATCAGGAGAAACAACGATTTTGATTGGCTGATCACGGTTGTCTCCCTTGAGAAAAGTTCAGAATCGGGAACAATCATATTTTTCGTGTAAAATCGTGTTTTAGGGCTTTTTACACGATCACAATAGTGCAATTGTGTCAAGGGGTCAAAATCGTGTAGTTCACGCCTAAATCGTGAAAGTTGGCAGGTATGGTACTTTCACGGTACTACAATCGGTCCATACTTATAGTTTAGCATTGCACAAGGTCATGTTTTTCTCTGACTGTTAATGACGTCTTTACACTAAACACATTGGATGTTGGATGTGTACTAATTGATATTTTAGTCTTAGATACATGATTTTTTCATTAGTTGTTATTGGCTTTGAACTAGCTGTCAGTAACTGCGAGTACTCTCAGATCTGTACCTAGTGTCTTTTTGTTTTTGGGATGTATAAGTACCCGTCCACGTCCACTACGTGTTTTTGTTAGATGTATTTCTATTTGTATCCATCTGATGAGTTGAGCCTTTTTCAGCTGATTTTTATAGTTTGTTCCTATGTTGTACTGTTACACCACTGTTCCAGGTTAGGGGAGGGTTGAGTGCTCACAAACATGTTTAACCCCACCATATTCTTTGTGTGCCTGTCCCAAGTCAGGAGCCTGTAGTTCAGTGGTTGTTGTTGGTTCATGTCTGTCATATTTGTTTTTGGTAAACTGTTTTGTTATAAATTATAAAATATCAAAATAGGATTTTATAAAAGCAGAATTTGTAATAATATTTTGCTATTAGCAATCATTTTGGTTCATTTTTTTCAAAATGAGCTCAAAAACATTGCTGATGTATTATTTGCTTGCAAGTCAATAATTTAATCTTTTTTAATCTGTATTCATGTGACCTTCAATTTAAACCTTAGCTGGAGATGGCCTTCACATGTGCTAAGCAAGTTCAGTAATTTAAAAGAAAAGAATGTCAACATTGAAAAGTCAAACAAGGGAGCACCACGAAAAAACCATTTCACTGACTTGTATTGCACACACAAAAATCATTCTTATAACGATGATAAACATATGTTATGCTTATCAGTGTAGTTGTATTTATATTTATGTTTAGACATCAGATCATATGAGGATCAACATTATTCGGAGGTCATCTTGATAGTTATTTAAATGGCATCTAGTTTAGAACAAACATGAAATGCTCATACATTATAACAAGTCCTTGCATTGTAAATTGTTTCTATTGGACAATTTCTAATTTGGATATACATTTTAGTATGTTTTAAATCAAATATAAGAAGTTTAGTCAAATCAGTGAACATGAATTTGAAAGCTAATGTCCCTTTCAATTGTATATTTTTTTTATAGCGAAAATGTCACTAGATGGTTTCATATACTTTTCACTATTTTATATGCAATCGTTTGAAATTTCTGATTTGTTTTTCTTTATACAGATAACACATTAACATCAGAGCAGACTATAAAAATCAAGGAAAAAAAACCAAATGGGAAGACCAAAATAAAACGATCAAATGATTCATCTGTAGAGATTGATTCCTTTATATCAGAAGATGACTTTGATCAACAGTTAAAAAGTATCTGCAAAGGCACAGTCAATTCAACACCAAGCAAAGAGCTAAAGGTGGATTTATCAAAGTCCATTGTTACATCAGACAATAAACAGGTAGTAACTAATACAAGAGAGATAATTGTGGATTGTAATAGAAACAACGCAAATGATGCTATGTCAGATGATTGTTCTGATGATGAATTAGATGCTAGTTTAATTAGATATCAAAATGTTGAAGAGGAAAGTCCATCAACAAATAGGAATAGAAATTCAAGGAAAAGATTACAAAAGAAAACTGATGACACACAAAATAAAAAGGTATGGCAACAGCTCACAAAACTATTCATTGTGTACATAAATTGTCAGGGTGTTTTAATATCCTTCTATTTTTTGTATTCATGATTTAATTTGTTATAAGGATAATTGTATCATTAAGTCTTTTCCTTAAAAAAGAACAAACAAATAATCATTTACAATTTAATTTGACTTACTTAATCCTCTTCATTCCTTGTGGAACATAGGGCTGCCACAGTCGCTTTCCACCTTACTCTATTTTGGGCTATTCTTTTTGCTTCGTTCCAGGTATATCCAATCTCCTCCTTAATTTAAAATGCAAGAATTTATTCAAAAGGAAAACGTTTAATTAGGCTATTATCCACCAAGCTTCTTTGAATGCATTAATGGAGAACTGCAACAACCATCAAAATTGTCTCATTGTCAGATCTTCATTTTACCTACTTTCAAAACAGGATAAGGAAAAGTTTATCCTTTTGGATAGCATCATACTAAGCAAGGTGACAAATTAGAAATATGAATCAAACATAGTAAATGCATTGCATTGCAACACATTTCAACTATCCTTTCTCCTTTTGAACAATTCTCATAGAGTTTTGTTTTTGTGTTTGTTTATTACCTCTTATTTAGGCCACACCAATTTGATTCCTACTTCTATGGATTTCTTCCGCAAATTTTTGGTCCGCATGCCGCTCAGAAATTAGTTTCTCCTTGAAATTTTTTTTTCACATAGACGCTTTTCTGTTACATATAATGCTCCGATCGTTTCAAACACATGTGTGATAAATCGATTGTTAATAAAAGGTCAAAAATCGGGATGCCAGCTAATTGCTCAAATTAATTAAAAATCTTTCGTTAGACGACCACAAACTCATCAATATTTGTTAGAACCATCGTCATCCCTGATCCTTGTTTCAACAGGCATAGACCTATCAATCTTTGATGAAATGAATTGTAAATTCCCATGAACTTTTTTTTTAAAATCACAGAAGTATTTGATTTTGGTAAAACCTCATATCCCCTTGTTAGTCTTTTGGCATGCAAGCAGAACTCTGCTTTTGTAAGGGGGAATTTAAAGAGTTCCAACGAGACCAAGGTGATGGTATTGTGATAGGCATGCTCATTATAATTAGGGGTGTGTAATTGGTTCAACCACTTCTAGTCAAGCGAAAGAGTTATAAATGCATTGCAGCTTTTAGGAGCAAAAGGAAAGAGTATTTTGCTCAGTCAGAATAATGCATGTGAATGGGGTGACAGGTATTTCAAGGAAATATTTTAATATATTGGGATCTACATGTATAGCAATATAAATTCATTCCTATTTATTATTTAGTTAATGCATGACCTTAAAACTCAGTACAAAAGAAAACAAAACTAAAATAAAGCCAAACCAATTTGATGTCTAGTTCTTTTGGACAAAAGCTCCAAAAAATATGGGGCGAGTGAGCGAAATTTTTTTGTTTTTTATTTTTTTCTTGAAAATGAGTTTTTTGAGGCGAGTGCTCTACAAGTGAAGCGAGAGGTATAATTTATTGTTTTTTAAATTGTGCGATTTAGAAATTGTACAATTTATGTACATGTTATAACTGGGTTACTTCATAGAAAAACGAGGAGCAACAGATGCTCTAATCATTTGCTAATGCATATAATTTGATTTATTGGTGCCAGTACCATACCAGACTTTCTCATCTCACTGCATGTGGTTTAGATAATTTTGATTATTTTCTTCAAGTAAGCTTTGTCTGCCTCAATTTTCATTTAAATCATAGCAGATGCAGTTTAACAAGAGGAATTATGTTCGTTAGGTAAATGACAAATGTTGAATAAAATTAAAATATGTCTATGTATTGAAAAAAAATGCGCCTGAAAGATATTTTCATTATATTGGTAATTATTGTTTATTGGCTGCTTGACATCCAGTTGGAACTATTTATTCATATTTAGGATCAAAATAATGAGAGAGGTGAATATTTATTGCTTTGTACTAAAACAACATCCTGAGTTAGATAGTTATATTGCTATACATGTAGATCCTAATGTATTAAAATATTTGTATGTAGAAAATAAAAGGAAATAGTTTTATTCATTTCCTTCAATTAAATTGTTGGGTTGACTAGTTACCATCTCAAGTAAGAGGAAGAGAAACAAGTCCACTGTAATATACATTATTTACTCCTTGTATAGTACATGAATTATATATATCTAAGGTCTACATATATTGGTTTGATTTCATTAGAATGATTGAAGATATTATCTCTCACTTACAATGTTTTATATCTATATGCGTACAAATTTAAATATGTAAGTTTTATGGTTGTGAAAGAGAAGGAGGTCTCATTGAAAGAGACAGGATATCATGACTAGCTCGGACAATGTGCTTTATATAGAATAGGCATAATGGTTTAAATATTATCATTTAATGGGCAAACACTTGCAACTAAGAATAAACAATTTTTTCGCACATTTTCCCTAATAAGGGATATCTCCCAAGTTCTGCCATAGCAGCTAAATTTGTTGCCCTTTTATTTACTCCCAAGGAGGATTTACAAAATTTTAAATGTAGTTTTTGTAATTTTAAGGATAAACGATTTGTTGACAAAATCATAGCACCACTGGGCAGAAATATAGGATCCCTCTAAGACCAAAGGATCCCACTCAGAAGGGCCTGGTGGGAACAGTGGTATATCATTGGTCATGATCTAGGCATAATCAAATATAGTAAGGACATTGAAAATTGATCATGGTTCAGTTTTGTTCCAGGGATCATAAACAGTAGTAAGAACACTGAGAATCTATCATGGATTAATGTTGATCGATGGATAATCAGCTAAAGTAAGAACACTGAGAATCTATCATGGATTAATGTTGATCGATGGATAATCAGCTAAAGTAAGAACACTGAGAATCTATCATGGATTAATGTTGATCGATGGATAATCAGCTAAAGTAAGAACACTGAGAATCTATCACGGATTAATGTTGATCGATGGATAATCAGCTAAAGTAAGAACACTGAGAATCTATCACGGATTAATGTTGATCGATGGATAATCAGCTAAAGAAAGGACACATATGATTGATTATTGTTCAGTCTTGATCCTGCCAACTCTGTTTACCTGTAACTTTCTCATGCTTGAAACATCCATCAATTGTCCAATGCAAATCTGCCTAACAACAGAATCAATGACAAAATATCTTGTTAACGATTGTTATGATAATTATGCATATTTGTTTTACAGACTGAACAGACAAGGCAGTCTAAAAGTAAGTCATAAATTGTCATACATGGAAATTAATGTAAGTTAGGTTGTAAGTTTTGGCAGAATAAAAAACTTGTCTGAAAATGTTTAATCTTATTGAAATTTTGCAACTGTTTCAGATATTTAAAAATTTAATAAAAAAAATTTTCTGATGAATATTGAAGAAACAATGTGAACTTTGTAATGGATATGTTTTTTTTAAAGGAAATAAAAAGAGTCGCACAAGATACATCCTTGATGAGGAGGATAACACAGAAGACACATCTGATGGTAAGATTTGATATCCCTTAGCATGAATTCGTTTAGGACTGCAGATATTTGTGGTGGTATTCTGATATAGGGTAGTTATAAACCTTTGTTACAGTACTTTGACAGATTCTTATGTCGACTTCTCAGGTTTCGTTTGACAATTTTATCTGCCTTAGGGATTTTGAATCTACATCTCATAAACTACAAAGCAGATCTCAAGCAGATGTCATTCAGAATTTGGAAAGGAGGATTTAGCCTGCCTTAGTCCAAATAGGCATACTCAGTTAATTCATTAAAGATTTGGTCCCACTTGATAAAGAAAATCCTTGTAACAGATATTTTGCTTTTAAAAGTGGCGAAGGATAGGGGCAGACAAGAGTTTTGAAAGTATAAAAGATTTGGGATATGCATCAATGAGACACTAATCCAACAACACAAAAACCAAAATCATGCAATGCTTAATTGCAAATATTGGTTTTACATAGTTATTTCTTAGAGCATTAAAGTTTTCTCCATTTTCGTCATAATTTGGTAGTTAAAATCTCATTATTTGAAAAATTTGTATGAGCTATAGCCATCATTTGGATTCCTAATTAGGTAACTTTTAACAAAAATCTTCTTTGAAACAACTTGGCCAATCCAAACAATTGAAGAAATTTAAAAATGTGTAAGATGATTTGCCTACCAACCAACATGTTTTTCATGACTAAAAATAGAATGTTGGGGGTATAATGCAAGTATTGTTTAATATCTATAAAACTGTTATAGATAGAGAATATCTAGAAGTGTCAAAAATGCAAGAATGTCAGGTCTAATTACTGTCTAATTTGACCAAACATGTCAGATTTCTCCTTATAGAAGCTATTGCCCTTAAAAGACAATTTTAATCAATGTTTTGCATTTTTGACAGCAATTTTGAAAAGGGAAATAGATAAAGGGATAAATCGAAATAGCAAAATAATAAGGAGAAGACAAGATCTACAATATAAAAATAAGAAGATGTAGTATGATTGCCAATGAGACAACTCTCCACCAGAGACCAAATGACATAGAAGTTTACAGCTTTACACAGGTCACTGTACCGTCTTCAACTATGAGTAAAACCCATACCGCATAGTCAGCTATAAAAGGCCCCGAAATGACAAATGTAAAGTATGTCAACACAGCCTAAATAGTCAGTGGAATAAGTCCTTCAATGATGAATTTTACCATTTTTTTTCTTCAGTATTTTATAGGAGTTTTTACCTGCTAGTGACATTTTTACCCCTTTTTGTGTTTTTAGTTATAATCTTGATAGAGTGAAACTTTATGATCAACAAAAATGATTCTGTGTACAAGATCCAGAGATGCAGATAATTTTTATTTCCTATCAGACATTTGGTCCTGCATGTAATACAGTTTTACAGTCCTAGCAACTGTTTGTCAGACCTACTTTTTTTGAAAAATAATAAATAGTTCCCAGTTGGATTAAGATACGCCTTAAAACCTTAAATTAACTAAAATGAAAAAAATACTCTTTGAAAACTGAAATACTACTACATCAAAATGTTTACCTCATTACGGGCAATAAATGTGTCATTACAATTTTTGGTTTTCAATGCATTCAACTACATAATTGATTTGGAATCCAAGGTCACCAGGACCAACAGAAATTTCCATTTTGACTATCCCAAACCGTTAATATATTGGCTGGTCAGTGGGTCTGACACAAAAGTGTCATTTGCTGGACCCTCTAAAATTCTGCCCCTAGGTCCGACAGGGCCAACGATTAGCTGCATCTCTGAGATCAATTAAAAGTCAAAATGACTGAAATTATCTGTCAACTACTTATCAAATTTATAGCCCTCCAATGACATTTTTAACCTATATTTTGTGTTTTTGGGGGGAAAACTATTGTGACAAAGAGAAAATATAAACAGCCCTCATCCTATATTTTTATAGCATAGAGTAGGTTAAGCTTCAATTTTACAACAGGAACTTTAATTTGATTATTGCTTCTTTTACAGATGAGGTAAAGATAAATGAAGTTACTAATGATATACAGAACAAATTAAAGGTCAGTCAAATATTTCTGTCTTTTTATGATGAGTTATGATTTATAGTTTTTTTATGATGACATACATCATAGGATTAAACAAATTTTTATCTTATTTGACCCAAAGGGTCAAATGAGCTATTCTCTTATGGTTGTGGCGTGTTATTTATTTCTTGCATGAAGAGATATTTCCTGTATCACACTGTACCAAAACTGCATTAATTTGATTGGCTTATCCAGCATCATGAGACAATATTACAACATTTCCATTAGCTATTTGTAAGGTCATTGATGACTTTCAAAGGTTAAGACGATGTACATTACGTCCATGGCAAATGAAATATGTGATTTCTTCTACAATATACAAAACACTCACACTTTTCACCTGAAAATCTTCTTTTTGTCAAATTTTATTACGTTCTAAGCTTTCAAAAAGTTTTAAAATATCTGATGTTAAAGTTTGACGCCAGAACAGGACATATAAAGTCATACTGGTATGCGCAAAAGACTATATCAATGATTCGCAGAATTTTTCATTTAACATATTGAGAGTGTTGACCATAAAAGAAATAGTTTTAACAACTTGTGAGAATTGGATATCGCTTGAAATCAACTTTCTTTATTTAATTTCGAAGGCTCGTTTATTATTATATTGAAATTAAATAACTGAAGTTGATATCAAGCGATATCCAATTTACACTCGTTATGAAACCTATAATTCTCATCACTTAACATCTGCCCTCGTCTTCATTTACAAAAATTAACTTCTCTGAAACCACTCGGCCAATTGGAACCAAACTTCGTTACAGTCATCATTGGGGTTTTTAGTTTGAAAAAAAAAAAAAATTCTGATGATCATGCTTGTATTAAAATCAACATGGCTGACCTGGCTAAAAAATAGAACATTGGTGCAAAATGCAAGTTTTGTCTTTTATCTTGAAAACCCCTATAGAAAAAGAAAATCTGAATGAGGCAGAAATGTTTAGAATGTTAAGATCTACCAACTCTCCATTTACACCAAAACTGTCCAGACGACTCCCAATAAAAGTTGTTGCTCCTAAATGATGATTTTTACCAATATATGGTGTTTTTGAATATCTTGAAAATTATAAAGATAAGAAATTTTTTTAACCCATTTGTTTGCAAATTATGCATAAACTCTAATAGTTAAAGAAAAACTGTAAACAGCAAAAATGATAAACAAGGCGAGATCTGCAAATAGGTCAGAATAGCAGAATTAGTCAGCGGACTCTTTATAGGAAGAAGTGCCTTAAAAATGATTTTACATTTTTTTGTCATTTTTGTTGAGGCTGTGACTTTTGTCGCAAAAGCGAGACATAGTGATCCTACATTCCGTCGTCGGCAGCATCCACAAATATTCACTCTGTGGTTAAAGTTTTTGAAATTTTAATAACTTTCTTAAACTATCCTGGATTTCTACCAAACTTGGACAGAAGCTTGTTTATGATCATAAGATAGTATCCAGAAGTAAATTTTGTAAAAAAAAAAATCCTGTTTTTCTGTATTTTTACTTATAAATGGACTTAGTTTTTCTGCCAGTTAACATGACATTCACTCTGTGGTTAAAGTTTTTAAAATTTTAATAACTTTCTTACTATCCTTGATTTGTATCAAACTTGAGCAGAAGCTTGTCTATGATCAAACGCTAGTATCTAGAAGGAAATTTTGTAAAAATTTATTTCCTGTTTTTCAGTATATAACTTATAAATGGACTTAGTTTTTTTTTCCAGTTAACGTTACATACAGTCTGCAGTTAAAGTTTTTAAAACATCTATTATGTGCATTCCCCTATCACACTGAAAACATAGACAACAGTAAAAGTAGGCGAGACACTGGGTTCTGCGGAACCCTTACAAATTTTTAAGGAAACTAAAAGTAGATAAAGAAAATTGTAAACAATAAAAATAATAAACTGGACAAGATCTACAAATATTCGACAAATTTGTAGTGAGTTAGCTTCCCAGTTTTCACATCAATGACCTCCAAATAAAAAATGTGTTTAATCTTCATAATTCTCTAACCAAACATTTATTATTTTTCTTTAAATTTGACCTTTTTTGGAACCCCTGGAATCCATTCATGTGTCTCTTGCTTAAATATATCACAGTTAAATCAACATAGTGTTTACATTGGTTAGGAAAGTAGTTCCTTCTAAATAGTCTACCCAAGTAAAAACGTATGAAAGAAATTCTAACTAGCCAATAACATTCAAGGATTTGTAGATATGATAAGTGATTTCAGTGATGACTTGATTTATAAAATTATTGCTCAGAAAATCCTGGAAATTATCTTAGTATGGATCTATAATAAGGCAGCATTATAATTGGACAAATTAATCATGGTTCATTGGATAACTCTTTTTTTTAAATCCATGACATCACAATTTTGATTATTCTGGGTTTTTTTTTAAGTTAATCATTGCATTTGATTTATTTTTCCTTCAGTAGCACTAGATATTTTTATGAGAATCAAAATAGCAATCAATAGAATGCAAATTATCTCAAGCCAAAAATACCAGTTCTGATGTGCAGTAGTTTATAAGAAATGATTATCTTTTCAATGATTTACTCTTTACAGATATTCGGCGAGACATATGGTTTATTACAAGAAGAAGTGTTATATCTGCTGCAACAACATGATGGCTGTGTACAGGAAACCATTCGATTTATAGAATCAGGAAAAAGTATTAACATATACTGTGGATTTCATTTATTTTTGTGGGTGCCAATTTTCATGGATTGAGAAAAATTTGTATTGTTGTTTTTTTTATTTTTTGGGTTTTTTTTGCCAAAGTTAGCATAAAAGTCAATGAAAATTGTGTTATGTTGAACATTTTAATTCTTGGTTTCCCTATACCTATGAAATCTAAGATATCGATTTCCAACGAATAATAGTGAATCCACAGTAGTCTTATGGAAATTATTTATGCTGTTAAAGGTAAAACAACAAAAATACCGAACTCCAAGGAAAATTCAAAACGGAAAGTCCCTTATCAATTGGCAAAATCAAAAGCTCAATCACATCAAGCGAATGGAAAACAACTGTCATATTCCTAACTTGGTACAGGCATTTTCTTATGTAGAAAACGGTGGATTAAACCTGTTTTAAAGCTAGCTAAACCTCTCGCTTGTATGACAGTCACATAAAATTCCATTATATTGACAACAATGTGTGAACAAAACAAACAGACATAATAGGTAAAAATGTCAAAAATAGGGGTACAACAGTCAACATTGTGTTTAAATCTCAATCACTATAAAAACAAACAAATATGTCAACAAAGAAAAACAAAATGGTATATAGACAAAGCGAATACGCAACATTGAAACACAAGAATACAAAAAATGACAACAGCACAACACAATGGCGGGATGTACAAGTACTGAGCCACGTCTAAAGGATATTACCAAAAATGGACCAAACAGTAAACGTTAATAATTTACAAAGACAAATAAAAGAACACTATAACACGTAATTAAGATGATAAACAACGTTAGTACCTAGAATCTATACATCAAGACCATCATGTATTATTTGTGAAGTTGATACGGAATATTTATCAACAAGGTCTTGGTATCTTCCAATGAACTGTTTTAGAAAAAGGATGAAACATTCTTTGACATAACCCTGGTTCATCAACTTTTTGCTCAGACATTATCTTCAGTTTATTGACATGTGAATCAAGTATAGTGCATAGAAAAAGTCAGTACACAAAATGTTTCATCAATTTCTTAACTTTAATTTTAACTTTGAGAGGTTGTATATGATAATAAGGAGTACATGTCTGTGTAGGAGGGTTCATATGACCTTGACCTCATTTTCATGGATTATTGATAATGTGAAGTTCATGTCATACCAGTAGTAAAACCCTCATCTTAAATTAACAGGTACATAAACCAGCTTTCATTTTTATGAAATTTTGCAAGCGATTACACAATGTTATGGTAGATGGGGTGTCAAAATTAAAATCCATTGAATTTTTTAATTATTTGCCTAAATGTGGTTTATATCGTGGCTCTCTCAAATATATATTAAAAAGTGTGGGTCACAGGGCTTTTTTTTCAAGCTACAGGTTGTGCAAAATTGTCAGATTTTTTATAGATTAATCATGGAAAACACAATTTGTATGATAGAAAGAAAACTAAACCACAGAATTTAAGATAAAGTATGAGGAGATAGCCCTTATAAAATATAGAAAGAAAAAATAGGGTCACAGGACTCGTTTTCTTGGTTCAAAACAAAATAGGTATATTCATATAAAGACATTCCAGTGTAAATGTTATATTATCTGAGTTATTTCCCCTTATTTGGCAAAGTTGAAACAATTGAATCAAACAAAAAATATGCTGTATTTGTAAAAAACAGTCGCAAAAATATGACAAAACACATAATGTTCCTCATTCAGATGAAAAGTTTTAAAAAAGAATGACATTCTTCTCTCAAAATTTGCAAGAGTATGCTCCCAAACCCCATACCTGATTGGGACACACAGCAGACCCCAGTGCTACCACTACACCATAAGGACTATCAAAGGTTTTGTCTGTCTAGTCCTTTTGACAACTTATATACAAGAGTAAACCCAGACATGGATGCATCACTCAATAGATGTTTTCTGTACCATCAATATTACAGCTGATTGTTATCTATGACCTCAAGGTTAAGTAATTGAAATTTAGGAACATTTACATTTTTAAAACCCAAAAGCATATATATATATTACTAGCTATGGCAGATCCTTTTTGATGGACCTAATAGTTTAGCTCCATGGTGCAAACACAGCTCCCTAAAATTGTTCAGATCCCCACCTAAAAACCATATTCATAATTGTGATGAGAAAATGGTAACCATGAATGCTAAGTTTTGTCCCAGGGGATAGTGCCAATCCCTTTTATCATAAAAATATATAATAAAACTGTACAGATCCCCACCCCTACATCATATGTAAACTAAATCACCATGACAGAACCTTCCTAGTGCTCCAGTGCACAATAAGTCTCTTAAACCTTCCCCCTGTTTATTTATATTTTTCTTTTGAAAAATTTTAGACAGCTTTCCTCCAAAAAATAACTAATTTATTACAGCATTTATCAAATGAGAGTTGTTTCCCAGAATTTCTAGTACATTGTTAGTTGAAAAAAAACCTCCATTATAAAATTCTTATTATTTTAAATTTCAGCAGCAGAAATCCTTTTATTTGGTATTAAGATTATGCTGCATTAAGTGTACACAACCTTATTGATATGACTTTTGAATTGTAGGTAAACTTACATGGGAATTGGATGATGATAAACATGTAGAAAATAACAGTAAAATGGACAAACTGACTACAAAATATGGTGAATCAAGAGTTAGATTAAGAGCAGCTTTTCTCGAGGGTCTTTAATGTTCCTGTAATAAGGAGAATGATTTTATTGAATCCAGAACTCTCCATAGAGTATAATTTCTACAGAGATTTTGAAATTTAAATTCTCTTATAATAAGTCAGATGAATTGATTTTAGTTTTCATATTGAAATGAGCTAGTATTCCTTTAAATGTTTTATGTTCTACTTCACTGATCTAAATAAAAAAATGTATTGGAAACGGGAGATGTGGCAATGTAAACAATGAATAATTAATTAAATCATAAATAGTTTTTTCAGTTAGATTTTGTTGTGATATATGTACAAAATAGAGAGGGAACAATCAATAAATAGAACACATACAAAACGAGAAAAAAAAGAGAAACACAAACTACTGTTAAAAAAACACTTCACAGAAAACTCATTGAGCAAAACGAATTGCACAAATACCCACTGGTGACTTCAGGTGTATTGCCAGGGTATACACTTGCACTGGTTCTACAGTGGCTTCTATGGTGTTGCTCGTGGAAAGTTAAAAAAAACCAATGGATGGCATGTCACACTTTGTGTTGTCATATACTTGGAAAATGGACGGTTTAATGTATACATAGGAGGAACAAATCTGTTAATAATATATCACTACAAACCAGTAAAAGTCTGAAATGGCCTATTTATTAAGAAGGGATATAGTTACGATACTGTTGTCAGGTCATTAAAGATTGCATATTTTGGCGTTGATATTGATTCACTTATAGGGTCTTTGCATCTGCACTAAACACATTTATTTAAAAACCAGTTGTTGGCATGACACGGGTTATGTTCTTCTCATATATGTTATGATGGTATGATACTAAACCCCTAACGGGAAGGATTGTGCCTGATATTCATATGATGAAGACATAATCTTTCAATCAGTTTAATTGAAGTCTGGAGCTGGCATGTCAGTTAACTGCTAGTAGTCTGTTGTTATTTATGTATTATTGTCATTTTGTTTATTTTCTTTGGTTACATCTTCTGACATCAGACTCGGACTTCTCTTGAACTGAATTTTAATGTGCGTATTGTTATGCGTTTACTTTTCTACATTGGCTAGAGGTATAGGGGGAGGGTTGAGATCTCATAAACATGTTTAACCCCGCCGCATTTTTGCGCCTGTCCCAAGTCAGGAGCCTCTAGCCTTTGTTAGTCTTGTATTATTTTTAATTTTAGTTTCTTGTGTACAATTTGGAGTTTAGTATGGCGTTCATTATCACTGAACTAGTATATATATTTGTTTAGGGGCCAGCTGAAGGACGCCTCCGGGTGCGGGAATTTCTCGCTGCATTGAAGACCTGTTGGTGGCCTTCTGCTGTTGTCTGTTCTGTGGTCGGGTTGTTGTCTCTTTGACACATTCCCCATTTCCATTCTCAATTTTATATCTGTACTCGACTGTACTGATTTTTACTCAACCAGTCTGAATTGGTCTGAATTTTACTCGACATTACTCGGCCCCAGTCTTAACCATACTCGACTGTACTGATTTGTACTTGACCCTTATCTTTGCCATTGAAAATAGTCTGTACTATTACTCGACCAGTCTGAAACAGTCTTAACCCATTCTCGACCTGTACTCGACCTATTTTTTTCAGTCTAAACCATACTCGACCAAAGGTCTGAACAATACTCGACCAGTCTGAACCATACTTGACCAAATAACCTCTACTTTTTCTAAATTTTAACTGTTAAAATAAATTTCTCTTTAACTGACATGACAACAGCCACAATAAAATAAAGATATATTATAAAAACAGATTCTTACATTCTTACATGATTCTCAGATTTATCGAATAGAGATAGTTAAATCAAGTTATCTTATATAATAATTTAATTATATTAATTTTAAAGTTTTAGAGTTTTGTTAAAAAAAGATTTTCTTTTACCTAAAAACCACACCTATACTGAGGGTAATTAAACCTTATTAAGGTGCTTCTTGTTTGGCATGTGTTTTTTTTTTAAATTAATTTTCCTAAATTCCTAAATAAAAACTACATAGGTTTCATGGTTACATACAAAAAATGTACAATAGTTATATAATTATCTTTGTAATGAGGTAACAACAGCCAACAAAATCACTGAAATTGTTTAACCTTATTTTAGAAAGATATCTATTATCATAATTTGGGATATATTATATACAATATATATCAAAAAGGGATAAAAATTAAAGAAATTAATAAAATTGTTCTTCTAATTAGTGGTGAAGTATAAAGTAATACCTCCTGCTTGGGGCAAACTCATGAAAAAGATCACTACTACTACTGGAAGTGTTTAACGACCTTGACTGGCTGTTCAGCCCTCGCACGGTCGGCTCGGTGCCCGAAGGCGTTTTGGTGAGCATTTAAATATTTTTGCAGTCGACAGGAACAGTTGGAACTCGCCATTTTGGTAGGCGGCCATCTTGGATTTGGTGAGTTGTTTTGGTTTTGTTTGTTGACTATTTTGTTGTTTACTTCACAACGGCTGCTTTCAGGGCCAGGTTGGTCAGCTTGGCAGCCCGCTAACCATAATGATGGAGTACTGGTCGATGTGTCTCGTTCATAGTAATAATGATGACAGGAAACATTATCAGGACCAAAGTCGTGAGACAGTGAAATGGTGGTCCATCATCTAACACCTAGGATACAGCCCTCGGACGTCACTCGGCATACCACTCCCCCATCCATAATGGGTTTTGGAGTGTATGTTGACGCGGGAATTAGCCCTACGCGGATTATAGCCTAACGTAGTCTGTACAGCGTTGGATTGGTTTCTGTCATCGAAAGTAGTATGTCGTTGATCCATCTAACAGTAAACCCTCATCAAAGATAGCGGGTAAAGAAGAGCTGACCCAGCACGTCCGTTCAGTTGTAATGACTGAGATGTGACTGAATGAAATGGATTGAGAATGAAAAAGATCACACCTGTTCAGAGAGTATTAAATTCTAAATAACATTCATTCAAAATTGCAACATTCTGTGAAACTTAAATCGCAAGGCCTTTTGAATTCACTAGATAAGTAATACATGAGTTTAAGAAAAATAAGGCTTTCTTTTTACCTGTAAAACACACATGTACTGAGGTAATTAAACCTTATTAAAGTGCTTCTTGTATGCCATGTCTTTAATTTTGACAAAAATTATTTAAATTTAATTGAAATAAATTTTTACTGTAACTTTGGAACACATTTCCTTTTTTAAAAGTTTATCACAGGATTACTATGGAAGTTCTATTATCATGATTATATTAAATTCTTGGTTTAACAAAACAAAGGTGTCATTTTTTAATTTTATTAAGTTGCTTTATATGCTATTTTATATATATTTTAATAAAAAAAATGTTCACTGCATTATTAACTAAACTCAACTGACACCATAAATCTATACGAGGCTTAAGTTAATGGTGAAAATTGTCCAGTTACCATAAAATATATCTGAAACATTCAAAAAATTTTGAATAACATTGAAAATATTAGTCACAATTCAGTTTTGAGATTATTTGATCAGCTTGTTTTATTTTTATTTTAAAGTGATATATACGTATGTATATAAGTGTTGATGAATATGGTGATGAAGTTATATTATGTTTATTGTGAAATTTTGGTTTCAGTGCTATATTGAATACATTTTTAATTTCAAATTGTTGTTCAAATTTCTAGCCAGGGGAAATAGCTGTTGTTAAAAACAGTTCCTAAATTGGTGAAATACAATAGATAGATACAAAAAATAGGTCTAGGTTAGTTAAGACTTGGTCGAGTATGGTTCAGACTAGGTCGAGTATGGTTCAGACTAGGTCGAGTATGGATCAGACTAGGTCGAGCATGGTTCAGACTAGGTCGAGCATGGTTCAGACTAGGTCGAGCATGGTTCAGACGCGTATAAAATGGTTAAGTACTGGTCGAGTAAGGGTCGAGTACAAGTTCAGACTGTTAAGTATTGTTCAGACTACAGTCGAGTATTATCAAGTAAATTTCAGACCAATTCAGACTGGTCGAGTAAAAATCGGTACAGTCGAGTACAGATATAGGCCATTTCAGACTTTTACTGGTTTTACTGGTTTGTAGTGATATTATGATGGTGTCCTTAAAACTTTCAAAGGAGATGAGTTCACCATTAACATTAAGAACCCTCGATCAAGGATATTTTGATATGAAACACCAGCCCTAGATTACTGTAAATTCAGAAATTACTGCGCACATTTATTATTGCGAATTTACAAGAATGGACTAAAATGTGAGATGATACTGTGATTTCTGGAAAACCTGCATAGAATTATAAGTATCAGTTATGCAAAGGTTTCAACTCCCTCAGGCAAAGTTGACCTTAGATGAATTTGGCTATTTGTTTTGGGTATTTTTGTCATATAGCTCTTCAACTGTTTCGGTACTTATACATCCTCGGATTTCAAATGTTTGGCTTTGAGTGTTCCTGATGAAGGTAAATCCAGAAAAGCGCTTCGGACGCATGAAATTATTAAACGTGTTGTTTTCAATTTTTTACATCACTGGGTCGATACCTCTGCTGGTGGACTATCAGTCCCCAAGGGTATCATCAGCTCAGTAGTCAGTACTTAGGTACTGACATGATTTATAACAAACCTTTCTAAAATTGTCCGTTTATAAATTTTGAAATTATAAAGAAACTAAGGTTTCAACTCCCTCAGGCAAAGTTGACCTTAGATGAATTTGGCTATTTGTTTTGGGTATTTTTGTCATATAGCTCTTCAACATGTTTCGGAACTTATACATCCTCGGATTTCAAATGTTTGGCTTTGAGCGTTCCTGATGAAGGTAAATCCAGAATAGCGCTTCGGACGCATGAAATTATTAAACGTGTTGTTTTCAATTTTTTACATCACTGGGTCGATACCTCTGCTGGTGGCCTATCAGTCCCCGAGGGTATCATCAGCTCAGTAGTCAGTACTTAAGGTACTGACATGATTTATAACAATTAAACCTTTCTAAAATTGTCCGTTTATAAATTTTGAAATTATAAAGAAACTAAGGTTTCAACTCCCTCAGGCAAAGTTGACCTTAGATGAATTTGGCTATTTGTTTTGGGTATTTTTGTCATATAGCTCTTCAACTGTTTTGGTACTTATACATCCTCGGATTTCAAATGTTTGGCTTTGAGCGTTCCTGATGAAGGTAAATCCAGAAAAGCGCTTCAGACGCATGAAATTATTAAACTTGTTGTTTTCAATTTTTTACATCACTGGGTCGATACCTCTGCTGGTGGACTATCAGTCCCCGAGGGTATCATCAGCTCAGTAGTCAGTA